AGCTCAACACCCCGAGATGCCTCCAGTCTTGGTGGGCTTATGCATGCACCAACTGGAATGTTCTGGATCTTGGCTCTCGCAACCGCGTCGTCCCATAGTAAAACTGTTGTACCAATTCAAGCTCGCAAAGTTTGGTGCGATGTGATGTAGTAGGCCAGTTTGCCTGTTAGATCTCGAACCCCTGTTTGGAGACCAAGACACCCTCAGGATCCCTTAAGGATCCCTAAACCATCGGTTGCCCTATCGGGCTGGCACCTGCAGAGCAGCCTCCAGCGCCCGGCGGTCCGTGCGCACCTTTGTTGCGCTGGTTAGAAGAGCCATGGAAGCATAGGTGTTGCTTGCAACACTTACTTGTACGTCTTGAGGTCGCTTCTCTGGAGTTTCGAAGGTCGTCAAGGGTCGTAAGTTTTGGATTTCCTAGGACCCCCTAGCGTGATCTCTGTACGAGGCACGAGAATTCCCAGCGCCAAGAGTGCCTCGCTCTCGAAGGCACTGAGGGCCTTCGGACTGGCCTGCAAGCGAGCAGGCGGCAGGCAGGCCAGATTATGCAGACGTTCGGAAGCATGAATTCAGCTGCCAGAGCCCTTGGCGCCTGTAGGTTTAAGGACGAGAAGAGCATCACCGCCGAATCGAAGGCCACTCGGGGCTGCCTGAGCCTTGGAACTTCGGGACCAAACTTCGGCCCTTCGCAAAGGGAAGGCGGTCCCCCCCCTTGGGCCCCCTCCCAAAAGATCAGACTTCAGACTTGATAAGACGATGCTTTGCTTTGCTGATCTGTACAAGTACGGCACCAAGTCTGCCGAAGCGCCAGGCCAAAGCACACTTCAGCGCTGTGCGCTCCCTTTCTGGCAGGTCTGCAGTGGTCACCTGGAAAGGCGCCAAGGCAGGCGCCTGAAGCTCGGCCCCCCCAGTCTGTTTTCGGGAGCCTGCGGCATGCGCTCTCTCTGCACCTGCAAGCACCTGGCCTTCCAGTGCCGGAGGCTGGACAGAACTTGTGGAAAGGTGGTCCCCTTGACCCTGCAGCTCGTCAGGCAACTTATCACCTCGGCTTTCCGGCATGTCCGATATGGAGCACGGAAGGCAGGCTAGGATGTTCCAGTTTCTGAACATTTCGCCAAAGCAGCACGATATATGATATAGAATTGGGGTGCTTTGCCTTTTTGCTTGTCACGGATTAGGCCGAATCTATTGTGACCCTCCTGGCAGACCGGTGGCTCTGTTTTCTCACAATCTCAAGTTGTCGAAGCAACAGCAAGAGCCTATCGCTGAACCTTGCCGCCCCTGGAAAGCAACAGAACAGCCACAGCCGCAATGTCCCAACAAGTCTTGAGGGTCGCAATGCTGCACTCGGGCCTTGCTCTGCACAAGTGGAGCAACGTCGGCGAATCCGGGCCTGACCCTTGGTTTGCATGACCATTTGTTGCGGCAAGCAGCCTGTTCACGGCTCAGCTTGTCCGGAGAGGCCCAGGCATCGAAGTCGCCTTCAGATCTACATGGCTCCATGGTCCAGTCTCGCCGCGCAGAAAAAAAATCTGGAAAGCCTGAATCTGCTCAGTCCCTCTAGGAGGTCCTGCCTACAAGTGTGCCATGTGACATGCTGCTTTCGCATCCCAAGCAAGGCCCCTAGCCTATCAACATGAACCCCTGTAGACGTTTTGGGTTCTGAGCCCTTCAGACCCCAAGCTGTAAACCCAAAAGCTGCCCCATCGACCGCACACCCCGCAGATGCCACAAAGCGCTTTCAGAGCCCAGGCTCAAGCGAGAGGACTTCGCTTCAGCCGCCGCAAGGCCCTGGCCAGACCCCCCAGCCGCTCTCCTTTCGGCGTACAGCATCAGGTCGGGATTTTACGGCCTGAAAGTTCGGGTTCTTCTCAAAAGGTTTTTTGGGGGGGTTGGGCATAGAGTTCAAGGCTGGCCCGGCATGCTGCATATGCTGCGGCATATCAAGTCGAGGTGCCCGGCAGCTGCCACCACTCAGGGCTCTTTCTCTTCAGCCTTGCAGCTCATGGGGAGGCTTCGACAACCGGGCCTTTCTCCTCTTGCTGGGTCTATGCTGTTGATGCAGGATTGCTCTGCGGGCTGGTGAGCGCCCCTTCTTCTAAATAGATTAGATTGAATAGTTTCTTTGCCTGCCCAACCGAAAAGCATTCTGCCAAGACTTCGCCAAGCGTCAGGGCGACCAGCAACCTGAGCTGGGCGCCATACCTTTCAAGGGGAGTCAGAGGTGAAGGGTTCTCTAAGCCTGGCCTGTTATGGGTTGCCACGAGATTGCTGAAACTTTCGGAGTTCCTTGGCCCAGCAGAGAGGGCTGCAGAGCTCTAAGGATCTCCATGATCTCCCAGCGGATCTCTGAGCCGACTTTCAGCATCCTATCTCAAACAGCTGCCAGCTCCCAGCTCACAGATTTTGGTCGAGGCCCGGGGCAAGTTCGGCCAAGGTGCTCCTGCGAGTCCTGTGCATCTTTCCCAATCCTGGGACACAGGCGGAGAGCAGGGAATGGATCCGTGGACCGTGGATGGGGAAATAACCTGAATCGAGGCTCCCATCCAGCAGCACTTCCGCCAGCTCCTTTGCCTCTGACTCCATGTCGGAGAGATCTAGCTGGAAGTGGTCCAGGAGAGCCAACTCAACCTTTGGCGATCGAGCTGAGGAGTGCTGAAGCTAGGTGCTCTTCGTCCGATCGCCGTGTGTCTGTGTGAGGTTCCATGAATCGGCACAAACCCAGAAGACAGTCTCTGCGATCCCAGGGACGCCCTGGATGTCGTGATACCGGCGTGTCCGGCGAAAGAGCCGTCGCAGGTGCGTCAGAACAGCCTGGCGTCCTCCAGGGATGTGCTCGCAAGCCAGGCCGCCGCCTTCAAGTCAAAGTACTAAGGATCACGCACGGAGAGAGCGGTTCTACCGTCTGAATTCGACTCTTTCCGAAGCCTGCTAACTGTTTCATGTTTGAAAGGCTCTTGCTGGTCAGTTGAGTTGGGACGTGCAATGCAACTTCCGATGCCTTCCCTCCCTTCGTCTGTGCCCTAGGCGCTAGTCGGCTCGCCAGCAAAGCACGTCCAAGGGGCATCGAGCCAGCACCACCAAGCACTTCTGGTTCGGATACAGCGGTCGGCGCTGGAAGTTTCCAGGGTCTGGGCCGATACCTCAGGCTGCAGTCTCCCTAGGCCGAGAGCCTCCGAGCCCTGAGAGAACCAAGGCAAGCAGCAGTCTGCGAAGGCCAGGCCAGCAAGAGGAGCTCTCCTCGTGGCCTTGTCGCTTGCGTGTCGCTAGTCTGGCTCTCAGAACTTCGCTCACGAGATTCGCTCCTGGCCAGGGCTGCCAGCGTGGCAGAGCAAGGCCCCGCCCTTCATCTGTCTCCTGCTTGCTGAGGCGTCGCTGCACTCTGATGCGAATCTCTGCGGCTCCTGCGATCGGCCCTTGCCGAGGTGTTCCTCAGATGCAGGCTGCGCTGGAAAGCATGGGGGAGAGAGGCCCGACGCCAACGGCATTCGGCCACGCTCGGTATAGCAACAGACACGCATCAAGAACGAGCAAGGGTCTGACAAAGAACGTCGTAGCTGGCTGCCTTGAAACCTCAGTCAAGAGATGGTCTGTCGCAAGTTGGCCGGACCAGTGAGAAAGTAGCAGGCTACGGAACTTCCAAGATTGTAAGAAGAACCTGCTGGTCTCAACTGAAAGGAAAGGAAAAGGGGAGTCAATGATGCAGCAAGGATACAGTATGTTGAAGCGGCTGCAGCACTGATTTCCCGTCCACCAGGCTCGAGATTGTTCCAAAATCATTGGCACCATTAAACATGGTGATACAATGTCTCATATATTCTCATGCATGATTCCTGTATCACCATACCAGGGAGCGGCCCAGGTCCCAAGCCGCAGACACCGGCGACGCGCGGAGCGTCAGCAGCCGGCGGAGACAGGCCACACCCTCCTTGAGGTCACGGTAGCAGGCTGCTAAATCACACCCCGCCACCTACACCATGTACACCATCCCGAGTCCCTAGCCATAGGCTCCTTGAAGGTCTTTCCCGAGGCACGTCTTGCCCAAGTCGCGAAGAGTTCGTCCTCGCCGTTCCGGGAGGTCAGGTACGAAGCGAGGATCCTTGGCAAAACTCCTCAAAAGTGGCTCCACATGCACTTGCAACTGGCTGAGAATGCTACTGAGGAGCAGCGTGCTTGCTAAGGCCCGCCAGGAATCCAGAGGAGGCACCTCTCGCCGAGGCTCCTTGCCAGACCCCGTGCTCAGATAGTCCGGTGGTGTCCAAGCCAAGAGCCAAACAGCACACGACTACATGAGTTGGGGGTTTTGGCCGAAAGCGCACTGTCCTCTGGAGGACACGGCAGCGACGCCGAAGAACACCGGAGCCTTTGGGGGTTGCATCCACAGGATGCAAAATCGGAAGTTGGAATGGGTCTATCCACTTGCTCACTGGTTTGGAACAAAGCACGTCAGTGTATCTTTGCGAAAACAATCCAAGGAAAGATGATTTGAGCGTAGGCAAGCTCGAGTCTGCACACAGAAAGACTTTGATGATGTTAAGCTCAGAAAACGATTCCGGCTGAAAAGCCCCTTGAGCCACAGTGGCCAATGCTTTGTGGCCCCGCTCGAAGGACTCAGCAGCGCATAGTGTCCTTAGAGCACAGGACAAGCCGCTCCAGGCATGGCCCTGGGCCTTGGGCCCCGGAAGCTTCCAATGAGATCAAAGCTTCGGAGGCCAACATCCAGCTCTTCTACCAGCTTCGCCATGGCTCTGGGACCCAGCCGAACATGTGGCTCGGCGTCGCAAGGCTTGGGGTGGCTTGCGGTTTGCGCTTCGGACCGGATCTTCGGCGTGGAGCCTCGTTGAAGGGTTGAGCTACGAAGCCTCTCCCTCGCTGCTATGGAGCACTTTGTCGAAACGGGAGACATCATCTTCTGATACAAGCAAGTAAGCAAGCAGCAAGCACTACGGGGGAGATCCTTCCGTTGCTTCCCAGGTGATTCCGTCAACCGGGCCGGGCACGTCAGGCGAGGGGTCATCGACAGCTGCCTCGGAGCAAGCCACACAGCGACATGTGTCTTTCATAGCCGAGTAGCCAATGAGCAAGCCTCCCTGAGGGCCTGACAAAAGTCTCGGGGAAGCAAGCACTTTCATGGCCTCAGGTTGATCGTCTAGATCAGGCAACTGTAAGCTCGGCCCAACGTCTGTAGTGTACTTCCTGTCTTCTGGACCTGCCGCTTGAACCCATGTCGCTATCAAGACCAAACAGTTTCGGTTTGCAGGAAGGCGGGACGTGAACTCACAACTCCATCAGCACTTGTCGTAAGTGCGCTGACAAAGTCTGCACAAAACCTGCCAAATAAGGAATGGCTTGTACTCAGTGGCTTGGTTCGTTTTGACGTGCTGAGGGCAAGACTGCCAAGGGAGGGAGTGCCCGAGGTGTGCCGGCCTGGCTCAGGCGATTCGATGAGTCCCTTGTCGCAACATGGGAGTTTCCGAAAATAGGGGACCCCAATCTAATACTCTAAATAGTAGGATCCTTATTGGAGGGACCCCAAAATACGGTACCCCTTGTTTTCGGAAACTCCCACATGATGCCTCCAGAAGTCTCTAAGGATACTCACGGAAGAAAGCTCGGAACAGAAACGGAGAACCAGCTCGGGTTCTCGGACTTCGATACTGGGCCAAAGGCCACAGGACACAGCGGAACTTGGCAGATGTTTGGATGCTGGGGCTGTGACATCGTTGGTAGGCCTGAGCCCGCAAGGACGTGACTAAGCATCCTCCGATGACTCCCATAGTAACCAACAATTACTCGGGCTTCACTCTGCAGCCTTGACTTCGGGTCTTGGGCTCTGGAAGGTGTTCTTTACCCTTTCATCTCTCTTGGCGGCGGCAGTGTTCGTGGACAGGTCTGAAGCAGACTCAGCATCAAGTCGTCTATCAGAGAATGTGGGAGTAAGGGCTCGCTTGCATCTTGAGCATGGGTAAGCTGAGATTTGACAATACCTAGTTCAGAGCGAGCGAGATCATTACATCAAATGACTTGGAACCTGAATAACAGTTTCTTGCACGGCTTGGCGGCATAACCGACTGCAACAACACCTTGGTGCTAGGTGGGTTGGGCAAGGGAATACATCACTGAGAACGGAGATCAGTACCGGCAGCACACTACGAGAGTCAGTTTGGGGGATTGGTGCCCTGCTACAGAAGAGATTGTGATGAGATGCAGAGGCTTGAGCTCCTAGAGCGAGAAGAGAAGTGGAAGTGGTTACGAACCTGCACGACTGCGACCAGGAGCTTCCTTATATGACATCCAGGAGTGCCGGCTCGTCAAATAAGGCCCAACATTACCGCCTCATTGTAGCTTCTTGGCTGCCAGTGTACTCGCAGGACCAGCGACTTGAGGCACAGCAGAATTTTGCATTGTCGCTCAGTGGCTCAAGGCATGAAGCTGTATAAGAAGGCATGCCAGACCTGATGCATCTTTAATCTTTGAGGGCATCTTTGGTGCTAGCCACTGCGCTTGTGTCAGTGGCCTCAGCCCAGGGGCTGAGGGAGCTTACAGGCGGCACATCGTTGCTCGGCTCCTCACTTGACTCGGAGGGAGGAACCGTCGTCCAGTGGGACTGGACTTCAGACTGGTGCGAAGCCTTGGAGGGACTTGAGCTGTCTGCTGCTCGCGCAGTGCCGTGAATCTCCGCGGCGAAAGGGTTCAAGCCGTTGTCCTCCTGCCCCTCCTGCTTCTCCTGGCCCTCGTCATCTTCAGGGAACGGATTGAAGCGGTTGGGGGACTCGGCCGGCGACACCTGATTTGGTGAGATGGCAGCACCGGCGCCTGCACCATGCGGCAGCGCCAGCACGGTCGCAACTGGCGCAGCGGCTGCGGTGTAGGCGGAGGCGTTGGCTGCCAGCGTGGTCGACATGGTGGTCGTCAGGGCGCGAGCGTGCTCTGCGAGTTGGGGCCTTCGGTCCCCGCAGGCCCGCAGCGCACGCTGCGCCACCTGAGACGCCTGCTCTGCCTGCGCGGCGGCCTGCTGCAGCTTCTCGCGGTTGCGCTCCAGCCGCTGCTCCGTGGAGCTCACCGGCTTGCCCGCTTTGTTGTTGCGCTCCACCTCGCGAGAGAGCCTCAGAGCTTCGCTGAACTCTGCCTCCTATTGCCAGCTCTTCTTTCACATGCATGCACATGAAGATTTCACTCAGGCCCAGACTGCTCCACCTTCTCTTCGTAATGCTTCGAGAGTGCTCTTGCCTCCTCCAAGCGCTTCACCTCCGAGGCACAGGCGTCCAAGGTCTGGAGGTGGCCAGAAAGTGGCCTCTTTACAGCCTCCGTGCCCTGACGCACCCGAGCTAAAGTGGCCCTCAGCGTCTGGAGAACTGAAGTCGTTCCGGGACAGAGCAGCTCTAGGCCCACATCCGACAACTTCTGTTGGGCTTCGAGGAGGCTCTGAACCGCGGACTCCAACGCCGTGCTGTAGGACGTGAGGTTCTGAGTCAAAGTCCGTTGCCACTCCAGTTCTTGCAGGAGTTCCTTCTCTTCCGAGGGCTGGGCATCATAGTCTGGATCTAGGCCAACCCACTGCCGAGTGACGCTGTGCTTCTGCAAGGTGTGCCGGAGCGCCTTCATTCTGCCTTCGCAGAGGTGGGCGCAGAATTAAGACTTAAATTAAATTGGCTTCTCTGCCTAACGGCCCGGAGCCCCGCGGCTAACGGCACAGAAAGCCGAAGTCTGCATGCCTAAAGTCCTAAAGCTTGTAGACTCTCTCCACAAGTATCAGGGGCCGATTGGCCTCGGGCTACCAGGCAACTGTCTGACAACTTTCGGCCACAAAGATTGCCCATTGCAGGGCTAGGCGGCTTTGGTGCCAGAACCAACATCTGATGTTGCAGCCAAAACTTCTTCAGCTAGAATTACTATTCGTACACATCTTATGACGCATGGATTCCCCGACACCAAGCTCCCCACACCGGCCCACACCCTGCAGATTAGCCCATCTCCATCGTACAAGCATTTGGTAGTAACCGAGCTTCTGAGACTCGAGCATCCCGGGTGTCGAATCCAGCCCTGCAAGAGCTTGGCGGTTTTGTTTCCGGTGGTCTTTTCAAGCTTCTACTTATACTGTTTCGAACGGACGGATGCTGCCATGACTCTCTGGTTATGAGTTATGAGGAGCAATGACCCACTACAATAGCACAGGATGCCGTGCAGTCTTGCCACGGCCGTAGGCAGGACACATGACAGGAAAACAACAGGATCAATCAAAAATCTGGGCCTACACAAGGCACCACGTGCAGGCATCCCCGCCAACAAAGCAGCTGTCCGCCTGCAGCTTCCCTCGCGTGCTTCAGGTCCAGCTCCATTTGCTCCATCTCAGCGGGTTTATCTCTGGCGGACCGCCGTGTACCGTGCAGTGTCACCCTCTCTACAAGCACCAGTCACACTGTGGTTCTAGGCTCTTCGCGAGCTCTGCAGCATGGGTCAGAGTGGCCGTCCTTGGGGTTGGTTCCACAGCCACCACCTCTCATGCTGAACGTGTCCATGTGCCAGAGTGTGCTCTTGGAGGCAACTGTTTTACCTGTGTTGATCAAGAACGTGCTGAAATTTGTGCTTACCTGTTTTTAATGGACCTGCCAGGCCTGGTTTCCAGCACAGCGACTCGCACGCAAGTTGGGAAATTCTACGTGTCTATAAGTCATGGGTCTCATAGATATTATTCATATAGACGTAATCAGCATCAGCATGAATCACTGAAGATCCCGCTTGTGTAGGCAGTCTGGGATTGTCGGCACTGCCTCTCCGCTTTCTCCGTTCTCGCGTGCTCCTGGGAAATGTCGTGGGCAGGCGCACCCCGAGAAAATCACGCATTCTTCTCTCGAGCATTATCCACACGCTTCCGCAGGCTTCGGCTCGAAGATCTGTGAACACAACGAGTGCGCTGAACCAAAACACGAACTAAGCCCCTCTACAACTATTCTTCCCTCTCTTGCCCCTGCCATGAGTATTGCCTTTGTGCTTCGTTTCCCTGTATTCCCTTGGAACGGCATCCTTGAGACGGCAGGGAATGCTCCAGAAGAGAGACCTGGGCTCATGGAATCCCCGAAGGTTGCTGGGCCGTGCAGGTGTGCCATCCTCCGCTTCCTATGCAGAGTAATCGCTAACGCAGATGGATGGAGGGAGGGATCGATGGATGGATCGATGGATGGATTGATGGATGGATGGATGGATGGTTAAGCAGTAGTGCTTTGGAGCCTCTGGTGTTAGTCCAAGGCTCATTCTCTGGGACCACTCGCCAGACAAAAGGTTCCAGCGCAAGGTTTGGGACACTCATTGGTCAGGCTTCGGGTGGCGATGTCAACTGAGCCAAAACGACGATTCAATTGCAGCTCGAGATGCTGTTGGGGGGATTCCGACGGAAGGGCAAATCTAGGGGCCCAACCCGTCGCTGCAGATCCAAGAGCATCAGCTGCGTGTCGGACAGCACCTTCAAGACAGCACCGTGTGCAAGGACTTTACGGCTTGGAAATGTCACAGTCGCTGTTCAGGAGAATAGCTCAGTCCTAAACTGCGCTTCCCTAGCAGATCCTGCAAAAGGACGACCGAAGAGTAGATACAGTGTGGTGTGAGTGCTATCGTTTGGCACCAATGACCAATTCCAGCCCGGATTTTCTTGTATCGTTATTGCCGAATTACAACATTTACAGCGAACAAAATCAAACACATGCGTGGGTGTGGGTGTGTGGCTGTGGATGTGACACGAGATAAGACCTCTTTCAACAAAACCCTTGTGCATATAGTATACATAATTATATGTGCTTTGTTTGCATGTCCTACCTAGTGATTTGGCTATATGTCCGCATTCACCTTGCTATCCAGGATACGTTTGGTTGTATAAAAAATCTCGGCCGTCACTGTTGCATGCGCAAGCCACGACGGCGACGTCGGTACCTCGATGCGCCGCAAAGCTGAGGAGATCTGAGGAGTATTTCCGCGTAGGCGCTGACAGCGCTGTTAAAAATGAAATGCCTTGCTTTTAGATACTTGGATAGTTGGAGGGCGTCCCTCCATTGGCGACTTCCGTCGGCATTTGCTTGCCGACCGATTCGGCACACTTCAGATGCTCACTGCAAACGAGGCTGCGATTCTCTGCTACAGCACGCCACGACGGGATTTGCAGGCCCACAGGTTGCACCATGTCACACAGTTGCACGACGATGTTGAACATTGCTGCAGAGATGTCATAATCCAGCGTATCCGGGCAGCAGATTGCTCGGGTGAGTCGAGAGACGTTCTGAGCTCCGACTTCTGTGACGTATCGGCGACAACGCACATCCGCGGGGTAGAAGTACCGACGCTGCAGTGTTACGCAAAGGTTCTGCTCCGCGGAATCAGTCTCCATCTGCTCCATGCTGGCATACGCTTGGAGAACATCTTGATACAAGGACTTCTGTTTCTCCGCGTCAAATAGCTTTTGCGATGTCTCATAGCTGTCGGCAACATCAGCATCTGTGCCTCGCCTGGGAGCACCTGTCTTCTTGGCGGCCACTCGGGCTGATGATTTTTCTTGTAGACTTCAGCGAAGGTTTGGATGTTCAACTTCTCGAGCAATCCGGGGCCAGACGAGAACGAACGGCAGACACACGGTATTCCTCCGTGAAGATCATGTCTGTGTCGTGATCTAGAGACACCACATCGCCAAGAGCCTTCTTGCAGGAGAAGAGAGGCACGTAGAGCGTCGTCTGACCCACCTTTGGCAAGACTATAGGTGCGGATATCAATTCGGCTCTCGGTAGCATCTTGTCGATCACGTCCTGCGCATTGGTCCGGTTGAAGTTGAAGATGTACTTTGCCTTTGCGGATTTGAGCTGTGCCGCGGTGAGCCAGTCCTTGCGCATCCTTGCGCTCTCCATTCAGCCAGTCCCGCAACTGTTGCACGGCTTCCTCTTGCTCAGCCTTCTGCTTGGCGATCATGGCCTGCACAGCGGGCTCTTGAGACTCCACAGCCGCGCCTGTCGCAGGGAGCATGTTCACGGACGGACCCGATGTCGACTTGGACAATGTGTCCAAGATCTCCTGCACGGGGTCCGACTGAACAGCCTCGTCTGACAGCAAGCCGCAGCTGCGCTTGACGGTTGCGAGGGTCAAACCAGCGTCCCCGCCGCGGACGACATACTTCTCGAGTACATCGCGACACTGCTCAGCCGTTCGACTTTTGGCATAGTTCCAGATGCAACGCAAAGTGACCAGGCAAGCTGGTTTGTCTCGCAGGAAATCTTTCAATGTCGGGTCTCTCGGAAAGATTCCGTGAGATGCCGCCACATCTTCCCTTCCTGCGATACGAGCAGCATCGACGAAGCAGCTCTGGTAGAGGCAAACCGCCGTCCGCCTGAAGATGGAGTTGATGGTCTCCTCAGTGACGCCAGCAAACCTGCCCGGGATCATATAGCATTGCACTAAAAATATTGCATGCTACGGTGACTGTTTTACGAACCTTGTACTTTTCAGATGAGTAGCTTCGGCTCTGTGTTCAGCTCGAACCTTTTCCAGCCGCGGAGTTCCACCAACGCCGTGTGTATGACCGCAGAATCCAGTCTGCACGCTGCTCTTCTCCCATGTTGTATCAACGGCGGCTTGCAAATGACTCCACACCGATATGTTGGTGCACGTGTGGCTCGGTGCGTACGGCGAAGCGAACCCGATGTGCCGGTGCGGTGCATCGTGTGTTTGTGGTGCGGTCCTACTTTCCTCTCGGTCTGACGGACGTGCATTATGCTCAACAAGTGCCTATACCTGTACTGCCCCAAACCTGACTAGATCCACTCGCTCAATTCTTTGCTTGACCCACTCTGGACTGGCCAGCTATTTAAGCATAGATCATGCGCCTTTTTTCATACAGGTATCACGTACACGTCCTTCCGTTCATCCATCCATCCGTCCTTACAGAGATACATAAGTTCCTGCAAACGTAAATACATACATGATGCATGCATGCACACATACATGCAGACATACACTATGTGTGAGTGAATGCTTGCCCGCATGCATGCATGTTGAAAGTACGTATATGACGAAATCTCAACAGACTCGACGCCTGAGAATCGGAAGGCTCGGCGGCATCCACCTGTCTCACGCAGGGCACTTAGTGATGGTTTTCGGTCTCCGGGGCTCTTGCCACACCGTGGCAGAATGCAGGACACGTAAAACTTGCAACAGTTGCTAAGCTTCCCTTGGCTTCTGGCTACGCGGCTTCGTCCCCGCAGGGCTCTGCAGGGCGATCTGTTTGGGGATGGGACGGAATGTAACAGTCTGCATCGAAGCGAGTGAGAAACCGTGTCCGCGCACGTCTCTTAAGCTGGACCGGACGAATCGAGTAACAAAGTTGATCACTAAGACGTGCAAATCTTCCTCCTGAGTAACGTCGAACAAGTAGAATATACTGTATGCAGCCGGTCTCCATCGGAGTGAATCAGCACCCGAAGATCTGCAGCAAGACTCCCTGCAAGCTTCACCTTCTTCGTCGGCTCCGCCTCCAGTGCTTCCAGCCTGTGTCAGCAGGTGTTGGACCACGGCTATTGACTGTAGCAGCCTCTCGAACTCACCACGCTTCTGAGTAACCGCAAGACATACGCACGCTGAGGCTGCACCTGCCTCATCCCACATCCCTTGTCGCAGCTTGCCTCTGCATGATTGAGCTTTCCATCTCCTCGTTCAATCGCTTCGTGGTGGCGAGGCCAGCCTCTTCGCAAGTGACATCTGGAAAACAAGAGAAGCTTCGATGAGAATGAGTTTCTTCTCTACCAGCTGTTGGAGGGAAGTTGAGGGCTCGGTTTCTGCACATCTCAGCGCCTGAGAGGCCGCCAGGTTGAGTGTCAAGGACGGATGACCCGACTCCTCCCACGAATTCCGACCTCACTGGCACGCTGCTGAACCTCCAGCGAGTCGAGCCTCCAGGTGCCGAAAGCGCAAAAGCGGAGAGGATTACACTCCAGTCCATGCGTCAATGAATTTTTTGGGACCTAAGAGAACTCCATGAAAGGTATGTCGGAGCTGTGAGGGGCATGGCCTTGAAGTAACCCGGGCGAGAGCCCGAGAGCCGTCTTCTGCGAAGGCCTGACAAAGCACGGATCTCCGGACTTCTGAAACTTGCGACCCTGGTGTGCCGAAGCATGGCTTACATACACACAAGCCCGTGAGGTATAGCCTGGCATATGAAGATTGAGTAAAGGGCACTTACTGCCTGATCAAGTGGGAAGAAACGCTTCATCAGCTTATCCTTGCTGCTCAGAGGAGATGCTGCGCACGAAAAAGGCGCCTGACCAGGAAGGTTCGGGTGGTCGACGTCAGCATCCGGGAGCCTTGTCAAGGGAGCCGGGAGCTGTCTGATGCTCCGACAAGCCGAGTGGGAACTGAAAGCCACGAGGCAAGCTCCTGATATTTGAGACACCCATGGTTTCTGTTTCTACAGTGTGGCTGCAAAGATCGCCTGAAAAGCCTCTGCTGGCCGCCTGGCAAGAACATCTCCGTCTGCCGCATGTCTTTCGCACTTCTCCAGGCGGGCCACAAGGGTGTCAACCGCCTTCGGAGCCATGCACGGCGCGGCACGCCGCGGTCTCATTCAGGCAATTGGGCTGGTTGGCAACTATGGTTCCATGTAGTCCCCACTAAAATACATCTTCATGACCCTATCCTAGCTATTGACGCATCAAGTCTGTGGCCATAGCTGCAGGCCCTAAAGTAAAACGTAACCTATCGCGGCCTTCAACACGCAAGGCAACGGTATCTCAAAGGGAAGCAAGGCCCCATGACCCCCCATGAGAAAGATCAGGAGTTTCGGTCAGCATCAGTGCAGTACCAGGGCAGAGCAATCAATAAGACAAACAAAGACCCCTGCGCCTGTGACAGCTGTTCGCACTGCGCCACTCGCTCGGACAGCACTTGGGCCTGCTTGCTGGATGCCTTCGGGGCACAGGGGTGCGCAGGTGTGTACCGGGAGGCAGGACTTATTTGAGTCTTGCTCCGGAGTTACAAGATACTCAACTGGGGCACATGGCTCACGACTACTTGAGCACGCCGTGTAGGAGCCCTGATTTCTACGCCGAGATGCCTTACAAGCCAGCTGATCAGGCGTGGCACGTCAAGAATCTTTAACTGCGGGTTCATGGAGCCTCTGAGAGCTCTTCGCAGTGCGCCACCCTCTCTGACAGGAGCTGGGGTTTGCTGGACACCTTGGTTTGGAATCTTGGCTTACTGAGGGCTTCTAAGAGGGGAGTCTGGCAGGATGCTGCACGACACATCAGGACAAGGACTGATTCCGGCATCCAGATCTTGTGAAAAAGAAGTCGATGCTTTGTCTGAAGTCTAGGCGAGTCTAAATGTCACAGGCATGACTGTCTGCCTCTGTCACAATCAAAGCCCAAACCTGAGCACTCCACGGTCTCTGGCAGCTGTTCGCACATTGCCACCCGTTCCGACAGCACATGGGCTTGTGTGTTGATCGCCTTCCGGACACAGAGTGGCTCAGCATTCAGCCATTCGGACAGCGACACTGCCCTTCTTGCTATGTGCCCAAAGCTAGTTTCCTAAGTGATGTCGTAAAGCTCCCTCACTTCCAGATCCTGGGCCCATCACGGACTGGGGCCAAACACTCAGCCGAGTTTCTTCCCCGAGCCCACCGCCCCAGCCTCTGATAGCTCTTCGCACTGCGCAACCCGCTCCGTCAGGGCTTGGGCATGCTTCTGGCACGCCTGGCACAATGTTTGTATATACTTGTGAACTGCGATTTCAAGGCCAACTATTTCGGTACTAGCCTCAAGTGCTGCAGGAAGCTGTCGAAAACTGTCGAGGTCATGCTCCAGCTCCTCAAAGCACAATTAGCTGAAGCAGAATGGCTTCAATACGGCGTCACGGCTTTATCTCAAATCGCAGTCCCAGCCAGTCTCTTGCCCTGAACCGTGTCATATTTTTGTAGCCTAGGACAGATTGGAAGTCACTTGCTGGTTTTCGCATCTTGGAGTGAATTCCAATGCAGGGCGAGTTAGAAAGCAAACTCTAGAGGAGAAGCGCTAAACCCTAAACCCTAAACCCCTAAACCGTAAACTGCTTCAGAAGTGAGTTCCGGATCGGGTCCGGGGTGAATTCCGGCCCGCCAGGCTGCCGTTTCGGCTTGTGCATTTCAACATGAAATTCCTGAGGGAGTTCGGTGTAAATTCCGGTGTGAGCTTTAAACCTCACCCCGGAATTTTCTTGGAAATCACCCTCAAAATACACATGCCCCAGGAAAAGTGACTTCCTGCGTGAATTCCGGTGTGAGTTTCGGAACATCACCACCGCCATGACCATCACTTTTACCTCATCATCTTCATTACCATCGTCATTGCGTTGGACATATAAGAGCTGTCAGCAGCAGATGCAGCAGTGTCGTAGTCATGGGCCTTACAGACCCAAACTGCGTTTTGTTTCCTGGTACTGAGCAGCACTTTCAACTTCACTCACGATGCCTTCTTTATGTCGTTGCCGATGTAGCTCTTAGGCTTCGAGGCTCAAAGAGTGTCAACCAGAGTGCTTCCACTACAGCAGCAAGGTTGTATCAATCCTCATCACAAACCTGCCATGTCTCCTCGCCGCGCTGCTCGCACTTTGTCAAGCGCCCGGGCAGGGCCTGTTGTGGGAATTCCGGTTGAATGCTATGCTTTGGGATGCTTAGGGCATTTCTCCGGAACACTTGTTCGGTCTGGCGAGACTTGCCTGGGTGTTATGGCTCCACGAGCTTTGGATGCTCTTGGCGGTTGCTCAAAGGAAATCCCGCTACCTGGATCAGAAGCCACGTCATGAAATCTGAGGGTGGAACAGGGAATGCGTAAGCCCAATCTCTGGCTGCACTGTGCCCCCATGGTGCTTCTCAGTCCGATTTTGAGGAGCGGTGGAGAACAAGCGGCAAACCCTAAACTCCAGTGGCAATCCGAAGCTCATGGGCCTGAACAGCCGCCTCTATCTGCGTCAGGCGCTCGGAAATCGCAGCCTGGTTCAAAGCGAAACATAGGTCGTTGTCGTTGCTTTTTCGTTGTCGTTGTGGTCGTGGTTGTGGTGGTTGTTGCTGTTGTTGTTGTTGTTGTTGCGATTGCTGCTGCTCGTGTTTTCCCCGGAAACACGCACAACATCCTGATAGATAGCTGGATGGATAGATGGATGGACGGCTGGATGGACGGATGGATGGATACGCAGATAGCTAGCTCGTAGATTGCTAGCTCGAGAGAGAGAGAGAGAGAGGAGAGAGAGAGAGAAAGAGAGCGGGGGGGAGAGGGAGAGGGAGAGAGAGAGAAAGGGAGAGAGAGGGAGAGAGAGAGGGAAGGAGAGAGGGAGAGAGGGAGAGAGAGATTGAGAAATTGAAAGATTGAGAGATAGAGAAATAGAGAGCTAAAGAGATAAAGAGCTGGCGAGCTAGCTAGATAGGAGACAGACAGATAAATGGATAGACAGGTCGACGGATGGATAGATGGATTGACGGACGCATGGATAGATGGGTGGATAGCTGCGGATAGCTAAGTAAACAAGGAGTATGTATTATCTCGGAGAGTCCAACAGTACATCCAGTGGCAACGCTGGGAAAACTCAAGGTGGAGAGCAAGCACGTAAAACTCAAGTCAAGACCGCGTTCCCAACCAAGACTGTCCGAATCATCCTTGGATTGCGGAGGTGAGTGAGTATGTCAGACCACAGCACACTGAATGGTCAGCACAGCAGAAAAAAAAACAAAGCAACCCCGGAAGCCTTGTAGGAAATTTCCACCTGAAGGCGAAGCCGGGAATTCGAAGGGCATCTGGTTCTGTGACTCCAGGTCTCAAGGCTTCTGGCAAAAAGACTTGGCAGGAAACTGCTATGGTTCCTGAGCGGGCTCCAGAGGCACTGGTGGACGATCACAGGAAACTCAACACGGCTCGCGAAGGCACTTAAAACCCTGTGGATTGGGCATGCAGAGCAATCCATCCAGCACGACAACTCTCGCATTTCTCTTACTGTCTGGGACTCGTGTAATTAATTCAAGTTACTCTACTGGCACCTGGCCTCCTCGGTCTCGGAATGTGTGACGGAGCCATCGACTGGATGCTGGGTAGCAGCAACGGCCGCCTGTCCGTGGCCACTTCGGGCTCTACTGGCTCCGAGGGTGATGGGGACGACAGAGCTCTCAGCACTGAAGCCGGCGATGTGCAGCGATGCATTGAAGCCTGAGCGAGCTTCTCGGTCTTCGCCAAGCCTTCGTGCATCGCGGCTTCCAAGGCCTCTCCAGCAGTGATTGGGATGCACATCATTGCTTGCAACCGATTGCAGCTTAAGCGTTCAGCAGCCTTGAGCACAGTTGACAACCTTGCGACTTGCCTAGGTGGCCGCGTGCTTGAAGGCACGACACGTTTAACGACATGGCTGCTAGAGTAGCTTGGAACTGTCATGCTAAATCGGACAGCAAACGGGAGCTCGGGAGTCTATAGGAAAGCGATGAACTACTGGTACTTCGCAGAAACCTATGCCGAAATCGTTTTCAAGCAAGGTGGCGAAGCAGCGAACGCCCTGCCTCGATGGACGATGCGATCTGGCGCCCTTTCTGTATCTGCTCCTGCAAGCACAACATTTGCGACATGCCTTCCTTCCCAGTCCTAGTCCCCTGTCAAGCTTTCCGCTTCCCGAAGGCGCGCTCCGGACAAAATTCTCTGAAGGCCTCTGGCACTTGGCGAAACTGAACTCCCTCTACTCCCTCTGAGACGCTCCACTTCCCCAGGCTCCTGCTCAAGTCGACTCATTCGCCGCGAAAGGTGGGACTCCTCTAAAGCCTCACTGGCCTGCAGCTAAAGATTCGTCGAGGCTTCGAGGCTTCATGGTAGTTACATGTGGGGTTGTAAGTCCTAATATGGGTTATAGTTATAGTCATAGTTGATAATTATGGTCACCTAACATTGGTCATAATTATGGTTACCCTCATTCTCATCCCACTTTTCACTGTCCAGAAGGCGTGCCTTAAAGCGCTGCGGTGAACTCACTTGCTCGCTCAGCTCCTGCCAGGATTTCTTTTTGAACGCGGGTGCAGGGGGTCTCCAAGAAAGGAAAAGAACTATGGGTAGGGCCATCAGGCGCACGCTAAGGCTCCACTGTCTTCAATCGCTTTTGTCGCCTCTCAGGGTTGAAGACTTCGAGTGAAAGCAATCTGCAGGACGTATAATGACACATCGCATCGTACTCTTATGCATTTTCGTTGTGCTTTTCGACTTTGATTTTCGGGGCTTTGTGGGAAGCCCTCTCGCGTCGTGGTACTCACCGAGCCAAACGACCCACAGCCCATTCGGTCTCCTCCTGCAAGGACTCGCATTTCGCGATGCGACTAACCAACTCATCCAACGTCTGCTGCGAATCGAGAACCTTGCGGCATGCTCGGAGAATGTCGAAAGATGTCTGCGCCCAAAAATTCTCTGTTGAGAAACCAATCATATTCCTTGAAGTCCGTTGGACCTGGTAGATGTGAAGTGCCGACGTTAACAACTTGAAGCACAAGACCTATGATGAGCTCACGACGGCGACTTCACTTGATCCTGGTGGGAGCTATGATAGCAAGGTTTCGTACGAACCATGTCAAAAGTGCTGTCCTCCACATCATGTGCACTACCCCCCGTCACCACCCGGAAGCCACAAGACGAAGTCATCTCGGACCGTTAAGATTCGCGACCTCGGGAAGACCACGCTCAGACCGGAGTGCCAGTCGCAACTCCTGGCTCAGGGCAAGGCAATGGTGCTTGAGGAGACCCATCATGTCCGGAATTGCGAGGTCATTTGCAGCATGGCTCTGACCCACTTTCGGGATCTTGGACTGTTGACACGGGCCTCCTGTCAGACCGAAGCTGTCGTGACTGACCAATCACCATATTTGTTTGGCATGCTCAGCCGTGGAAACGTCCACCACAAGCTCTCGGCAGACTCAGGGACCCCTCAGCACCCACCTCCCAGCCTCCTCGTTCTGCTCGCATTGCACAAGGCGTGCTGCGAGTTCGGCCACCGCATTCTGGGACTCCTGGGATGCCTCGGACTCTCCGGCTCAGAAACGCGTTGGCTTTGAAGCGGAGGGCAGCTGAGAGATGCGGGCTCAAGAGAGTTTGTGAAATCTCTGAAATTTCTCAGCGGCTCGCAACGGAAAAAAGTGCACGATTTGATTGCACAAAGTATGATATTTCAGACCACTCTTTAGATGTATGTTTCAATGAAGGACCGGGCGGCCGTGAAGCTGGGGGTATGTCTGCATCTGCCACTGGCCAAGAAGACACCTATTCAATTATTGAACGAAAGCCTCCCAAGCAGGAAGTCCCAGTCAGTCCTAACCCAGAACCGCACATTGCTAAACCAACTTTTCAACTGCAGTTCATTGCAGGTCACGTCGTGAGCAATCCGAGTCTGCCCTGCAATCTCTTGGTGGTGCGACTATCCTACCACCCAAGGAGATTCGGCACACAGGTTTCTCGCACGCTGTTCGTGGCTTCCGGGCCGCTGCAAGGCTGGAAAAGGGCTTCAGCTAAGCATCCTGTGCAAGCCAGTTGGGGCACCGGGAAAGTGGGATTGGCATTACGAGAGGAATGGCTGGCCCTGCGGCTCAGTACACCAGCTCGGGCTCCTTGGTGACAGTGCGCAAGAGCCGCAGTGTGTTCAGTGGGGGGAGATCGAGGGGAGCTTGAAGGTGTCAGCAAGCCACAGCTGACTGCAAGCTGAATACACAGATTGACCTCTAGATGCTTCGTCCGGAAGAGAGAAACTACCGACACTGGCTGGATCCCTGGGATCAGCGCCTGCTGCCTTCACGGCTAGTCCGAAAAGGAACTGTTTGAGGCCAGGTGCCAATGGCTCACCTCTGGACAGTTTGTCCTTGGCATCGGCCCACTCAGAGTAGAGGCTGACTACCTGAAAGGGAGGGACATTCCATTCAGAACGCACATGATAGCGCCGTGTCAGGGTTCACCACGTCACTTGAGCAGCAACAACAACAGCAGCAGCTGCTGCCGGGCTCAAACTTTCAACTTTCCTGATGCCTGAATGATGCTCGCTAGCGCCATGCCCAGCACCTGGGCCATGTTCAACAGTCAAGGTCTGTAATCGTGTGTTTGCCAGGACCAGGGGAGGGCAAATAGATCAATCTCAGTCAATGTCCAAGGCATGCATCTCAGCTCAGAGAAACGCAGGTCCACCAACTCTCGAACAAAAGCCTTCAACCCTGCTCGACCCCAACCAGCGGAACTCTCTAGCAGGCCATGGTCCCCAGGGCTCATTTCAGGCTTCAGGCGCAATTGGGATGATCAGAAGCCACGGGATGCCGCCAAACCTGAGCTTTGGAGACTTCGGAATCTTCGCCACTTTCGAGTGCGGATCTGGACCAAAGGCCGCCAAGAGGCATTTGGTGCGAATGGGTCGGGATGGATGAAGGATTCGAATGGGCTCGATGTTGTCGTCCCACAGACACTCCCAGCATAGACAGCCTGGGTGGAACCGTCAGAGCAGGTACAGCCAAGATTTCGGCAGCCCTCTGCAAAGCGAAGCCAAGCAAGCTGACATCCAGGGAGCACAGAAAGAGCCATCGTCTGGTGGGGGCTGCGTTCGTGCTCCTCCTGCGAGAAAAATGCTGGGTAAGGCCGGGCTGTATGCAAAGAACCGGACGAGCCCACTTGCTTCCAACGGAGGGGTTGTCTACGACAGAATCAGCAGCTTTCAACAGAGCCTCCCTGGCTGAACATCCTCTTAAAAGCTGTCCCAGCCCACTGAGATCGGGCCGTCGTGTGGAATGCAGTGATCTGCTCCCACAGCCCAGGCCCAAGAAACTCCCTCACAACTGCACTTCGGCACGCCGGAAAGCCCTCAGTCCGAAATCCTTTTGCATGCAGCCTAGATCCCTCACTTTCCTGCACAGCTTGCCATTATGCGAATCCGAAGAAGCGTGACTAATACTAGTAACTAGTAACAATGACAACAAGGATAAGTACCTCTGAGACCGCCTACGTGAGGTCCTTCTCCGCATCGAGCAGGTAGGAGGTGGTCTTCTGCCCTAGAGACAGCGGCGACTCGGAGAGCACCCAGCCCATGTGGCCTTCACCGGTGCACCGATTTACAAACGGGGCGGCCCGGCTGTGTGTGTGTGTGTGTGTTGAATTTTGTGGCAATACTGAAGTGTAAAGGGGGTTCCCAAGGCCTTGCAATGCAAAAGCAAATAAACACAACAGATGGTCGCACATGTCGGGCATCTCTCTGCTCTGCGCTGAAAAGGTGTTGCGCGGCCTGATGCTTTTGTTGAGATTCATCAGGCAGAGTGGCGGAGAACGTACACAAAAAATGCTGCTAAGCAAGCTCAGCCACTTAGGGCAATGCCGAGCCATCGGGCCTCCACGTCCTCGGAACATAGAACTCTTGAGGCTCTTTAGCGGCTCTTGAAGCGGTTTGCAACAAGCTGATGTCTGACCGCTTCAGTGGTCTGGCATGGGATTTCAATTTCACACCAGAAACGGATTCCTGGGGCTAGCCGCTAAGCCAAAGCTTTCAGTCCCAGCGGGTCTTTGTAGAACGGAGCAATCTGTGCTGTAGCACGGTCATCGACTCATCAAGATCAAGACAAACTTGCAGACCCGCTGTCCTTGCGTTCCTGCTTTCCTTGCTTCACCATCCCTACCGACCCGAGCAACCTCATGTCCGAAGCCGTGGCTGTCCTCCACGGTTTCTGGCAGCTCTACTGGCGGGGCCGCATGCGCCTCACGACAGCTACTGGCAGTGTTTCCGCCACCACGAAGCTCTTCGAGTTGTTTGTTACGGATTCAAACACACGGCGATAACTGGTCGTGACTATTGAAACTCAGCCAAGCCGTCAAGAAAACTAAACACTCTAGGGAAGAGAAGGCTGGACAGCCGACGAATCCAGCACCCAATGCTTCAAACTCGTCTTCATGGAGCTATTAATGATACGTGGTTCGGACCTGGACGAGTTCCACCTTGGGAATGACCTCTGCGCGCGTGCCGGTCACAAGAGGCTCGCTGTCACTGGCCACCAACCGGGCATCTGGAAGAATCGATATCCTGAGTATTCCAGAAGGCAGCAGCAGCGGTCCCTCCACATGCCATGTGCAGTAACACACTTCTTCAAACCGTAAGCAACGGAAAGTTCCATAACCCGAGCGGATCTACGGTCCCTTCACTGATCAACGGTGTGTAGCTACTAGCCAAGCCTTCAAGCACTTTTCTCAGGAATCATGAAGACGCAGAAGCCGTCTCGAAACTCACTACTAGACAGCTAGGGGAAGAAACGGCGACCTGTCTCATTCCCACACTCTGAATCAAAAGCTTGCAGCACCCAGGAGCTCTGTGGCAGCGGTGAAGAGAGGTAGGAGCAGGGCGAGACTAAGAGCCATCCTCGGTCTTTGGGCGGATCGACACGTCGTGGCTGACAGGCGCAGGCTCCACTCCGTTAACCACAGGTTTCTGATGCGGGAGCCTCTCCCACGAAAACGGAACATTGCCGGAAAGTGGCGGAAAATCCTCCTCGGCGATTGGGACACGTATATACGCTTTCTGATGGCAGGGTGTGGCGCGAGAGCTACAAGAGCTATGTGGGTTTCCAACTCACGCCGCCTTGAACCATAGAAGCTTCGGCCACAAAGCCTTACGATTTCCTGCCAGGTCATGCAGTTCCACCCTGGATCCATCAAGGCAATGTGGCAAGCGAGGTCAACGAACAAGTTGCTGTTGCTCTCGGATGGGAAATGCATGAAGTTATGGCCTCCGAAACATCGTCGGAAACAAAACATATCCTGACTCTTCATAAAGCTGTGAAACTGAAACTTAGACACGGGCCTTCTCTACAGCATCAAGCGCTGCGAACTTCTCCACTGTCAGTGCCTCCTCTGCGACCGCCTGGGCGCACATCGGCTTGCAGACTGAGGGTGCGACAATCGATGTGGGTAGATGTCTTGAAACTAAAGTCCCTTTTTGGGTACCCTAAATATTAGGCGCCGTACGATATTAGGGACCCGAAAAGGCATCATAATTTTGACAACCACCCATGTATCTGGATGTGCTGGCTACAGAAACAAGACACCCGATGCTTGTTCTGACTACAACGCAAAAAGCCGCAGCACAAACGCATGAATAGTATGTGGGCGCCCACCTATGCCTCAGACATGACAAGATATACCTTGGTACGGCGCAACAGTTTATGAACACGAAGATGGACGAACAGACAGACAGGCAGGCAGGCAGGCAGACAGAAAGACAGATAGACAGATGGACGCTCACGGGCCGACAGCTATTCGTTGAGGCTGTCGCCTTGCACATTACTCCGCCTGGATTGGTGAAGACTTTGGTCTTGGTCTCAACGGAAAATATCCGGGCATCCGGGACCTTTCAAGTGTAAAGAACCTGAATTTCACACAAGAGAGCCGAATATGCTGCCATGAGCGAAGGAATATGCTGGCTGTGCTAATGTAATCGCAGGACGACAGCTTCAAACACACTCACCTGGCACTCCCAACATTTCAGCAGCGTTTGCTTTGTTTTTCCTTGGGTCTGGCTGTCGTAATGTCGTCCCGGAGCTGAGGCCGTGATGTAGATTCATTGACTGCAGCAGTTTCGTGGAATCAGGACTCAGGGTCCACGACGAGGGGTTGAGGGTGTGGGGACAAGCACGGGAGGACAAGAGACCCTCGATTGCAAGCGAAAACCAAAAGGAGAAACTTGCTGTGTATTCGAACAGTTCCCAAAGGAGGAAGCACGCATTAGGCGCGGTGCCCGCTCCGTCAAGGTCTTCATCTCTGCACCTGAAAGTCTTTCGGTCCGCCGATCAGCACTGTTCTGTGATCAGCCCTGTTCTGCTACTAGACTTCATGCGCCGACACTACAGAAGGGGAGCCTTAGCCGACAGCTGCCGTCTGGGACAGAACAAAGTTAGGCTATCGAGGCTCACGCCCACAGACACTACGTGCATGGGAAAAGTCATCGATACTGGGCACCCGCACGTACGGCCTCTGCAGCATTCGCAAGCTCCTTGAGCACTGACAGCATGTTTGAGGGTTTGGGGCCAGTCGACCTGCAATCCCTGCAGGCAACCTGTCATAACGGACTGCGCGTACGGTATGGTATGGTTCACTCTGCAACTGCCCATTCCCGCGGCCCGCGGCAAGATTGTACCATTGATAAAACTGAAAGGCTTGTGCCGGCCGGGATCTTGATTCGAATCCCTTCCATCGGAATCTGGCACAAGACTCTGGGACCGCATCGCTGCAGGTGGCAACAACATCAGGGCAGCTGGACATAACCGACGAAGCCTTCATCCGATCCAGGAACATGCCCACATCCCTCGGAGCCAAGTCTGAACAGCAGCGCGCCGGTAGCTAACAGCACGTGCGAAGACATGTCGCCTTCAAAGGTACGGTCAAACCTGCGGGACATGTGCAGCATCTGGTAGCTGCTCTTGCAGTCCGCTTGAGGTTGTTGGCCCCAAAATCACGCGGACCCATGGCATGTTGATTGGAACTTTGAGATCTTCGACGGAGGCACGGAGCCTCGAGCTGCAAAGCCCTGAAAGTCCTGCTGGCCGAGCGCCTTCTGAGCAGCGGCTCCAGCCTAGGCGCTTGGGGAAAGCAGGGAGGGCTCGGTCTCGGCTTGTGGCTGGGAAAAGCCTGAGGCCGAGCCACGGTGCATCACAAGCCCTCACAGATTCGTCTGGGACTGGGGCGGCAATCTTCTCAACGGATGCAAGCTCCTGTCTTTTGAAAATTCGCACAGGAGCTCAGACAAACAAATGCACCGAAAAATCAATAAGCCTCCGTCCTGAAGTCTTGCGAATTCCGCGAGTCATTGCTAAGTTCCCTGAAAAACTTGGTGGAAGCATAGGACGGCGCCATTCCTCTGCGGTACACCACGATGCTATCATTGACGATGAAGGTCGAGGCTACACGGTGTGCTACCTCAAGCCTGTGTCCCGAAAGCTGAGTGGCCGATGCTACCTGAAAGTTGCGCTGACGCTCAAACATGTTCACTTTGGCCGCTCATTCCAAACCAGCTTACAGAATTTTTTTAGCGGTGGCGAATCACAGAATTAGAAACAACAGCACTTAGGCAAGTCTCCCGTCTCATCGACGCCGTCGCAGTTGCCAGATCCTCCGGATCTTTGCTTCTGGGAAACCAAGGGAGGTGTTTTAGGAAGATCCCACCTGGAGCCCAGCCCTGGACCCTCTCCGATTTGGACTCTGCTTTCAGGAACCACAAATGTCCGGACAGCTGAAGGAGCAACTGCCGAATTAGGAATTAGGCTGGGCTGCAAGATTTTCCCTACCGGACCTACCTGAAACGAAGCATGAACAGCTTTTTTGAAAACGCCGACAACAGCTTCAGGCAGACAGTGTGAGCTTGCGCCTGCTGCGTAGCCAGCTTCTCGTCCTTCAGCGTCTCATCCACGACCTTCCTCAACTCCTCAGATGCCAAAGTACCGGCGCAGGCAGTCTCTGTACTCATGGCAGTCATGTCTCAATTCACAGGTGCATCAACCACTATGAACAACTCTGAACCGCAAGCTCAGCAGGCTCGGCAGGCTCGAGTCCTGCTTCAGAAGCTTGGCCAACTCCAGAAGCTCGTTTCGCGAGACCACGTCCGAGTTCGAAACGGCCTGCTAATGAGTAGAGCCCTTCTTCATGAGCCAAGCCAAGCTCTGGCTTTTTGGGGCACAGGCTCAGAGCAAGAGCCCGGCTAGCATGCTAGAGCTGACAAAAGCAGAGAAGCAAAGCTGCAACCCTCGGAACTGACCCCAAGGTCCTCCGAGAACTTTCGCTTCATTTCCTCCTGCTTCTGCTGCAGATCCTCCTGTTGGCGGTTTGTCTCTTCAAAACTTCTCGAAGCGGTCGGGTTTAACCCCCGCACACAAGGCGACCGACCTGATCTCACGCCTGACTCTGCTCTGAACAGCAAGCGGGCAGCCTCCACACTCTTCCGCCATTTAGACAGGCGCGTCTCGGTTTGCTCCGCACGCCGCACCTTGCCGCAGAAGAACTATGGAAATTCCCGAGTCCCTCCCTGCACCTTACAGCTTCCGGACCCAAACCAACGACCGGGGAGGGGGGGAACTTTTTTAGGGCCAAACCACAGCATGCAAGGGCGGTCTTGGCCATCTCTTGCAAGAGCTCAAGACTCATGGGAAACTGCTATAGGAATCTCCGTCGACTTGCTACTGGTGCCCCTTTTGGAGCATCGGTTTCGGAAGAACAGGACTGCTCAATTCCGGGCCCTTCCATGGCACCATGCTTGCGCTTAGCAGCACATGCAACGATAAAGACTGACACATGTGTATCTGTCTGAAGCAACATACTCACACAAAGCTATCATGTGAATAAATCTTCTTTCTGACAAGAGTTCCTCCATTTCCCCGGCCCGGGCACCTGCATCTCCAGCGACTCTTGGAGACCACGGAGGTTGCCACGTAGCCTTGGGCTGGAGCGGAACGGCTGCTGTGCCAAGACGACAGTTGCAGCAGGGATAAATCTATGTCTTTGCATGTATACGTGAAAGCATGAGTACATGAAAGCCTGAATACATGAAGATGTTTGTGCATGCATACACATATGCATACATACATGCGTACATACGTACATGCCTGCATCCGTACCTACAGCTACCTACTGTCATATACCCACACACAAATCTTCAGAGCCAGCAAGTGACCAAGATGTGAGGGATGACTAGTCACTAGTCCAGAGGCCTGCACAGTAAACACGAGAGCCTCCCTGCTAAGACCCCGCGCTCGGCGATGCTGCAATCTGTGACTGGCTGTCGCCCCTCCATGGCTGCAACCTGGAAGCGGGTTTGATCCCAATCAGAGCTAATCGAAACTCGTGACTTTTCCATGGAAACCTGTGGAGAGGATGCCAGGCGATTTTGTCAGAACGACAGCGATCTGATTGAAAAGATGCAGGTACAAGACCACGCGGAGCTTGCTGCACCTTCGCCTCCAGCGGATGCATCATGATGTCCATGAAGCGTTCACTCTGCTCCTGGCCCCGCAAGCTCGTATTGAAGCTGAGAGATACGGACACCTGCAGCACTTGTGAACTCAAGAAGCGGCATTCCGACAGTTTGCAAACTGCCGAGAGAGGAGAGACACCCTCATCCCAGATTCACGTGGCCAATCCGGTGTGGATCAGGGCCACGGCCCACCAGGTCCCGCCGTGCTTTGCAGCTCTCCACTCCCAAGTCCTGGAGCCGCAGGACTTGCCGCATGAGCTTCTCCTCCAGAAGCTCCATGTCACGTCGCACCTTCTCACTTTGTCTTTGTTCTTTCGTACTGTCTTCCACACCATGAAGTCTGCAACAAGCTCCCTCCAAGCTTGGGAGCAGGCTCCGTCGTCTCGCGTACGCCTGAGACGCTGACCACGTGCGTGCTCTTTCAACTTTTGGACTTGCAGGTATGTGTGCCCGCAGACGCTTTTCTGCTCGACGCACTTCTTCTCTTCAGGTCGCGAAGCAGCCGCACATCCAAAGCGCCTCCCGTGCAGAGTGACAGAATGAACCCGAGTTCGATTCACGGGGTGACATTTCAAGACATGGATTTCGGGCAAACTGACATCTGCACGTGGCGGCCGTCAGCTCAGCAGAGCTGGAAAAACGAGATGCCAAAGCCTCCGAATGTGCCCTCCGACCAACATCAACCGCCTCCCAATGAAGTGCCCCCCGAAAGCATTCCTAGGGAGAGAACTTTACGAAACCGGCCTCCTGGACCAAGTAGCTCCTTGGAAGTCGTTGGAGCTACTACCCAGACTACCCACTGGCAGCACTGGCAAGCGTCGCCCTCAAAACACTCTGAAGCATCTGCGGTCACCTGCACCTCCTTGGAGTCGCTACCGCAAAGCAGCCAGCCGGACGGCGGACGGCCCTGTAGACTTTCTGCGTATTTCCAGAGAGGGCCCTCCCGAAAACTCCAGAACACCAGCTACACACACAAAAGGATCAACGTCCGAGCTTCGCGACGGCGTTTGCTAAGGGCGTACCACGGCATTCCAGCAGCGTCGGGCCCGAGCCGGTCCTGAAATGTCATTCGTCATTTGCCTGCGCTCTCTCTCTCTCTCTCTCTCTCTCTCTCTCTCTCTCTCGTCCTACCTTGGCCTTTGCTGCAGATCCGTGATCCAACAATATCAGTGAGCACTTACCCTCAATGCTGCAGACCAAAGAAGTTCTTCGACTCAGAGGTGCTCTTGGCCCATTCATGACACGACGATTTTCCGCTCGAAACAGCTACTGCAAGCATTCTGACCAAGGCACATGTCCGCCACGGACACTTTGGCGCCGCTGCGACGACCTTCCCGAAACGAAGCGTAAGTTTCAAGCCGTATTACCCTCGTGTCCTTTGACTCTGGGGGAACCACATCCCCGCACCCAAAAGTAGGCCCCAACGCGAACTGTGGACGGCGCCTGCCTACTCGGCACCTTCTGGTCAAGTCGGCTAAATCTGGCACGACATTTGCGCCTGAGAAACCTGGATCCTGAACACAAAACCCAGACTTGGCCTATGCCAAGCTTGCTGCTCGCCAGGAATTCAGCGGCTTTCCTGTCCGGGACGCACCTTGGCACTGCAACGAAAAACTGGAGCACTTCGACTCGACTCGCTCAGCTGCCTAGGCTGGATTTGTGCGATTACCCAAGCTGGGTTCTACCGCTGTGCCATTTCAATTGCTTGCAGTGCCGCTAGACACAGCAACAGCAGCTGCAGAAGCCGCAGAAGTGGCAGCGGCAGTGGCCGTGGCGGCAGAAGAAGCAGCAGCAGCATTTGTGCGCTGCTGTGGCAGTGACCGTAGCAGTAGCAGTGGCATCGGCAATGGCAGTGCAGTGCCTGTGGCAGTGGAAGAAGCATGAGCATCAGGGCAGTGGCAGCAGTGGCCGGGGCGGCCGAGGCAGTGGCATCGCAAGACGAGACCATATTCCGCCAGGCTACACGAACAGCGCCACATCCTGCAGCTCCCGGGATAGAGCTCCCTGGGGTTCAGGACGGCCGTGCAGACATCTGCCTGTCGATAACATCTGGGCACCCATATTACTCGAGGCACTAGAAAGGTTTGACTATGTCCAGAAAGTAGGCTGCTTGAAGAGGGCTGAGAAATTCCAAGCCAATGCGATATGTCATTTCCATCACACATGGAACATGAGGACTTCTGCCAAAGCTGATTCGAAGCGGCAGCTTCTGCTTAGAGCCTCCGCTTGTGGCCACAGGTGGCACCGCGGAAGCAGGTCGGAGACTGGCTTCCTGCACAGGCTTAGAGCTCTTAGTGGATCTGGAGTGCAGCCTGATAATCGGCACCAGTGAAGAAGTACGGTTCTGCGGAGCTTCTGAATCTTTCTATGAACTCTTTGTGCTGTTTGCAGGGAGATCTCTGAAAACTGTATCTCGGCCAAATGGCTGGTGGCAGGTAGCTCAAGTTGCAGTTCCCAGCTTCAGAGGTTCTCATCGGATCATACGAGATCTAGAAATCTAGGGCGTGTTCAGATCTGCCAGCACAAGCGCAGCACAAGCGCAGCATAAGCTTGTGTTCCAAAGCCGTTCCGCATCAGTGTCGCAGAAGGCCATGCCACAAATGTAAAATTACATGGGGACCCGTACTACAAACTGCTCAGCCCTCTATAGGACAGGGAAGAGGCAAAAGCGATCCTCGAGTGCCCCAGCCGGCGCAGCACGGGAGCTGTTTGCGAGGATCTCACCTTGAAGGGTTGGCGAACTTGAGCTTGGGCACTTCAGGCCCTGCAGACGGGAGGTTCGTAGAGTCCATACAGTCGCATTGCAGCCAAGGCTCTTTGCCTCGCTTGCCGGTCTTCTACAGTCGATGGCGATGCCACTGGGCCTGAAAAACAAGCTAGCTGTATCCAGGAGCGACGAAGTAAAAAAACCTCAATCCAGAGCTGAACAGGATGCAGCAGAGTCGGGTTCGACGGCACTTTGAAACAGGTTCACAAAGGTCCCCATAAAGCCAGTGCCAACAACTTAACGAGTCCTCTCTTGGAAGTGTTTAATTACCTTGCTGCAGCTTCGCAACATGGCAGGCCGAGGGCACAGAAGAACAGCTCTCTCTACTCTTGGCACAGGTTGTCCCATGGTCAACATTCGCTACCTCCGTTTCTGGACCCCGGCCGCCTTGAGCTCTGTCAGGCACGTGGCCACCCCCCTGCGCGAGGCTGGAGACGGCTCGCTGCCTCGCTTCAGCGAAAAAAACACCCCCGATGCCCCGTAGAAACGAATGCAAATGAGGGAATGCACCGTCTTGAAGCTGCAAGTCTGTGAGCGTTGTAAGTTACTCTCCTCCAATGAAGCCATGATGCAAAACTTCACGTTCTCGGGCTTCGTTCTCCTTGGCCTGCACATAGGAATGATCAGGAAATGGCTGAGGATCCATCAAACGAGAGCTGCATCATGTCTGCAGAAACTAGCATAACTGCTCCTCTTTATGTAATGTACATAGAAAGCCTGATTTATGGCCGTCTTTGCAGTTTTGGAGTACACCACGCAATCCCGTCGCTTATGCATGCGACTCACGAGACCCAGAAAGGTGAATCGATACCGTGTTCGACGTCAGTACACTCAGCCAACGCTGACTTGCCACCTGGTACAGCGGTGTAGCGGCTCGACAAGTTGTGGCCTGCTGGCCACGGAGCTCGCTTTCCCTCCGCAGCTCCTCCCTCTCTTCGTGCCGCCGGCGCATCGCCTGCGCCTCCACAGGAGTAGAAGCACTTCTCTCTCCTCTCTCCTCTCTCCTCTCTCCTCTCTCCTCTCCTCTACTCTCCTGTTTTGTTCTGGGCCTGCAATCCGCAAAGAGGCTTCCGAAAGGCTATAAGGACGGAAGTGACGCCTCTGCATCCTCGGCAACTTTCGGGGCGGCCGCGGCCCAGTTTTCGTCCTCCTTGAAAGCAATGCAGGTAACAACGCCATCCTTTTGGGCGTTGACCACACTGTATGCTCTAGACAGTGGAGCTCGCTCTGCCGAAACCGACAGCGAGGCAGATGGTGTCTCAATCTTTGAGTTTCCTAGAGAACGCTTTTGGGACTGGCCTGGTATTCGTGCTGCTGTGCTCGGGGGCCTGTGCCGTACCCGCGCGTGCTGCGGGCACGGGCCTGGGCAGGAGGCGGAGGGCAAGTGCCAGTAGGACCCCAAGTGTGGTGCATCAGATCTGGTTGTGGTTGGGTTTTGCACGAGCATAAGGGTCGCCTATGCAGACCCGACTCCCGCTACATCGCAACTTCACAGCATCAGGAAATGTTGAAATACGATGAGTCAACTCATGAACACCTGGATCTTGAACCCGTTCGCCTGCCGGGCTTGCTCCTCGTACCTCTCGGCCTGACAAGCATTCGTTGAGCCGCACGACTGATCCATGGCCTAAAAAGGACCGCGGCATGCCATCGCCACGTACCGAGAACGACCCCATGAGGTGCCTATGGAACAGACCTACCGCGCCCGCTCCTAACATACCAGAGCTCAGTACTTCGAATCCTTGCCTCGCGAATGCAAGATTGATGCTGATCGGCTGATGTAGCCTGAATCAAGCAAACGACTTCGCGTGAGAGTCATGAACAGCATACGGCATACGAGTAGAAGGCCTCCAGGTCAGAAATGCCGGAGGCCACTGATTCTTAGGAGACGCAGAACTCAGGATTGACAGTCGCGGTCAGTTTCGGGGCGCTGGTCTGGCAGTTTAGAGGGCGGGGTGGGCCGTGATCAGAAACAGGGCATTGCCGTGAAACTCAGCACCGAAACACCCTGAAACTCACACCTTCCGCCGCTGCCTCGACTCCTGAATTACACTCGTGCGTGTCACCTCTGTGCCACGTGTCCGAACCACAATTCAGCAAAGGAAAGCCCTTGCTCAGCTTGCTCTGGCCTCCATGGCCCGGAGCCGCATGTCACGGGCCTATCAGGAGCACGACGTTTTCTTGATCTGGGACTCAAACGTAGATGCACGTGGTCCACATCACTGTCAAGGAAGGTTGGGCAGCTGTGTGTCAGTGTTGGTGTGAGCCTTGTCCGCCAGCATCTTTGCTTCACGTGCGGCATTTTGGCACTCCTTTCGCAGAATGGATGGAAGGTGAAGAATAAAGTGAAGTTGGGTCGTCGAGTCCTTAAGCGTTACACTGTTTTCATTGCTTTCAGATGTCTCACAGAAGTGAAGCTTGACCACCATGTCGGGACGGGGTCTTGTGTTCTCCGCGAGCCCACCAACTACGTACTGGTTTGCGAGGTTTTCACCATCTGGAATGGGACTGCCCTGCATCTCTAAAAAACAATACCGCATGTCCAGACACACCCCTGCGGAAGTTTCGAACCCTAGCAGAACATACCCGGGTCGAGCGGCTTGCTGCTCCCGCGCAGTGGTCTCCTCGGCAGGGGACTCTGCAGCAGGATGAAGCGTGACTTTCGAAGCCAGAACTGGGGTGGAACATGAGTAGCAAACACGTCGAGAAACTCGAGCGGCGGTCAAGGATAATTGGAGGTTCAGAGCTGTCTGCACGGGTGGAGTGAGTCCAATATGCCGATGGAAAATTCGGGCACAAATGGGTGCACGTGGCACGGCGTCCGCCGATGCTGTGTGCCAGAATGCCAGGGCTATTCCAACTTTGTAAGCATCTTGTTTCGCGGTTTCCTTACCGGCTCGTGGATTCAGGAATTTGTAAAATGCTGCTGTGAAGGGGCAAGCTAGGCTAAACCTTGTGTTGAAACCACATGTACGCCGGATCTTTCGTGCCCAATACAGGAACTATTGCTGTGGTTGCGCGAGGCCCTTCCCTTCTGCAGATTGCGAAGCAAGGCAACGCTCGCATAGACTTTGCCTCCAACCGCTGAGGCTGGCGCCCGAATCTGGCGCTTCCGCTCGCGCTCCTTCTCAGCCTTTTGCGAGCTTTCAAGGGTGGAGTGTCTCGCAAAGATCTTGCATCAACACTTTCGCAGCTGTGCACGTCTGTCTGAAATTTGGTTTATGCTCTTAGCAGTAGCTATGGAGACGCTGTGAAAGCTTGCAAGGCATCTCGCGGATGTAAGGTGATTTGGTACGCCAGACCTTGCAGCAGGGCTGCACATTACAAGCCTTCGCTGAACACACAGAGACGACTGCAGAAAGGGAGAAAGGGAGGAGCTCAAAGACAGCCGTGGAGCTATCATCATCAGTGCATCGCTGAAAGAGAATCGTCTGGCCTCAACTTCGCGCTGCTGCGCCTCGCGGCTCTTTCGGGCCTTGGCTGCGAGCTAATTCGTCCCATGTCGCCGACTCCTAGAGAAGTGCCTTGTGGAAACTTCTTCTTTAGGTTGCCCGTGCCCCCATGCAGAGATGCCTCCGTGCAGAACTCTTGACTGAAAACCCGAAACCCCCAAACCCTAAATTCCCCAAGCCCGAACACGCCAAACCCTCAACCCTATATAAGTCTTGAATCACCAAACCCTAAACTCCCCACGCCCTAACACCCCAAACCCTCAACCCCTATATAAGTCTTGCATCACCAAACCCTAAATTCCCAAAACCCTAACACCCCAAACCCTAAACCCCTATATAAGTCTTGAATCACCAAACCCTAAACTCCCCAAGCCCTAACACCCCAAACCCTAAACCCCTAAGTCTTGAATCACCATACCCTAAATTCCCCAAACCCTAACACCCCAAACCCTCAACCCCCATTTAATTCTTGAATCACCAAACCCTAAATTCCCCAAACCCTAACACCCCAAACCCTCAACCCCTATGTAATTCTTGAATCACCAAACCCTAAATTCCCCAAGCCCTAACACCCCAAACCCTTAACCCCTATTTAATTCTTGAATCACCAAACCCTAACATCCCCAAGCCCTAACACCCCAAACCCTCAACCCCTTTTAATTCTTGAATCACCAAACCCCAAACCCCTAAACCCCTAAATAATTCTTGAGTCACCAAACCCTACATTCCCCAAGCCCTAACACCCCACACCCTCAACCCCTATTTAATTCTTGAGTCACCAAACCCTGAATTCCCCAAGCCCTAACACCCCAAACCCTCAACCCCTATATAAGTCTTGCATCACCAAACCCTAAATTCCCAAAACCCTAACACCCCAAACCCTAAACCCCTATATAAGTCTTGAATCACCAAACCCTAAACTCCCCAAACCCTAACACCCCAAACCCTCAACCCCCATTTAATTCTTGAATCACCAAACCCTAGATTCCCCAAGCCCTAACACCCCAAACCCTCAACCCCTAAATAACTCTAATCACCAAGCCCTAAATTCCCCAAACCCTAACACCCCAAACCCTCAACCCCTGTGTAATTCTTGAAACACCAAACCCTAAATTCCCAAGCCCTAACGCCCCAAACCCTCAACCCCTATGTAATTCTTGAATCACCATACCCTAAATTCCCCAAACCCTAACACCCCAAACCCTCAACCCCTATGTCAGTGTTGAATCACCAAACCCTAAATTCACCAAACCCTAACACCCCAAACCCAACCCCTATGTAATTCTTGAATCACCAAACCCTAAATTCCCCAAGCCCTAACACCCCAAACCCTTAACCCAATTTAATTCTTGAATCACCAAACCCTAGATTCCCCAAGCCCTAACACCCCAAACCCTCAACCCCTGTTTAGTTCTTGAATCACCAAACCCTACATTCCCCAAACCCTAACACCCCAAACCCTCAACCCCCATTTAGTTCTTGAATCACCAAACCCTAGATTCCCCAAGCCCTAACACCCCAAACCCTGAACCCCTGTATATTTCTTGAATCACCAAACCCTAAATTCCCCAAACCCTAACACCCCAAACCCTCAACCCCCATTTAATTCTTGGATCACCAAACCCTAGATTCCCCAAGCCCTAACACCCCAAACCCTCAACCCCTAAATAACTCTAATCACCAAGCCCTAAATTCCCCAAACCCTAACACCCCAAACCCTCAACCCCTGTGTAATTCTTGAATCACCAAACCCTAAATTCCCCAAACCCTAACACCCCAAACCCTCAACCCCTGTGTAATTCTTGAATCACCAAGCCCTAAATTCCCCAAACCCTAACACCCCAAACCCTCGACCCCCATTTAATTCTTGAAACACCAAGCCCTAAATTCCCCAAACCCTAACACCCCAAACCCTCAACCCCCATTTAATTCTTGAATCACCAAACCCTACATTCCCCAAGCCCTAACACCCCAAACCCTCAACCCCTATATAAGTCTTGAGTCACCAAACCCTAAATTCCCCAAGCCCTAACACCCCAAACCCTAAACCCCTAAGTCTTGAGTCACCATACCCTAAATTCCCCAAACCCTAACACCCCAAACCCTCAACCCCTATGTCAGTGTTGAATCACGAAACCCTAAATTCCCTAAAAAAATTCTTGAGTCACCAAACCCTAAATTCCCCAAGCCCTAACACCCCAAACCCTCAACCCCTATTTAATTCTTGAGTCACCAAACCCCAAACCCTAAACCCCTAAATAATTCTTGAGTCACCAAACCCTGAACTCCCCAAGCCCTAACACCCAAAACCCTCAACCACTATTTAATTCTTGAATCACCAAACCCCAAACCCCTAAACCCCTAAATAATTCTGGAGTCACCAAACCCTAAACTCCCCAAGCCCTAACACCCCAAACCCTCAACCCCTATTTAATTCTTGAGTCACCAAACCCTAAATTCCCCAAGCCCTAACACCCCAAACCCTCAACCCCTACTTAATTCTTGAATCACCAAACCCCAAACCCCTAAACCCCTAATTAATTCTTGAGTCACCAAACCCTAAACTCCCCAAGCCCTAACACCCCAAACCCTCAACCCCTATTTAATTTTTGAATCACCAAACCCGAAACTCCTAAACCCCTAAATAATTCTAGAATCACCAAACCCTAAATTCCCCAAGCCCTAACACCCCAAACCCTCAACCCCTATGTAATTCTTGAGTCACCAAACCCCAGACCCCTAAACCCCTAAATAATTCTCGAGTCACCAAACCCTAAATTCCCCAAGCCGTAGCACCCCAAACCCTCAACCCCTATTTAATTCTTGAATCACCAAACCCCAAGCCCCTAAACCCCTAAATAATTCTTGAGTCACCAAACCCTAAATTCCCCAAACCCTAACACCCCAAACCCTGAACCACTGTGTAATTCTTGAATCACCAGACCCCAAACCCCTAAACCCCTAAATAATTCTTGAATCACCAAACACTAAATTCCCGGAAACCTGAAGCCACAAGGAGCCTCCTGCTCGATACCCTCCGATGCGCAGGGCAGGGTCGGCAGCCTCCGCTCAGGAATCTTGGGCTCTGTGGGGGTTTTGGGGGGTTTTGGGTTATGTGGTTTATTTACGCGTTAAGTCTGAAAGGCCTGGGGATCGAGAGAGTCTGAGTGCAATTTTGGTCTTGTTTTCGCGGGCCCCTGTTTCGTGAATTTGATCGTCCAACAAGAATCAGCTGACTGGTGTGGCTGGCGGCAAATCTGGGCAGCGCTCTCTGCATACTGGGTGGTGTCAGCAGAGAGCCGCATGAATCAATCCAACCTCTCTAAGCCACCGCCTGACTTCTTCCCGAACCCCCGAAACCGCAGGCAGCTTCCCTCCAGCCGCCTTTCTAAGGGCACCGCCGCCTGCTGAGAAGCGGCCTCCAAGATAAAAAATATCGAAGGAGACTGGAGGGATGCTGGAGGGACGGAATGGCTTCAACCCGCAGGTCAGTGAAAGGTCTGGCGACGCATAGTGAACGCACGGTGTGAAGATGATGTTCGAGCGTCCGGTGCTGCCTGCACACCATCGGGCGCGCGCTTGGCTCGGAAGGCCTCCGCAGGAGACCAAAAGCAAAGCGCGAGCCGGGAAGTAATGCAGGGGCCTTAATAATTAGACTAAGGTTTTGGGGCCCATTTTACTTATAATAAGGAACCCGCAAAATAGTACCCTATATTATGGAAAAATCTCCCGCTGACATCCTCGACATGTCCTGATCCCTCGCTGCAAGCCTCCTCATTTATCTGTCTCTCCACATCAGTGAACCAAATGGCCTTTTTCACATGACCCGGTTCGCTCTCTGAGATCTCACCAATCACTGGCTTGCGTCAAATCTCGTACCAATCGCCGCGTGCAGGTGTCAGAGGAGCATCTAAACACGTGGCCGCACTAAATCGCATCCTCCCTAGGTGCCACTGAATCTTCTCAAGAAACATCGCAGAAACCAACACCTCGGACCTAGCCCAACCCCCAGCACCTCCATGGCGCCTGCCCAGGCAGAATCCTGGCAGCTTGGAGTACTTCGTGAGCTCTGGCGAATAGGATCATGACACGTAGTGCTGGAGCATGCAGTGCAAGAGCTCAATCCTTACTGACTCTCCAGCTTCAGACTCTGCACGCACTAGGCTGAGTCTAGAGACTTATTTGGAGGAACGATTACGCAGCAGTACAGCGTGGGCATTCTCAAGGTCGTCGGCTTGTGCTCTCCAGGCTTCTAGCCATTCTCCAGAGCCAAACATATGCTTCGAAACTTCGACACAACACCGCAAGGCCTGGAGGTCGAAATCTCGATCCACCAGCAGGGCCGCTTGACTCATGCGAATCTGCAGCTCCTGCGGAAATGTGCGAATTCCCCCCCTCTCAAGGTGCTGCCTGAGTCTGCAAAACTGACTGCATCGTCTCCTGAAGTCTCCATGCGACAATCTGCAAGTCGTGGGTCTCCTGGAGGAGTGGAGTATTACGAGTATATTCGTATACTAGTACATTGGTACATGAGTATACTGGCATACTACTATAGCTCGGAGTGGCCGAGAACCCTGGCACAGAATGAAGCCATGTCCTCGGCACGAAGGAGCACCTTTCGGTGCTTCTGCAAGCCTTCCATTACCTGCACACATATCTTCACTTTGTAATTGGTCTTACTGATCCTCCTCCAGCTCCGCCTCTCAACATGCCACCACTCCTCCCTCCCTTCCTTATTTTGCATCTGCCCTTCAAGAAAGCTCGCTTCACGCTGCGATGTAGCTGACGATTGCTGCAACAGCGGACCTTAATCGACTCTCAGGATTTCACGAGCTCTCGCGAGCTTCGTGCCTGCTCCAGATGCTCCGACCTCATGGCCCATCCTGAAAGCTACATATGCTAGAAATCACGCCACGAAATAAAACCTGGCCGGTCGACCCACCCAGCGGGTTAGACACGGTTTGGGGGCCTCCACATGGATCACGCAACGCGTCTCGGCAGTGAGCTGTTCCTTCAGGGGGGTGTGGGAGAAAACGGCCCGAACTTACTGGAATAGCACCAAAGCTACTGCCGCAGTCTTTCGGTTGGCTGTTGATCAAACGGTGGCCGACTGAATGCCCCGGAGTCTGGGATGCATAAGTTAACGAGCGGCTACTGATGGTGCGGACGACAGAGCCTGGCAACAGTAGGCTTGTTCGTCGCACTGTCCACGATGTTCATCTGTCTGGGTTAAAGACAACGATCCTGAACCACTGCTGCTCAAACCCCGCGCAGCGATTGACTAAGCACCGGTACATCTTAGATGTACATATTCTGCTTTCCGAGCACAGGATCCTGCATCGTGACAGCCTCGGTTACCGGCTACTCATTGCCCAAGCCTCCCCAAGTCCAGCACACTAGCAGACTAGCAGCCTCTGAACTCAAAAACAGTCCTCACCCAGGTATGGCTCGCACTGCGCCTGGGCCGACAGTTTCAGGGCTCATGGGTTGCTCGCTTTGCGGGACTCGGTGACATCTACTTTGGTAATCCGGCCATGGCCTGAAAAGAACTTCGTTCCATGTCAATGCGCAACAGCCAGCAAGGTTCACGACAAAAGCTCCCAAGACTACTCCCGTTGACCGGCAATGTCTCCAAGAAAACCGAAAACATGCTAAGTATAAGCTGTGCAGACGGGGACGAGGAAGGCCACATCCGTCTCGCCGACCTGGCAATTCATCGACCTTTTTGAAATTGAGCCGCCCCTTTTGGAGATGTATTCCCGCGTCATTAATGTGCAAAGCGCACAGGACCGTCAAACCAAAATCCAACAAGCCACATCAGACAGGACTTGTACAGTTGCGAAAAGTGCTCCCGGGCTTGAATTGTCGAATCCATCATGAGACACTTAAGAACCCAAAGGCCAAAAGTCCCCTCAACCCGGATACTCCGACCCAAAATCCGTAACAAAATTGAACATGAAAAAGACATTTAAAACAAAAACAAGTGCCCAGGCTCTTGGCCCCAAAATCAAAACTTTAAACCCCAAACCACAAAGCAACAAAAAACACCCAATCACAAAGCCTCCACCGTGAAACCCTAAATGCCTAAACCTGAACCCAACCCCCGAACCCTACAACCCCGAACCTTGAAAGCTCTTTGACAAAGAGTGTCGACCTCGGAAGGCTCCAGCGCTCGAAGTGCCTGCGGACCCCGGGCATTGCGCACCAGCCCTGGGCAAAGGCCAGACGATTTCACTGGGCTGGGACGATGAGGGTTTAGGAGTTGCAAGCTTAGGGACTTTAGAGTTTCTAGGCTTCAGGGCTGAAGGATTTAAGGGGGTTTCGGGGTTGCAGGGATGAAGACAGGCCACCGACCACAGCGGCGTGCATAGCCTCATGGCTTCCTTTGACGAAGGCCACGTGGAACTGCAGACGCTGGAGCACCTGTCTCAGCTCAGGGCTTAGGGTCCCATGCCGAGTTTACGTACATGCTATAGACTATCTACTAAATCTACCGAATCTAATATATATTTATATATACGTATATATCATATGTTACGTTACAGTACATTACATTACATTCCATTATTTTTGGTCGGGAAGCTTACTGGCCAGAGCCTCGGGCAGCTGCTTGTCCAAGATGTTCACGTTCGCCCCACTCCTAGCCGAGGCACTCAGTCTGGGTTTAGGAGTTTGAGGGTTTCGGGGTTTAGGGGTTTAGGTGTTTAGGGTTTAGGGGTTTAGGTGTTTAGGGTTTCGGGTTTTGAAGGCTTTGAGGGTTTGAGGGCTTCGGGGTTTAGGGGTTTAGGGTTTCGGGTTTTGTTGGTTTGAGGGTTTGAGGGTTTCGGGGTTTAGGGGTTTAGGGTTTCGGGTTTTGAGGAGTTTGAGGGTTTGAGGGTTTTGGGGTTTAGGGGTTTAGGGTTTCGGGGTTTGAGGGGTTTAAGGGTTTGAGGGTTTCGGGGTTTAGGGGTTTTGGGTTTCGGGTTTTGAGGGGTTTGAGGGTTTGAAGGTTTCGGGGTTTAGGGTTTCGGGTTTTGAGGGGTTTGAGGGTTTAGGGGTTTAGGTGTTCAGGGTTTAGGGGTTTAGGTGTTTAGGGTTTCGAGTTTTGAAGGGTTTGAGGGTTTCGGGGTTTAGGTGGTTAGGGTTTCGGAGTTTAGGGGTTTGAGGGTTTCGGGGTTTCGGGGTTTGAGGGTTTCGGGGTTTAGGGGTTTGAGGTTTCGGGGTTTGAGGGTTTTGGGTTTCGGGTTTTAGGGGTTTGATTGTTTCGGGGGTTAAGTGTTTAGGGTTTCGGGATTTAGGGTTTCGGGGTTTAGGGGTTTGAGGGTTTCGGAGTTTAGGGGTTTGAGTGTTTCGGGGGTTAAGTGTTTAGGGTTTCGGGCTTTAGGGTTTCGGGGTTTAGGGTTTAGGGGTTTGAAATTTGAAGGTTTCGGGGTTTAGGGGTTTGAGGGTTTCGGGGTTTAGGTGTTTAGGGTTTCGGGGTTTAGGGGTTTGAGTGGTTCGGGGTTTAGGTGTTTAGGGTTTCGGGGTTTCGGGGTTGGGATCTGAGGCTTCACAGGGCTTTCTCAGGCCAGCTGCGACTGACAGATAGGAGGTGGGATACCCAGATAACGAACTTCTTATTGGCGCGTCCATGCGCGTCCTTAGCATCCCCCGAGAGTCAGCCCTGCCAATGTCGCCCAGGCTCTCTTGCCGGAGCTCTTTGATGATAGCGCCAGCCTTGCCGATGACGCGAGGGATCTGCATCCCCTTCCTCAGCCAAGGACATGTCGGGAACAAGCAGCGGAAACGTGTCGAAGCAAAATCAAGGAAAGGCTTTGGTGGCTGATGCCATAATCACAAGATCGAATGCTTCCTTGAATTGTTGCCCGCGTGCGGAACAAGTGTGAACACATGAGCTTGCGCAAGCACATCTGACGGCACTCTTCAGGCTAGTGTGAATTTCTGTCATACAAGAGCATGTTCGACCCTGGACTGGCGCAAAATTCTTAACGCGACGTCGAGCTGCAACAACATGTAGCATGGCACGTCGCCGGGATCTAGGGCGATCATTGCTGCACGACGTGTTGCGTAAGCACTGATGAAGTCTACGTTCCCTCATAGCTGTCAACCTTTTTGGAAGCGCTGGTCGACCTTCTCGTTCTGCGGGTCGTTACCGACGGGCTGTTGACGCGTATGCTAGTTACTTTCTGACGTATGATCCAGAGACGAAGGTGTCGGGGGCTGCATCCTCGCTTCGTCTTTCACTTACATCGTTTTGGCCACAGCTTGCAACAACTGTTTAAGACATGCTTGTCTTAGCCGGCAGGCAACTCTTGGGATGCTGAAACCTTCCTGGGTCCCTGGAGTATGCTGAGACGCTCTGAGAGACCGTCATCTGACCGTTTGCTGCTGTTCGGTTGTCGGAACTCGGAGCCGAAAAGCTGCCAATTCGTGACACCCGGACCCGGGCAAGGCTTGTTGCAGCAATCGCTCTGGCTACAGCATGTGACAGCCATCTGAATGCTTCCGCAGCCTTGAATTTCCTCTGCATGGACTGGAGGTGCTAAATTGGGGCAGGAGGTGGGAGAGGGCTGAAAGCTTCAACGAAGAGAAGAACCCCCTGCTGGCCTGGTGAGGCTGTCAGAGGTCGCCTAGCAAAGTTGGGGGCTGCAGAGGTAGCCAAGGCCCTTGAAGGGATTCCACGAACAAGCCTTGGGCGACAGCTGCAACGCTCGATTCCAGCGCTGTTGCGCCTCCAGATCTTGAAGCTCCCAGGAGCTGGTCGATGCATCAAACTGTGTGGGTGGCTTATCTTCTCTAGTTGCTTTAGATGTGTGTAGACACTTCTTTGATGGGGAGCACCGCAGATTAAATGCAACATGAGCAGCTCGCAGTTGTGCAGGCCGCCGGGCTGGCTGTTAACAGTTGCCTTCAAGCACACGGGACGAAGCCTCCTCTTCCATGGAGGACCAAGCAGGTGCGGCATCCCCTGTTGCAAGACGATTGAATTCTGTTCTACAGCCAAGATAAGAGCTGCGAGCTGACATCTGTAAGATGAAAGATCACAGGGCACCCACCACCTCGCGGGAGTCGACTTTGCGTGAGACGCGCACGACCATCCTCCAGAGCAGTGCAAAGTGGTTCAAAACGAAGGCTCTGTGGCTCTGTTGCCGGCGTGTTCGAATGAGATATGATAAATACCAGCATGTACTCATATACTATCATATGCTGTAATGTACAAAGGCTGCGGCAACGAGCCGTGGCTTGTTCAGACCGTTCTTGGGATTCCCAGGGCGACCGGGGACCGAGCCTCGCGGCCAAACAGGCTCCCCAGAGGCACCTGGCTCTCCGACTACGATGAGTTGAAGTGGAAGATCCTTCAGACTTTATGAAGGTCAAGCTTGGAGACAGTTGCGCACTGTACGGAACTCCTATGACTCAGCACTCTCTTGGCCGTTGCTTTGGGTCAGATAGGGGGCTTTTACTTCAAGCTTCCAGAAGCAATGGATCGCAGCTGCCTCCGAGCCGGAGGAGTCCAGGAATCGAGCATTCCGAGAGCCTCGCCGAGCTGTTGCAAAAACTGAACTTCCCAAGTCCAAACACCCCAAGCTGAATGCGCAAAGCCTTCTTTGGCTACGCGCGCGCGCAGCTAGAGAAAGTTGTACATCTCTTGCACCATCTTCGCACTGAAAGCCCATGCCCCCCAAGGAGGGTGTCAGCGAAATCCCCTTGCGCATGCGCAAGCCTTTGCACCAATCCAATTTCCTGCAAATCGCCCGAAGCATCCAATACAAAATACACGTAAGATTGTTGGTATGTCGTGTTTGTTGTATGTGTATGCATACGTACATACATACATATGCATCTGGATACATGTATGCATCTGCACCTGCATACGAACATGCATACGCATATACAAACACCAATGCACACCAATACATATGCAGGGCATATCACGTGTATGCATACGCATATGTGCACATACCCATACACACACGGAGATATGTATACGCATGTATAATTATGTATATAAACACACGTATGTCTGCATACACACAGCGCATACATCGACATTTACATCTACATATACATATACATACATATACATATGCGTATTACATATACATGTACACATACACGAACATGGAAGCTATATACATATACATGTGCATGTACAGATGATAGGGAATGCATGTTACCTGAATATACCTTACATATACTTACATGTATGAGATGTGTGCATGTATGCACGCGTACTCGCCGTCTGCCAGTAGCGGTAGTAGTACTTGTAGTAGCAGCAGAAGCAATAGTAGTAATGCAATCGTAATGAGGTGCCCGCAAGCATGCCTTGCCAGGATTACAAAATGGGAGGGGCTTGGGGGGCACACCTCCCCCCCTCCATTTGCAAAGGCAATACTCGATGTCGTGTTTCAACCTGATATGTGTCAGGCCCTTAAATGTCGTCTGCAAGAAACAGGCATTTTGCAACCAGATGACATAGAGACAATGCCTGGTCTGCATATATACATATATACACATATATATACATATATATATATACACATATATATATATATACATACATACATACATACATACATACATACATACATACATATATACATATATATCACATACACTAAATACTGTGGATATATACATACTGTGAGTTCTTCTTCAGACGGACACCCGAAGATTTAGCGGCCCGACCTCCCGGGCTCGAAGTCGAGGCAGGCCCGATTCCGCCGTCCTGGCATCCCAGGAGCCGCCAGAGCTCCAAAAGCCCTACTTCTACTATTGACGGTATTATGAGTACTTCTTATGACTATGATGATGACAAATTGTTGCTAGTGTCACATGATGATTACTATTGTGAGTAGCATTGGTAGTATTACTAGTATAATGATCGCTCGTGTGATAGTGAAGACTTTGATTATGGTCTAATTAACACGATAATTGTTACCATGATTATACTTACTACTGTGTTGCTACTACTACCTACTATTACCAGTCTCACACCACCAATTCCGTTTCTTACTGCTCTTGCTGATCTTACTTACTGTTTTGATTATGGTTATTGTATTGTTGTGTTCCCCTCCAGAAAGCTCATGCCATCCCTGATCGCCTTCGCCAGTAGAAATCGCCGAACCCTATCGAAGGGCTTTCTGCACTAAGACGAAGCGAACCAACAGCCCGCGAAAGAGTGGCAACCACTTTTTCTTTGGAGTCTCTCCTTGGAGCTCGACGGGGTCACTTCGGATGCCATGTTCAGCCGGAGCACCTGGACTTAAGGGTTAAGGGTTTAGGGTCTAGGGCTTGGGGGGGCCTTGGGGTTTAGGATAGAGAGACGCAAAGCCTTGGCAGCAAAAGCATGAGAAGTTTGCTCCATGAGGAGCACTCTTCAAACACCCCCATGGTCAATGCATTCGCTTGGCCATCACCTGAGGCACCAACCCAAAAAAGACAAGCACGGTGGAGCGCAGCCGAAGGTAAGAAAAGCCTCTAAGAGTGGTGCTCCCGATGCCTGGGAAACTACGGGTCACGGTTTCTGGTCCTGGCTAGAGGGGCCCAGGTTTCCGCTATGGCTTTCCGAGATGTCCATGAACAGGAATCAAAATGAATCAAACAGCAAGCACGAATGCAACGGCCATGACAGATCTTGAGCCAACGGCTGACATGTTGGGGTTGGTTTGACTGATCTCATCTCTCTCAGGACGCTATGAAGGCCCTGTCCCAAGTCTGTTTTCTGCGGTCACCGACGGGGATCTCTTCGTCTCTCCACAAGCCTCTCTTTCGAGGCCCGAAGTTCCTGAATCAATGGAGCTGCGACGGCGGCCCGACCGAAACAAGACACAGCCTCTACCAACCCCCCACCTGGTCTATGATACCATCGCAGACAATGACAGATGTCGCCTGCGTCGGTCGGTAGCTCTTTCCGGAGTCGGCAGTCGGGTGGAATTGCCAAATGAATCATAGTACATCATATTCGTTTGCAGCGTACGAACGAAGGTTCAAAAGGCTTCTAGCTGAGGTTCAACTTCACCCTGTCCGGGAGACTTCTCGTGGTCGCCGGTCTCGAGTGACGGATCCACGCACCAACCGGCTTCCATCGTAAACATGCGAGATCTTGCGAAGTTCGTCAAACTATTCGACACCATGCACATGGAAGTGCTTAGAAGACACCGACGAAGCCCCTGGAGGAGCTCAACGTCTTAAAACCTTCAAGCAAGCCGTTCAGCTCAGTCCAGCGAGCCCGCCGCATGGGCAAGGAAGCCCATCGTCAGCAGCACCTGCTCCAAGGTCCGAGATAAGCAATGCACGGCACAGAATGTGGCTTTGTTGTCGCGAGATGCTTCAAAACTGAATATAATATTGACCACATCTATGTAGGCGGGCTCACCTTATTTGCATTGCAGCTGGCTCCTGTGGCACACAGTGTTTGATGTTGCGGTTGCGGCAGTCTGCCAGGAAGAGGAAACCCTGAAGTCCGCAATCCAGCCCCCAAAGAAAAACGGAAGCCATGAGAAGAACTGCAAGTACAAGCGAGCTCATGGCCCAATGCAGGTCATGGAACATGTGGGGATTTTGCTGCAGCGGAGGTGGACACGTAGCCCTCGTCCGTTGGCTCGAGGTTCCTGAGCACGTGCCGTGCGCACCACACAGCCAGACTGACTTCTCTCCCTTCGGAGTAGCGGCAACTCCCTTAAAACCCTGAGCTCTTCTTTCACACAAGGGTCTGATTGTTGCTCTCCACCGCGGCCATGACATGAGCGGCAACCGCCCCAAAGTGGAAAAGGGCGAGTGCCTGTCATCTACTACTAGTAGACTAAGAATAGAATTAAAAGCTATCCAGATAGTGGAATAGTGTACGCAAGTTGTATACTACACACATGTTTGCATTAGCAACTTTAAATTTGCTATAGTTTTGTGTTTCTTTAGCTCCCAGCAGTTTTCACGGGGCGATGGGATGTGTTTTGGGTCTAGGGTGGGTCATTGAGCTCTTGGACTACACAGCCCGGTGAGGCATTAAGCGTCGGTACCTACCGCATTGATGAAGATCAATCTGGCGAACCGGGCATTGCAGGAGACAACATTCATCACAGCATCTTTGAGCAGGGATGACAGTAGCCCAAACTAGGTGTCTACAACTGTCATTATGACGACGCTGGGGCTATGCAGCACCCTTCACTTCTGCTTGGGGCTGGGTGGCCTGGCCAGCCCACAGCATCCACGAACAGAAGGGCGGCATGCCGATGTCAGAACCATCCTCATTCCTACGGGTAGCTCGCCCGACACTGCGTGAAAACCCGATTCTTGTCGTTGCTCTGTTTTTAGCGCGTGTCGTCGTCGCTAGTAGTTTTGCCCAGAATGGTCAAGGCTGCCTGCGAGACGGTCCGCCCGACTTCAGAGCGCAGCTGGCCCTTCCAGATGACCTGGATGTGAGCTTTGCTGTGTGGGGAGTAGGCTTCCTTGTCTTACGTAGGGCTTCTGTTGACGGTTTAAGCTTTCGCTGTCTATGGTCAACCCTTAAGATTCATGGCTGACCGCCTCTAGACTTGCACAGAACGCCATTGGCAATGATAGAAGCTTCACACCCCACCGCGAAGTTAGCACATCGGCTGATTCCCCCGTACGCCCCAGGTTCGCCAAAACATCCAACTTTGACGAACAACAGCATGCGGTCACAAACGGCAACATATGACCGGATCTTTCGCATCTGAAGTCATAGCTTCGGCTCGCAAGGCTCGGACGAGCCATCCCAGGAAGCTCAGCCCCAGCAGTCCCGCTCCATGCCAGCGGCGGTAAAGCTTAGCGACGGGCCGAGCCTCACATCAGGGGCGTCCTTCATCTTTGGTTGTTATTGCTTCTTCTTGCGCACCTGGCTCCTACTAAGCTGGTAGTACGTATGTCTTCTTTTGCCTTGCCTCGGCTTTTCGTACCGCGCTTACATACCCCGTATTGCTGCTCTGCTCTTCTTTCTCTGCCCCTTTGCTGGGCGGAATCTCTGCCTTCCGCTTTCTCTTCTTCTGCTTTCTCTTCTAGATCCTGCATCACTCTTCTTCTCGGCGCCTTGTGAACGTCTTACACTGCTCTCCCCCACACAACCACCATCCCATCAATTGCCCCCCAATCCTCGTCACCTCGACAATCTCGCAGGTGCTGCCTGCCTCCGATGCAGGATCCATAGATCCACGGCCCCGAAGAAAAAGGAACGAGCCAGCCAACATCTCGATGCCACTGTGGAAGACGTAAAGGCCCTGCCAGTGAGAGGCCAATTGCATCATGCTTCTGCTTACACGGCGTACGAGTGTCCCAATGAAGTGCAAATCGTTACAGGCACGACTGCGAGCGGATTACCCTCCGAACCTCAGGCCGCTCCCGAACGCAACAGCATGGACCGCCTAGAATAGCGGGCCTCGAGAAGGTACGCCATTGTCGAAGGTGCTCCACGAAAGCAGCTTGCACTATGCCTTTGTCCTCCTGTCACTGTATCAAAATCTAGACTCTAGACTGTCTTAGTTGGAGCAGCGATCCGATAGAACTACTTGTCCCGTTTTGCAAGTTGCAAGGAGAAGATGCACCTATTCTGCAGCCCTTGAATCCATGCAGAATGCAGTTGATCGGATGCACCCATTCTCCCTAAAGTCCGAGCGCGTGGCGAAAGTGCCGCAGTTGCTGTATGCGACAAGAGAAGACGCATTTGTCGGACCATCAGCTCGACTGGTGTCATCCGATACTATGTGCCATTTGACATCGTAAGCCTTTGGCTACACGGTCACTACTTGGGCACCACCGCGCCCAGAGCACGCAGAAAATCTGAGTGAACTACAACTCTCCTGTAACCTGGAATTTCTGCAAGTCCGGCATGTCAGTTTGCAGTATCCAATCTCTCGAAGGCACTGATGTCATTGGTACACAGTCTTCACGAAGGCAGGGTCGCCAGGTTCAAAAGGCGCATCTCGCTTCGGAGAGGCCATGAAAGAACCAGACTTGAGGACTGACTGGCTGTTGGCCACCCCTTCCCGCCCGCTAAACCCTAAACCCTAAACCCTGAAGCCAGGAACCCCTCAGCTCAAATACCCGTCTTGGGCGAAGCGACGCTTGTGACATCGTCACTTTGTACACCGAGATCGCCCAGCTCGGTGAAGACATTCAGCCTCCATGCCGGCAGGAGGTGAAGGTTGTGTCTGATACCAGGATTGCTGCTACAAGTAATTGTTGCTAATTTTTGCTTCAGGGATCGCCATCCTCAGAAACGATCCCCGGTCTACATCCTGTACGGTGACTGGCCCTCGGACCTGGATGTTCCCTTTCGCGCCATCCTGAGACACAGAAGGCGAGGTTCAGGCAGCTTTGCTGACTTGGCGGAGGCGAGAAGGGGAGGAGGTGAAAGGCTGTTACAGTAGTTGCTCTGCAAGTTCTGTCGCGGCTCGGGGACTGGTCCATCATCATGTCCTCCATACGCTTCAGGCTCCTCGCGAACCTCAGAACCAGACCCAAACACACCTCACAGCTGTCACAGCTCCGAAGCTTTGCAGCCACCGAGCCGGCGGAGCAAACCTGTTTGCTGGCGGAAGGTGGTCCTTGGCTCCCCAGGCTCGCTGGCGCTCCCGAAATCTGGGGATGCACTCTTTAAACCAACAGGTCCAGAGCCCTCCACCATAAGCCATGCTTGGGCACAACACAAGTTATCGAGCACAGCTACTGCCTGCGGCCGTCCATGTCCCGAACCCTGTGCAGCCAAGAGGCTTCATGTCGAAACTCATCTGGAGCAGATCAATGCTGGTTGCCTTGCAATAGCACAGGCGGTACAGCACAATTTTGGTTCACCCACGCGACACATGTCAAGCATGCAAGCTTCATGTGCCAGTCCAACTCAAGTACCGTGAGTATCGACAGGTTGGCACCCATGCAGGACAGCAACCTACCCAGTTCACAGTCTGCACAGGTTTCCTCAAGGGAGCAGCAGAGCGCAGGGTCATTGCCGGACTAACACGCTTGGCACGAGCATTGCCGATTCCTAGCCACAACGACAGGCGGGCACATGTGTGGATATCTTGCGCGTGTGCAGGCTTACACGTGCGTATCACTGCATGCAGTCGAGTGGCAAATCCTTTCATCCGAACGCAGGCGTTGGCCAACGTTCGAACGTCCACTTCCTGCTGACGTTCAGCAGTTCGGAGTTCGGAAAACCCTGACTTTGCATGGTCGACGGATGGACTTTCCCTGATACTGCCACGCCTGCTTGTCTTTATCCGAGGTGAGCATGTTGAAGAATGACCTTCGAGCAACACGAGATGCACGGCAGCCGAGATTGGCCCATGCATAGAGTGCGTAGCTTCCCCCGAGGTCCCAACTCGACATTCTTGATGTCGATGCCCCTTGCGGACCTGACGTTCAGGAGCATCCGATGCCCACCCCGTCTTGTTCAAGTAATCATGTTGTCAATCAATACTGCGGGCCGATGTAGTCGTACACGCTTGTGGGCTTGTGCTGGCCACCACACGGCTTTAACCATGGATGTCACGTCACACTAGTGAAGCTTCCCAAGAGATCACGCAACGCTGAAGGGCTCGGCTCCCACAGCCACTGGCCACTCGAAGCACTCCAACGCAAAGCCTGCGGACCTGAACAGTACAGCGTGCTACCAGGCTGCAAGTATCCCCGGAACCGGGGATCCTCCGCGATCGGTCGGAAGGCCTTTCAAAGTCGGAGTATCCGCAAAACAGCTAAGCCACTAAGCTTGTCGGTCTCGCACCATCAGAAGGTTTCAAACACTTCGCTCCACCTCGAGGGAAATGGATCCGACGTCCTCGCCATGATAGGTTGCGCCTTGGTATTCAACGGAACTTGGAGTGCTCATAAACCCGGTCCTGCGTGCATTCGCCTCTCTCTCTCTCTCTCTCTCCCTCTCTCTCTCTCTCTCTCTCTCTCTCTCTCTCTCTCTCTCTCTCTCTCACGTGCCTGTTACTTGCCGGGAGCTGACCCTGCCAAACACCCAAACTTGGCAGCCTCCGCCCCGCCCTCATTGCAGACCCGGTGCGACCCACGAAAACATCGATGAGCTCCTGACAGGGAAAAGATGACAAAGCGTCGGCAGCTGCGATGTTCGCCGCTCGGTGGCTCGGCGGGGTCCTGTGAAAGCTTCTTTTCCTGGGTGGTCTGCCTTAGCTGCAAGCGACGAGCTCATAGGAGTGCTCTCGCTGTCGCAGGAAATCCGATCCCAGGCAACGATGCTTCGGAGTTGAAGAGCATAAGAAATGGCCGCGCTGCTCCCACACCACAGAATCAAAGTCCGGCGTTGCAGCCTTTAGCGCAGCCTCCACGAAGATGGACGTCACCTCGGCATCCGTCAGTGCTCTGAAGATGGAGAGTCCAGTGACAACTCCGGTTAGCGAGCAGTGCTTCAGTCTGAGGTGGCAGAAGTCGTATTCGCAATTGGAAGATAAGAGCGAGGGAACTCGTATGGCAGAAGCACCATGGCATGCAATCTATAGGATGGTCTCGGTGTCGGGGAGGGTTGGGCGATTGATCAAACGAGGAAGGATCATCTGCATGTACATACGTACATACGTACATATCATACCATACCATACATAGCATAAACAACATAGCATAACATTACATGCATCCATACATATAAACATACATATGCATACACAAACGAAAACACATATGTGTAAACGTACATTTATGCATGTATGTATGTATGTATGTATGCGTCTGCCAGCAGAGATTATTTATTTATTTATTTATATATATATATATATATATGTGCGCAGGTTGATGTGTATGCATACGAACATACATACAGGAACACACGCATGCTCGCACGCATGCCGCGATTGGTATGGACAGTTACATGTGCGCACAAGTAGACGGATATGCACATGCTCACGACGGGTGAGGTGCATGTACGTATTTCTGCATATGCACAGTAAGCATGCTACGCGCATGCATGAGTTGCGCGCAGACTCATGGATGCATGGAATGTGCTGGATGCATGTATTAAAACACCAAAGAGGTCTCCCAAAGCAGCCCAGCAGCAATGTTCCAGATCGACACGACGAAGAGCAGGATGAACATAACGAAGATCACCTCGGCCCGAAACAAGCTATTGAATACAATCTTCAACCGAGGTCATGTCACCTATCTGAGCTCTGTACAGGCATTGCCCACCCGGTTTTCTCAAGCGCCTCCCGACACGGCTCAACCATGCTTCGGGTTTAGTGAGTCTTCTTACACGCTATTTCCAGTTGGAGTTCGTAGGACTTAGTGGGGTCACGAACAGATGCGGGCACCGGTGCATATGCACGCATACACACATGTCTCGAAGCTGTTGGTGTTCCTTTTGCTGAGGCTCCTCGTGTCATGGATGATCTCTCGCTCTCTCTGTCTCTCTCGCTCTCTCTTTCTCTCGCGCTCTCTTGGGCAGGCTGAAAATGCAGTTCTGCTGCACGGGTGCCAATGCTGCTCGTGATGCAAATGGCAATGCTGAGATCACGCGTCTACAGCAACAGGCACAGCTTGGGTTCACAGGACCGGCTGTGAAAGTCTCGAAGCTCCCAGAAATTCGGTGCCCGTAATTTCACTTGTTCTGGTGTGCCAGCCACAGCTCAACAGTGAGCAAGGCCGGACAGCTCAACAGTGAGCAAGGCTGGAAGGATGAGGCACAGCAACAGCCTAATTATACATCCCGCTGCATCACCCAACATTTGGCCCCCGTCCTTGTAGGGCTCATTCCAGTCAATGCCACCAGTTGTGGCCTTGGCCCCAGAACCACGCGGGGAGGAAGTGTTACAGCTTCACCGGCACTGAATGCTCACAGGGCTGCAACACAACATAGGATATAAGGATATGTGACCTGTAAGACATCTGTAGCAATATAGCGTGGCAGACTCGAGCTCGTGTACAGCATAAAGACACAGTGCTTTATGCTGAGATGGTGGTAGTACAATATATCGCAGCACACAATACGTACGTGCTAAAATGTCATGCCGCAGTCTGAAATTGAAAACAGACCCGAGGAAAGAGAACTACAAAAAGTGATGCTGCACAAAGTCAAAGCTACTACGCACACGTACGTCGAAGTGGTCGCATAAACTGATGTTCTCTAGCACAACAGAAGAGACAGCAGAGCCGGATGCGGGCAAGGCAGCCTGAAGGAGAGTGATCATGGTCTGAAACACATTGCGGAACAAGGATTGCAGCCTCGGCTTCGGGTGAGATGTGGTGTTTCCGCGTAACTCGGAGTCTAATTCCGCAAGGACATAACAAGCCAGGCTTAAGAAGCACAGGCAGCGGGGAATTGCTGCCTGATCCATTCCAGTCACGCAGCTCTCTGGAGTGCTCTGAGGTGAGGTCTCCCGTGTTTGCAATGTCAGCAAAGTATCCTGCCGGGGGCTCGCACAGCCAGGTTGCGGGTCTGCAAGATTGCTGCCAGGAATAGCGCTCATTTGAGTCTGTGCCCTTGTGACAGGCTTTGCGTCATGGATCTCGGGATACTGCGGCGTCCGGTGTTGCAGTATCACTTCTATACCTGCCTCTCATCTCGGAGTGCTGTAGCAGTGCACGAGCGATCAGGCTCGTTTAGCGAGATTTGCGGACCCATGATTCCTGACTCTTGCCGGCTGTCCATCTTGACTCTGTCCTGGGCCTGATTGATTCCTAAATCTCCGGTCACAGTGCTCTGGTTTGGGGTCCTACCAACGCCTGCCCCAGGAGAAGGGCGAAGATGAACTTGGTGAAGAATAGCAAAATGACACCTCACAGGATGAAACCAGTCGAAGCTTCCCTACAGCCCTCACACGGAAGCTAAAGCTCTCTGCATCCCATAGGATGCACAAAGCCTCCCTTTTTCTGCCCAATTTTCCTCATGGAGGAAGGTCCGGTGTCATGCGCTCATCAACCGGATCTTTGCACTCTCCGGAACTGTTCAGCAGAAGCCCAGCCCTCGAATCCAAAGATCTGAGACTCCGGCACCAGAAAGCATTCACCACAGATCCTGCCACACACTCCAGCATAAGTCGGAGCTCCTGGAAGAACTGCAACCTGGGTTCAAGCGGCGAAAGACTGCGGTGGACACGGCCCTGGTTTTTGCTGAGGTTCCACCGGCGTTTAGTCCCGCCTTCGAAATATAGATAAGTATGTATGTACGTGTCCGTAGATATATGCTTACTGATTTACTTATCTTTTTCTTATCTAGATACATGTACAGAAGGGACTGTCCTGAGGCCTGCGTCTACACATACGGGTAATCTCCGATGGTATTTTTGTGAATCTGTGCAGACGACAGCAGGTGCCTCCCCACACCCGGCCGGGCACCCCGCTGCCGGAAGATGCGAAGGATCCGAGCCAACTTGCAGAGGCGGAGAAGCCGCAGGAACATCACCTGAAGAGAAAGATCCGAAAAGCCGTGACGTAAATTGATAAATAAAGAGACGTGGGATTTTGGAGCTTTCAGGTTAGTGGGTCGAGTGATGGCGGCGTGCCAACTCAGCTGTGGTGCTCCGAACTCCGACGCCCGAAGAAGTTAGAGGTTACGGTTAGGGGCCATGTTAGGGTCATTGCGGGCTTGAGGCTCCCGAACAGTGAAGCTGAGCCATGCATTGCAGTCTCAGCAGCATCAAATCCGGATCCACTGCTCACACTGCCAGAAGCACTGGCTGTAAGGAGGTGCCTCAGCACTCACGCTGAACCCTTTGTCTGATCCCTTCTGAACCTGAAACTCCCATAACATAGGGCAGCCGATTCTTCGAAGTATAGTTCTCCCCTACCCAAAAACACCCGAAACCCTGTTCTTGCCCGCAAGCCAAGCTTCTCTACCAGGACAGTCACGACGAGGAAGAAATCAAAAATATTCCACCATCGGTCCTGCTCAAGAGGGGTAGGAACTGATCCTAGTCGCAGCACATTATCACCTTATCGATTCGTCGCTCTTCATCCCCGATCCCTGCAAGAGCCTCCTTCAGCCCTTTTGGTGGAGCGTTGCCATGCCCGCAGATGATATGCTGATCAGGCTGACCCTGTAGTGACGTCTGACACACCAAGCACCTGGCCTGCGCACGGAAGAAATAGAAGCGGTGGACGTAGAGCTTGGCCATGACCTGTGGCACGCGGGAAAAGAACAACGAAGCAGACCGGCATAAACCAGCACGGATGGAGCTGTTGAGTTTCCACATCGGGTCGAAGGATGAAATCCTTCCCCTAGCTGTAAACTCCAGAACAGCATGCGGTAGCCCTAGCCCTAGCCCCTGGCCAGGCCTCAAAGAGGTAGAAGGCAGAAAAAGCCAGTTCGACTTCCAAGACCTGCTGCACCTCTCAGGGACCCAACTTGAGAGACTTCTGCTCTGTCGTGTGTCTCCGGAGTGGTTCGTGCTGTTTGGAAGCTGGCTGGACATGCTGTGTGACCTCTTCGCCCGGTCGGGACAGCTCGTAGTTTGTCATGACCTGAGCTTCCTACCGGCGAACAGAAACAGCAGGACAAGGCATGGTACTACAACTCCAGACATTTACAGAGGTCAATTTCGACAGAATTGCTACAGTACTCTGCGAAGGTGACGATCCGATGCTTCAACACCACCTCCTGACATACCGTGGCGTAACAGACCCAAACACAGTCGAGGTGCCGTGATCCAAGCGGCATTCAGCACTATCCTGACATGTGCTCCGGGACTTACTTACTCAGTGCTGCGATAGATGGAACAAGACCAGGACCTAGAGCTTACAGATGGCACAGCTTGAAGTGCTTGAGCTGCTTTCATGCCCACAAGGATTGTAAAAGAGAAGTGTGCAGCCGGTGGTCACACACACTCGACGAGAGCTGCTCTCATGGAAGGTGCTGCAGCCAAGTATCACTCCCAGGGCTATTGACTGGAAGAAGCTGCTCAGGAGCATCGTGGCTACAAAACCCGTACGGGGTGGTTCACTGACCTTGGATGAAGTGCGCAGGCCGTGCCATGCCTGATACGGGTCTTTGCAAGTTCATGATTCCAAGAGGCCACTCCGCCTGGAAGGCCCACCGCTTCGTTCACAGTTCACACAACCGCAGCATGCAAAAAGCTCAGAATCTCGCGAGGCGCCCACAGAAACAACATCGAAGGTTGTCTAATGACAGCGACAGCTCAATCACCAGAACCCCGGGAGCCAGGAGCGCTACACCCTCAAGCCCCAGCAGTTCAGTCTTCAACATTTCACTCATGACCCATGAAAGCCTAACTTGTCAAACAAGGAGCAGACTCGAGGAACTTTGCAGCACTCGCGGCGCAGCTCAGAGCTTTACGCACGAGACCCCCATACCTCGGGCTCAGGGCTTACTGCAGATCTGCCGTGAAAACAGCTGCATATGGCAAAAGTGCTACCAGCTTGAAAGCCATCTGCCCCAAACATGCCGATCAACTGGATCTTGCGCGACTCCCGCACAAAAAAATATCTTTTCACAAAGGATTGTGAGATCCTTTGTGAGATCGAAGCTCAGCTAGCTTACTCAATCGCCAACGGTGTTGTTGCGGTACATACGCCAAGCTTACATTGCACTTCCCATGTCCAGATCCAGGGCCATCTCGGGCATTTGCACAATTCCCGAATCCCAAACCTGGCTTCACATGCCTCCAACTGAAGTAAACCGACCTGCACAGGAAGCAGATCTTGGTGCCAGATTTCTTTAGATCCGACAAGCACCTGCGACATGCATCTGGTTTGTGGCCTGGGATAGTTAACACCAACAGCATGTTGATATGATGTGCGCAACCATCAAAAGCACATCATCATAATGGTGATGACCATGACGGCGCTAATGAAGATGACAATGAAGACGAGGACGGTTAAGTCCGACCGCGGTGGTAAACATACTGTGCTAATACTGATTTTTGCAGCTCAATGTGGCACAAGACTATTGCATTCAGGTGGCTGTGCAGCTTGGCGCAGCAAGCTCTGATGCCGCCTGCGGCATGGTACCGACAAGGCTTCCAAGTACACACGTGGATTCCGCGCTTGGCAAAACTTCCCAAAGGCCCCCTGAGCTGTGCACCCTGGTCCCAAGCACTAAGCCCTAAGCCAGCACGACCTCAGATGCGGAAGGGACATCGACTGAAGCCCCGTCAGGTCAAATGCCGTCTGCTCTGCCTCCTGAGGCCCAGGTCTCCGAAGCTCTGAGCGAATATAGGAGAAGTCGGAAAGCGTTTTATTCGTGCTGCTTTTGTTCATCTCACTCTTCCTGTGGGTCTGTCTGATCAGGAGTGCGATGGTGATATGGTTCGTCTCGGCTTCAGAACCATCGATTGAAAGGCGACTTGCAAAAAGCCTGCCAATGAAAACGAGAAGAGCTTTGCGGATGTCGTTGGGGTTTGGGGTTGTTCGTCGCGCTCCTCCGTTGAAGCTCTTTCTCTGAAGGAAAGGACATGCAGCAGCCGTCCCTCTAAGCAGCAACTATGACTATGACTATGACTTACGATGGTCATGGTGCCTGGAGTATTGATTTGCGGAGTCATCCTACTAAACATCCGACTAAAGCTCGGCATAACGGGGCGTCGATATGCTGAGGATTTGGCATCGAAGCAGGCAATCCACCAGACTCAACAGATTAACATGGCGAGACCCCCTACTTTCCGGAAAGCCCTTGCACGTCGGTCCTGCATTTTCAGCTTCTCTTCGAGGCTCTCGAAAGTATCCACGCGCTGGAACGAGGGCCGAACAGTGGTGTCCACCCGGTGGAAAGAAGGCCGAACGGTTTCTGCAGCTTCGGCCACCTGTTTCTTCAGGAATAGAGCCGCTTTGAAACTTCGTGGTTCGAGGTCCGGGTTTGCGTCGTTTGGGACCTCGTGGCCCCTGACGAGCATCTCCCTATGAAGCAACTCTGTCCGTGATCGCACTTGTCTTGTTAGTGTTGTGCCTGCTCGGCAGGTTTAGTTTGCACACCTTGCTTCTGCATGCATCTATTTAACCTGAACACGGCACCTAAACCTCAATGCTGGCGCGCAGCTTAAGTCCCCGGAAACCCTGAACCGCGAAGCCCAAAGTCAAGCTGACGGAAACCGCTCAAACCTCAACACATCCCTCAGACACCAAGGGATGCCCGCCTCGTCCTGCTCGGAGTCGGGTCTCACGTCGTAGGCGACGAGCCCGGAGATCAGTTCTTCCTCTGACTCGTGCAACGTTGGAGAGTCCCTAAATACGTGTCTGCTTGCTTGTAGCATACTGCACTCTACTCTACTGAACTATACAATCTATGCCACACTGCACTAGGCTAATTAGCCTACACTCTGCAATGCTCGGTTGGGCTATGAAAGTTTAATACAGCAGGGTTCAATGCAATGCATTGCAATTCAATGCAACGCAACGCAGCGCGGCGCAGTGCAACGCAGTGCAAGCAGGTCTGTTTTTGTGGCTGTATGTATGTATGCATGCAGTCATGCATGCATGTCAATGTACGTACGAGCATTCACCTCTTAGACATGGGATGACATGGGTGTGTCAGTAGCGGTCTACTCTTCCTGTCATTGGTTTCAGACATGATCATTGCAACGCTGCGCTTAGAGCTTCAGGGCGGCGGGGAATGCAGCACTGGTAGCACTTAATGAGTGCAGTCATCGGGTAGGTCTAGGGTTGATTTTGGGGTCCGGCGGACCCTGGCGGAATCAGAAGGGGCCTTAGGCCCGGTCGAAACAGCAACCGCAGATCACGAGGTCAACACCGCAAGAACCGCAACAAACTTCCCACAGGAAACGGCGTGGCTCACAGGCCTGCTCCATACTTACCGTTGGTTAGTAGGGAATGGAAGAATGGGCTACAATTATAGCTACTATTACTACCATTCTTCCATTCCCTACTAACCAACGGTAAGCATACTGTAAGATACGACATGGCATGTTAAAGCCAAAGGCCAAGCATAAGAACTGTCAGGTTCCAAGACCAAGTGCCTCCATCTTCGTGCGTCTGTCTTTGGCCAACACAGCCAAGGACTTTGCCTGTGCAAAACACGACATACAGCAAAGATGCAGAGAATCCAGGCTGCAGTATAGCTCACGACACTTCAATCTGCTGACTTCTTGACTGCAGGGCCGGACAGGCTTTGCACATTGGTTGCTGCGACGAACAAACCCTCCAGACTTCCAGACAAGCAGACTCATGCAATCTCATGCATCGCGTTATCTGCCTGCATACTCTCGAAGAGCTGCTCATGCTTGGCGAGGAGCTCCTCAGGCTCCACAGTGAGGGGATTCGTCGACGACAGGCGCACACACAAGCACGCACACACACGGGACGGGAAGGTGAACGCCTCTCCTTGTGAAGAAGAATCAACTCTCGATTCTGCTCCAGATCGCCCAAGAACGACTGATCCGCCTCCGCAACCTTTGCGCTGCTCAGCACCTGGGATTCCGGGGCCAGGTCCTGGAGTCCCTAAACAGCCCTTCAAGGTAGGGAGCTTCAGCTGCGAGGCTATGCACCGTCCCTGAAAGCAGCTGCCGGAATCCCCAAGGAAGGACGAGGAGCAGCACAGCTGGCTGGCGTGGGGCATGGGATCATTCCTACGGCGATGAAAATTACACACTTGCCAACCGCGAAGGGGCATAGGGGCATAAAAGGCCGCTTTGTTCGTGCTCAGGAGGGAGATGGACTCTGGATTCCACGAGAGTTTGCCATGTGCACCGCTGTAGGCGTCAAGATTTCATTTTGATCCAGGATGGCTCTCAGCCTCGACAGCTGCTCACTCCTGCTGCAGGTTGGCGAGCCTCTTTAATTGCTGTCTTTCCTGTTGCTGCTCTGTCTCTCTCTCTCTCTCTCTCTCTCTCCCTCTCTCTCTCTCTCTCTCCCTCTCTCTTTGTATGCATCGCTAGTGTTGCCGTGACCACACGTCTGTAGCAGAGCACATACTTTGGCTGGAGTCTGGCGGCGTGTCCTCTGCAGGCAGCACTCTGAGAGACTCCTTTTTTGCTGTCCCGGCTCGAGTCCGAACCGCTGCTTTCCATGTGGAGGGGAGTGAGACGCGGGAAGTCTTGAGGTGAGCTGGAGATGTTCCAGGGTCTCAGAAGTATCGAAGCAAACGAGTGAACGAAGGACCGCTTTGGAGGCTTCCCATGCTACCTCGTGCCGGTGAGACCGGCGCACAGCCGTGCACGACCGACTTGTCGGTATGGTAGAACGGAGCTTCCTTGGCACACTGCGGTCAAAGAACAGTTAGAAGCACAGAAACGTTAACATCCCACATGGCCTGGAGGCGGATCGACCGTCTTGATCCCTTCAGTCCTGTGAGAATCAAGGCTGTACTACGGAATCGGAGGCATCGGATGGCAGATGCTTGGAGGAGCAAAAGCATCGGTGTGCCGCGCCTCGGCAGTCGTTGTGGCCTCTGTGGTGGTCTTGCCCGTGGTAGTAGTCGCCTTGTTCCTCGGCTGCGAAAAGCTGCAAGCCTCGACGATGTGCTGCCGCACGGAAGCGAACCAGAATCTCACAAGCTTCGTGGTCGTCACTTCATCTTCGTCTTCGTCTGCTTCGTTGCCCGGCGCCTCTGTGACGGAGTCGGATTATCCAAAGAGCTTCTATCTGACAAGAATACAACTGAAGAAATGACCTACAGTGCTGGCTTGAAGCCCTTCCTTTACATTTTGAGCATCCCCCAGCCCACGGAAGCTTGAAAGCCGTGGATTTCAGTGCCGGAATAGGATATACACTCTCACCACACAACGGCCAGCGTACAAGTAACTGCATGTTTGAAGCTCAATGCGCTTGTTGGGAGCTGCCTCTAGTCAATGCTGCGACAGAAAAAGATGGGCACATCACCTCTCTCCCAGGCAAGCCTTTGTCGTGGTTGTTGCGTCCTCGTCATCCTCAGATGCCTGTGCAGTAGGCTGTGGGGGCAACTATTGCTGCAGTCATCTGCGTGGAAGGGCTGCACTGGCACCACAACTCAAGAGCATTCAAAACTCTGGGACTTGTAGGCCTTCGTCGTCGAGGTGGCCTTCTGAGTAGTCTCATCCTCTTCCTCGTCCTCTTCTTCATCTTCCTCCTCTGCCTGGCGGATGCCGGTTCCCAAATCCACATGCTAAGCAGCGCTAAGACACCTCCAAGTGGTCAGCTCCTACTACTATACAGCTGCTTCAAACTGCAAGCACAGCCCCTCCCCCAAAGGAAAACCCCGTGTAAAGCGAGGAGGCCTTGGTGGTTCTGGCAGATTCTCGGCTCGTTGTTGCATTCTTGCCAGGAGCCTTGATGCACAGAACTCTCGTCTCTTGCATTTTGCATGACGATATCCGAACCAGCGTCGCCCAATTGCATGAAAGCGCGTGTCGGGGCCCGCCAAAAAGACCAAGAGAGGCTCTAGAGACCAGACTTACACTTTTAATGCCTCCATCGCCCGCACACCAGGACATTCCTAGACCCCATCTGAGAGCAGTCTCGATGCCGCGGTCGTGGTCGCGCCTTTGCTGGCTGTGGCCTTGCTGCAAGACTGCACGGTAGGGAGTTCTGGCTTAGGAGGACCTCTCCTCAAAACCTCAGGGTATAGGCAGAGAACAGTCGCATGCAGCCAGACAAGCAAGGCATTGGGCAAAATTCTCAAAGCCGCGCATCTCACTTCTGGCATAAACCGCTGAGCCCGTGAGTATTCCGAAGTCCTTCGGCGCATCGCATGCTTCGCCAAGCTCTGGGACCGTTGCATTTGTCTTCTTTTTTGGTGCACCAGCGGAGAGGGCATCCTGCGCACGAACGCGAGCCAAACGAGCAATGTGGACGTTCACGCGTTGCCACCGGATGGGCTATGTGGCATAACCCGATCCACAATTTTGCAAACATGCGGAACACAGAAATTCGTCCATCCACGTAACCGTAGATACAGACCCCGCCATCATCATTGTGACCCTCGCCGTGCTGAGTCACAGCATGATGATCGTTCTGGTCGCCGTCGCCAGAACAAGCATTGAGGATTAAACGCAGCCACAAGCATCATCTTGCCCTCATGTTGCCTTATAGTCGTCATTCGCTATCACCCATCAATGTCACAACCATCATCATCATCGTCATCATCATCATCATCATCCGCTTTTTGGTTCGTCCTCATTGTTTCGAAGGCCACCATCCATCACCGTGAACAGGTCACCATCATCATGATCACGACCATCTTCGTCTTCACCAGCAGGGTGGGGGTGACTTCATATTGATCGTGTCTTTGTTGTTGCTGCCGTTGCTGCTTCCTTGAATGTTCTTGGTGCTGCGAGGCTACTGTAGTCTCGGCAATTGTAATGGTCGTAGCTGTCACAGCAATCGTCTCGTCTTCAGTTCTTGTTGCAGTCGTAGGCATCGCGGTAGTGGTCGTGTCGCAGCAAGAGTCGTGGTTGTAGTGGTCGTCGCAGTGGTAGCAGTTGTGGTAGTGGTACAACTAGCACTACTGACAGAATAGTAGCAGTGGCCGTCGCCGTCAGCTTAGTCGTGGTCGCAGTGGCAGCAGTTTACCTCGCTGCTCAATATACCGTACTGACATGCGCTATTGGTATGCAGGCTGCTTGAGCTGGAGTAAACTGGCGTCCTGCCGTTATGTCGCGGTTTCTGTGCAGAGCCGAGCCTTCGCAGCAGCCACTGCAGCCTCTCGAGCTGCACGAACGTCGGCGGCCTTGCCGCCAGCAGATTTGCAGCCCGCCACCGCTGCATCCTGGAGATGCTCCCGAAGCTAAGATCTCTGATCTCTGCATCCTTAGCATAAGCTTGTCGTTGAAAAGTCCGGGTGCCTAAATTCGGATGGGGAGAGTCAGGATGGATCAGTGCGACTTCAAAGACCGACGTCCGAACACGTGCACAGACTCGTGCTGACGGCCTGGAGAGGGGTCATGCAGTCCTTCCCCAAGAAGGGGTTCGCCGCAAGCATACGTTGCATCCCATGCCATGCCACTCCCTTTCTCTCCCTCCCTCCTCTGCTGAGGCATGGGTCTATTGTTTTGAAATGTGAAGACCCAACACTCGTCCATTGTTTGCACCGCCCGCGCTGCATGTCCAAAGCACCTTCACTCTGTATCCCATGTCCTCGGCTGCCTTGATCTGGCGATCGCTGTTTTCGCCGGCTCTTGCGGAGGCATTGTGTGCTGCACTGCCGGCAAAAGCAGCCACCTTGAAGCATAGTGGCAGACAACGAACTGGAATAGATGGCTACTTTCGATGCCAATGTTTAAGGATATTCCTACATGCCCAACTACATACGCACATACTACATACATACATGCATCCATCCATACATACATGCATACATACATACATACATATGCGATTACTTACGTACATGCGTACAACATACCTACATACTTGCTTACTTACATATGTCCGTGCAAACATACCTTGACTCATACCTTCATACATCCGTCCATCCATGCATCCGTCCATCCGTCCATCCGTCAATCCACGTATCCATCCGTCCCTACCTCCATCCGTCCATCCATCCATCCATCCATCTATCGATGCATGTGTGCCTGCCTGGCATGCATGCATGCATGTATGAGTATGTATACTTATCTACCTAGTTATTTACGTCTGCACCGAAGCAGTTCATCTACTTGTTTGTTTGCCTGTTGAAGCATGTACCGAGTCACCTATACCTGTACTCGCTAGTCATCTTTCTATTTGTGCACCTCGTTATTACCTACTTATCCATATCTGTTTATGAACTTGATATACCCCATGAGCAGGGTTTTAGGGTACTGCTGGGGTTGCTGGTATGTTTGCAACAGGCAGACGGACGGCACCAAAGGACCGACCCCTGCCGAGGTCAGTTGGAAAAGCCCCGGACCGCAGGCTCAGTGTTGTGCAAACAACCGGGTTTCGGGTTTAGGCCCTTGTATGTCGTGAAAGTTACTTGGAGGTTCATGGGTACTTATAAGCTAATTAGGGGACTTATAACTACCCCTGAACCTCCAGGTAAGGTTGACTTGTTGCAAGAAGCTTCATTACATGCAAGCCTTCCAGGCCGAAGGCTTCGCATCCTAGTACTCTTTGGAAAACACTCCTTGGCCGAAGAACTTATGGAAGTGCTGAGCCGAAGACTTCCAGATTTAACCCGCTTTCGTCTTTGGGTCTTTCCGGTTCAAGGGTCAAGGGTGAAAGTTTCAGTACAGCTTCATGCAGTTGGTTGTCACACTCACACAGACAAACTAACAGACAACGCCACAAACCATCCGAGGCCAGATGCCACGAGAAGAACCGGCCGCTTCCTTTGAGACAATCGAAGTGTCACTGCCATGATGCCTGGCCTGAAGATGACGAAGGTGATGATAATGCTCATGATGATGATGATGATGGTGATGATGGTGATGCTACCATTCTCATTTTGATGAGCTGAGCTGTCGGTATGGCATGACACCTCTTCAACGGCAGCGCCGGCAGCCATCGCGGCCTCTGCTGCGGCTTTGCCTGGGCCATTGAAATCGGTTCCGGTGTTGTCTTCAGGGCCGCGCCGAAGAACGGATTTGGGGCGGCGGCGTCGTCGCGCAGGGCTTTGGGGTAGGTGCGGGCCAATCAGAAGAAGAATCCATGCTTGGTTCTGCAACAATCAGGTCGCATAAGATATGGATGCTAAAGGTGGGCCCTTGCATCTGCAGATGCTAGAACATGAGTCATCTCCGGATCCAATTCCTTGCAGCTGCAGTCTACAAGACCCTGCTAAGCCCGGTTGCCGGCAATGGCCGCTTGCTGGACAGTGGTGACATTCAGGTCCTGTCACACCATGCTGCATGACTGCTACTAGGCTTTTGGATGAATGTCTGTGGCTGTCTTCGGGCGTTCCACTATAGGAGAGCTTGCGTCCACCTTAACCTGGACCCACAGGTTGCGTGATTTCTGTTTGGATCCGAGGGAAGCCTTGTCGCTTGCCATTGTGCTCAGATTCGAGGACGAGGGCGCCTTTCGGGTTGGATCTCTCCGAGAAAGCAATTGCGGATCCTTGGCAGCGCCCGCCGCCGCCCTGCCCGCGCTGGCGGCCTGCTCAGAAAGGGGGGGGAGCCTTCTTGGCGTGGCGCGGTGGGAAACCTTCCTTTTCCCTGAGCCTGCTCCTTTGCGGAGCCTCCGGCCGATTTCGAGACCAAGCGAGCGGCCTCAAAAGGCAACCAGATTCATCCAATGCACCTTGTGGCTGACGGTGTGACCCGTGCCTCGGCGATGACCTCGACCTTCAAGTAAGATTGCTTCTCCTCGTTGGCACCTGCCGCTTCGGCCGCAACCGCAGCCGCTTTGCCGGCTGCTCGCAGCTTGTCCTGCTTCGCATGCGCATGTTCGACTTGCCTGCCATTTTATAATTGAGCTGAACGGCCTTCATGCACATACTAGAGCCGCCCCACAGTTTCACTGTAACCTGGCAGTCTCCTTGTAGTTGAGCCCGGCCGCAGTGGAGGCGTTCAGAGCCGCGGTGCCCGCGACGGAGGCCTGCTCATCCACGGACATGCCGGCATCCTTCGCCACTTCTGCCGCAGCTTTGCCAGCTGCTGCCGCTTGTTGCTCTGGGATCTGATTGGCCTCCTTGGCCGCTTCGGCTGCTGCCTGGCCAGCACTTGCTGCTTGCTCGGGCGTTTGAGCGCCTGTGGCTTTGGCTGCATCGGCTGCCGCTTCTGCTGCGGCTTCGATCTGCTCCGCCACCGTCTCCTTGGCCTCCTTGGCCTCTTTGGCGGCCACCTCCCCAGCGTCCACACCGACCTCCACGGAAGTGGCACCATTGGATTTGGCGGCCATGGCTGAGGCGTTCCCGGCAGCCTCGGCCTGCTCCTCAGCGGACATGTTTGCCAGCTTGGCGGCTGAAGCCGCCGCCTCGCCAGCCAACTCCGATTGCTTCTCGGAGCCCTCACTCTGGGCCTGCGCCGCTGCTGCCGCGGCCTGGCCTGCTGCTGCCACCTGCTCGTAGGCGGCCGCCCCTGCAGACTTCGCAGTTTCGGCTGCGGATTGCCCCGCATCTGAAGCCTGCTGTTCCACCGCCTGGCCCTGATCGCTTGACACTTTGGCAGTGGCGGCCCCTGCCACTGCAGCCTGCTTGGCCACAGAGGCCCCGGTGGCTTTGGCCACCGCTGCGGCCGCCTTGGCAGCCTCCTCGCCCTGTTCCCGCGGGGTGTATTGCAGGTCACTAGCAGCACTCGCCGCAGCGCGTGCAGCAGCAGCAGCCTGCTCCTCCATAGGCTTGTCCAAGGCGCTGGCTTCTGCGGCAGCTTCTTTGCCAGCATCCTCCGGAGTAATTCTTGACACTGTAGTCGTGCTCTCCGTAGTCAGGCTTGTGGTGGACATCTGTGTCGTCGACGGCTTCTGCGTTGAGGTGGTGGGGCTAACAGCGGCCATGGCTGCAGCCTTCGCTGACTCCTGCTGCGCTGCGGTCAAATTAGCGGCTTTGGCAGCTTCCTCTGCGGCTGTTCCAGCTGACAAGATCTGCTTGTCTGACGTCATCCCAGCAAGACCTGCCGCTTTGAAGGCTGACTTTCCGGCCAGAACTGCCTGCTTAGCTCCTGACATCCCTGCAGCCCTGGCGGCATCCGCAGCGGCCTTGCCAGCAGCTGCGGCTTGCAGCTCCGGAATCTGTGTTCTGGCGGCTTCTGCAGCAGCTTCACCTGCACTGGCAGCTTGCTCGTAGACCGATCCGCCTGCCAACTTGGCTGCCTCTGCAGCTGCCTGCGATGCCGCTTGGATCTGCTCGCCAACGCTCTTGCCGGACTCTGCAGCTTCTTTGGCGGCCACCTCGCCGGCGTCTACCCCAACGTCCGTGGGAGATGCACCCTCTGCTTTGAGAGCCCTGGCTGACGTATTTCCTGCAGCAGCTGTCTGTTCTTCTGAAGACATCCCAAGGGTCTGCGCGATATCTGCAGCAGCGTCCCCTGCCAGCTCTGCTTGTTTGTCAGACCCTTCGTTGTTCATTCGCGCCACTGCTGCAGCGGCCTCTCCAGCAGCCGCGGCTTGGCCGGAGGCCGAGACGCCGTTGGACTTTGCGGCGGATGCCCCAGCTTGGCCAGCGGCTGCAGCCTGCTGCTCCAAGCTTTGCCCATCCAAAGCAGCGACTTTGGATGCAGCGATGCCTGCAGCTTCTGCTTGCTTAGACATGGATGCACCAGCAGTTTTCGCTGCGGCGGCCGCTGCCTTACCGGCTATTTCCACTTGCTCAGCGGGAGTGTACTGCTGATCCTTTGCAAGGCTCGCGGCAGCCTCCCCTGCCTTTGCCGCCTGCTCCTGCATTGGTTTACCAGCAGCCGATGCCTGCTCCGCAGCCTCCTTGCCAGCATCCAAAGGATCCTTTTCTCGTTCAGCTGGCGGAGATTTCTTGGACTGACTTGGACTTGGTGCTTTCGTGACTGCAGATGGCGCACTGGTCAGGGTCTGAGTTGCAGTGGGATTTGCTGCAGCCCTCGCCGCACTCTTGGCTGCGGCTTGTTCCTCCGGTGTCATGCCAGCTGCTTTGGCAGCTTCCTCTGCAGCTGTTCCAGCCGCCGAAATCTGCTTCTCCAGCTTAAGCCCGGCCACAGCTGACACGTTGAAGGCCAACTCTCCAGCCAGCTTTGCCTGCTCGGATCCCGACATCCCTGCAGCCCTGGCGGCATCCGCAGCGGCCTTGCCAGCAGCTGCGGCTTGCAGCTCCGGAATCTGTGTTCTGGCGGCTTCTGCTGCAGCTAGGCCCGCACTGGCAGCTTGCTCGTAAGCGGATCCGCCCGCCAACTTGGCTGCCTCTGCAGCTGCCTGTGATGCCGCTTGGATCTGCTCGCCAACGCCCTCGCCGGACTCTGCAGCTTCCTTGGCGGCCACCTCGCCGGCGTCCAACCCAACATCCGTGGGAGATGCGCCCTCTGCTTTTGCTGCGAGAGCAGATGCTCTGCCAGCTGCAGCAGTTTGCTCCTCGGGTGTCATGCCAGCTAACCTTCCCGCATCTGCTGCTGCCTGGCCGGCCAGAGCAGCTTGCTTCTCGGTGCCTTCGTTCTGGTTTCGAGCGACTGCCGCCGCAGCCTGTCCTGCAGCCGCGGCTTGCGCGGCAGCTGAGCCGCGGGCTTTTTCGACGACTTCTGCTGCAGCCTGGCCGGCAAACGAGGCCTGCTGCTCCAAGTTTTGGCCATCGCCACTTCCAACTTTCGCACTCTCGATGCCTGCTGCGGCAGCTTGCTCCTCCGTGCTCCCACCGCTGGTCGCCACGGCCGCTGCGGCCACGGCACCAGCGACTTCAAGCTGCTGCTGCAAAGTGTACTGCCGCTCCTTGGCGAAGTCCAGAGCTGCCTTCGCTGCAGCTGCTGCCTGCTCGTCGACGGGCAGACCTGTGGCTCTCGCCTCTGATGCTGCCTGGCTTCCAACGAGTTCAGGAGTCAAAACCGTAGTTGTGATGGTGGTAGTTGTCAGAGTGGTTGTTGTTGAGGTGCTTGTCTTTGTCTCTGTGGTGGTCGGCGGCACGGTAGTCGTGGATTCAGTGGTTGATGCAGTTGTCGTTGTCGTCGGTGGGTTGCTTGACGTGGTGCGTCTTGTCGTCGTGGTGGATAATGTTGTTGTCGTCTCGGGAGTTGTGCTTTTCGTGGTGGTGGTTGTGGGTGGTGCCTTCGTAGTCTCGGGAGCTTCCGTTGTTGTTGGCTCAGGCTTTGGAGTTGTTTTCGGCAGTGTCGAAGTTGTTTCTGGAGGGCGTGGTGTGGTCGTTTCAGACTCCGTCGTTGAAGTGGTCGACCATCCGTCGACTTTCCTCCAGCTCGGCAGCCCATCCAGCGGCGGAGCGGCTTGGCGACCACCCATGGAACTGCACAGAAAAGGGCCAACCATCACTCCGCGGTCTTGTGGGGCTTCGAAGCCCACCAGACTCACGAGGACTTTCCTTACTGGGACCAGCTGGCCCTGCAACCAAAAAAGAGAACTCCGAACAAGCCGCTTGATCAGACGTCTGCACTTCCAGGCCCCATCCCGTCGACAGTCAGACCAGCAATAAAACGTATCCGACGCTGCCAAGCTGCCAGGGACCCGAGTAAGCCTTTCCGAAGACTTTGAAGGATGCCGGATCCCGCTCCTTCGCACATGTCGCGACTGCAGCTCAAGAGGCTCACGATCTGCCACTCTCGCCGAGTTTCCGGGGCCGCATTCGAGGTTACAAAGCCGGCGCTGCCGACGACTACCTGAGGGAGGGTCTACCATGTACCAAGCGCCAGGACAGCCCTTGAACTCAAGCGCAGTAGCACCCTCACACGTCCACAAAAGAGATACAAAGAAGCTCCTCAATCCACGGAGAATTCAGTTGCCAGAAGGCTCCGACCGTCCCGCAATCCTGAACTCCTCACTGTTCTCTTGTCTTGGCGGGATCAATTCAACCAAGTGGCCCCGTACTGAACGCGCAGCTCTAACCTTGTTGCTGCATCTCGCAAGATGGATTACGTAGCGACAGAGAAAGTGGATATGTGACTTGTGCAAAGATGTTGAAATTTTACGGGTGAATAAAAAACGGTTTAACGGTGAATAAAAAACATAGGCGGATAGATACATAGGCGGATGCAGTAGATAGAGAGAGACGTGCAAGTATAGATAGATTCTATAGATAGATACTTAGACAGATAAATAAACAGATCGATAGATGTATAGATGGGTGGATGGATGGATAGATTAACAAATATAATCAAACAACTTATAGACAGATGAATAAATAGATGCATGCGTGCATGCGTGCATGCGTGCTGGCTGGATGGTCGGCTGGCTGGCTGGATGGATGGATGGATGAGTAGATAGATAGGCAGATAGATAGAAGGCTTCTTGGATAAGTAGGTAGATTGGTGCATAGATTGGATGGACTATAAGTGGATTGATAGATCGATCGAGAGATAGATAGACCGATCTAGACACAGAGAGAGAGAGAGAGAGAGAGGGGGGGTAGACGGGCAGACGGAGAGATAGATGGATAGATGAATGAAAGATGGATAGATCGATAGATGCCTTGATTTAAGGGCGACCTAAATCGGGATGACTTCTGGGGCCCAGAATGCTTCGTGAGATTCCGTCCATCGGCGAAACTGGAGGGTGGGCAGGCAGACAGGTGACATGTGGCTCAGGATTCGATTGCAGGGTGCTGGTTAAATCTATTTTGATGTGCAATGCGTATGTAGATTGTTCGGGATGACTGATGTTGCAGCCACTTTGAGCAAAATAGAATGGGAAAATTTGTATCTGTGCGCATGACCCCTGCTCAGGATGACACGCACGACTAAGGAGTGTGCATGGCCCTTGCGAAGGATGACACGCACAAACCGAGGTGCGTGGGATGCCATGTATTGGCTCAAGCGCGATTGAAAAAGGCATTCGGCCTTTGAGTGTGAGACACTGCATCGTGCGGGAAGTGCGATAATCTTTGTGTCCTTTTTGGGAGATTGATGGGTTCGGGTTTGGTTTTGTGTGAGCCTTGGGGCCCATGTACAATCCTCTAGATGACCTACCGCATCAAATTAGACAGAGGCTCGCAGGCTCCCCAACTCCTACACACTACTCCATTGTTACTAATACCCCGAGTCCTGTAAATCCCCAACATCATCAACAGGTGATGAGCCCAAACCCCCTAGATACTCCTCAACCTATGCACGGCATACAAGCAGCAGCAGCAGCAGATGCCTCAGCGCGAGACGACGCGACTGACACTGTGATGTTTAGGTCAATGACGCAGATTGCTTTCCCTGCCGACTTGCTTCGACAACTTCAGGAGAACGTGTCTTTTGATCTTGGAGCCATCGAAGATATCCGAGCAGCGATGCAGGAAATCAGCGATCGACTTAACCATCGTACAGGAATCCTAGGCCAAGCTGTGCAATCCTTGGACTCAGGTCACCGTCAGGTCTTTGAAGGGTGCGTTACTGTTGAAAATCAGTTGGAAGAATTCAAGCGGATTTTGAGGGCCCAGCAGACCGTGATTGAGGAGCAAGCCTCGACATGGACCAGGGAGATGGCTGCAATGAGAGATCGTTTGGAAGACAACCAGGCGGTAATCAATCAACAGCTTGTCGTGATAGATCAGGCGAAGCAGCGCGAAGCCCTGCTATTGGCCAAGGTGGAATCCATGGCTGGACGTCTGAATGAGATGGAAACCATGCTGTCCAGTATGAGTGCGAGTGTGAACGAACACAAGGGCCGGCTAAGCATTCATGAAACTTACATTTCAGCAGCTGTAAGTTCGCAGGCTACAGGGTCTCAAGAGGGCGATGCTGGTGCTGCCGAGGGTGATTTGGCAGTCCAAGTTCGCATGTTGGCCGAGAGGGTGGATCAAGAGCTGGCACAGATTGCTCGTGGGGACGCTCACGATGCAGAGGCTGGATCTTTGAAGGACCTGAATGCGGCTGTAGACCAGCTTGACGAACGGGTAACGGCACTGGAGACAAGCATGGAAGAGTGGGAAAATGCGGATTGTGAGGATGATCAACGTCCTTGTGAGACTGAAGCGCATGTGGGCGGAATGCCCCAGCGATTTGACTTGACACCGAATTTGCAGGACACTCCTACGTGGGGACATCAAGAGCCTGCAGATGAACAGGAACCAGATGCTACCGCTATGTGGTGGCAGCAACCTTTCGAGTTTTCATCAACAGAGCATAGTGCGAATGTATCCATTGGAAGGCCAACGCAGAATGTCTGGGGAATTAGTGATCCTCCTGGTTTGCCAGCGTACCTCCGAGCTCCAAATGTGGTCGCAGACAACGCTGCGGATCCTGGGCAGGGGAATGTGACTGGTGAGATCCCAAATGGAAGGTGGAAAACATTGAATGATCTGCCGAGCTATCAGCCGGTGGTAGGTCAACCCTGGGAGACTGCAATGGCCTATGTCACTTGGAAAAGGCAATTTCTAGCGGTAAGCGCGACTGTTGCCGACTCTTTCAAGCAGTACGTGGAGACCCAGTTCATTGCGGCCCATGCGCGGCATGAGGCGAGGATGGCTGGCGGTACACGGCAGCCTTTCCCAGCCGTTCCACATCAGATGCGAGACTTTGAATCCAGGCTGGTAGTGGCTTTGTTGCGGGTCCTCCCACAGGAGATGAAGTCCGCAGCCATGGAGTCAGATGAGAATCAAATCTCTTCATTGGCCCTCCTTGAAGAACTTATCACGATCGTACAACCTGGTGGCCGAGAGGAGGTCTCGAGCCTTTTGACTTATGTCAGGAATCTTCAGCCGGTGAGCACAGCTCGAGAAGCGTTGGAGGTTTTGCGACGATGGAAGATGGCTCGGACCCGTGCAGCTGCTTTGGGGTTACCGGCTACAGCGCCGAGTGAGGCCCTGAAATCGCTGGCATCATTGACGCGTGTCCTGGAACGTAAGCAAGATGCTTTGAAGACCCGTCTTGGCATTTTGCGTTTGGCGCCGCAGATCCAATTCCCGACGGAGGCGGGAGTCAACATGATGTTGGACACTTTGGAGCACGAACTCCGGCAAACAGCAGCTGACGAACACACCAAGCAGAACAAGCAGGAGGGAGGCCCAAGTGAGAGCTACGCAAACAAAGGCAAAGGCAAGGAGAAAGGAAAGGATAAGGGTAAGGGCAAGGGAAAGGAAGCAAAAGGGAAGCACGGAAAAACCAACGTGCAACCCGGGTCCAGCTCCCATGCTCAAGATCGTAAGTCTGGAAATCCTGATCCTGCAGATGCCAATAAGACCCCGAAGAAGATTGACAAGCCATGCAGATTCTTTTTCGGTCCGAAAGGATGTTATCGGAAGCAGTGCAATTACAGCCATGATGAAAAGTATCGGGCGGAGGCAAGTCGTGCTGCTAAGGCAGACACAGAGGTGCCAGGTTTGCTGGGTACAGACTCGGCAGCAGCTGCTGCGAAGGGAAAGGCCAAGGCGAAAGCTAAGGCATCGGCAGTCGCATCAGCATTCATGGCACGTAGGCTTCGTGAGGACTCAGAGGCTGACGGATCGCAGGAGGAGTCTGAGGCTTTGTCATTGGAATCATTGTCATCTTCAGCATCGACACCATCCCCTGAGTCAACCATTCAGGACGAGGGTTCAGAAAGTGAGTTGGATCCTCTGGTGGATGATCTAGCCCAAGCGGTTCGTGAGGCTCGTGAGGAGCGTCTGGAGAGACTACCGTTGTGGAGAGTGCACTTAGATCCTGATGAGTTTGTGCGGTGGACAAGTGGCCACGTGCAGACTGGGGCACGACGGGATTTCGTCGGAGTCACGAACCCTTTCGATGTAGCGGTCGGTGTATCTTATTTCTTGAATCGTGTAGAGACGCTTCCAGCTTATGATCTCGAGATTGGAGAAACGCAAATGATTGCGGAGGCACATGCTGTGATGATCATGTGTAGCGATGGTATTGTGCGACCGGGATTTGTTGCTTGGCTTTTGGATTTAGAGGACGGTAATGAGCTGTACATTGGAATGGTTGAGTCCGGGTTTAGACCAGGATTTCCGATGCCACCAGTGGTGAAGTCAGAAGCTGCACCTCCAAAATCAAGTCCAAAGGCCTCACTAGTGAAAAGACCCCCAGTAGTGCCGACAATCATCGCATCACCTCCTGTGAAGGCATCCGGTGATTCAGCACAGTCATCAACTGCGTGTCCAAAGCCATGTCCATGGGATCAGAGTAGAGCAGGTGAGCCGAGCAGTAAACAGCCTACCGTAAGAGCCCCACCTCAGGTTGCACCAGTGCCAGCCGCTCCGCCTCCAAAAGCTAAAGCTGTGAGGAAGAGTCCCCCGGTGGTTCCCAAGGGTGGATACGGCCAGGCTAATAAGGCAACGCCCGGCCTGCATGCAGATCACGATTTCGTCCTGGTAGACTCCGGAGCGAACGAAGTGTTGCGACCAGGCGAGCCCCCGCGGAGGGGGTGTGAAACATCATTGCAATTGGCCGATGGCATGAGAATCAAAGCGTTTAGAAGCCGGGAAGGGGAGTTGGTGATTCCTGGCGCCACATGGATCTGTGGTCTGAGTCGTTTGGTCTCGTTAGGATACAAGTTCGTGTGGAGCCGAGCCCGAGGTCCCTACCTTCAGACCGATGATGATTTCCCGGGTGAGATTAGAACCATCAATCTAATCGTCATGAACGGTTTGCCTTATGTCCGGTGGAGGACTTCGTTGAGGTTCGAAGATACTTGACTCAGCAGTACAAGCAGTGCAATCGCAAGGTTTGCAGTGTGACGGTTCCCATGTGTCCCGAAGCCTCAAGCATTCTTGACATTGAAGAAGTCATGGCGCATGTGGCAGATGATCTAGAGTGCTGTGAAGCAAGCTTGGTTGCTGTGGAGCCAGCAACAGACCATGACGAATCAAAAGAGAGCCAGTTTGATGCGGTCTTGGATGAGCTTCATAGGGCTAAGTTGCGCGTAAAGGGCAGTCACAGGCCAAACGTTACGAAGCCAGAATCCCAAGGTCATGCATGGGCTTTTGGTTTGTTTGGCCGAGGTGGAATGTGTGGAACCACGCGCCTTACAAAGCAGCATGTGCAGCTTGTGCAGAGAGTGAATCGCTTGATTAGGACTGTTCACCCTGAGGCTAGATACACTTCATTCATGATCATGGAAAACACTGCTTTTCGGCCTCACAAAGACAGTCGAAACATGCCTGGCTCACAGAATTATGTGTTAGGTCTCACGGCATACGATGGCGGAGAGGTTTGGGTAGCTGATCCAAAACTTGAGCGGTCCAAGGCAGTGTGGCGAAAGACGCATGATGACAAGCCTCCTGCGAAGGGCCGTTTGTTGAGCACAAGCCGTACGATTGCTGAGTTCGACCCGTTTCAAATGCATGGCACAGAGCCTTTCCGAGGGCACAGAATTGTGGTGACGGCATTCACGCCGGCAGCTGGACAGCAGACCTCAGAGCGCATGCGTGCTCATTTGGAGGGTTTAGGCTTTCCAATCCATGATAGACACGACGACGACGGAACACGACGTGTAGAGATCAACACGGTTCTGCAGCAGCAGCATCAACAACAACAACAGCAGGGTAGCACATGCGCGCCAGCAGAAGGCGCGCCGGAGCCGCTGGAGAATGCCTTGGGAGTTCAGGGTGTTCAGGGAGTTCAGGGAAGCTTAGGCGATGACCAGGGTGTTCAGGATTGCTTTCAGGGTTTACCTTATTTCGGTGAAGTCGTAGAAGTGAGCGATGGAGAGCTGTCCGAAGACTTGTTTCCTGAGCTCGTGCACTCAACGAAGCAAAGAGCCGATGAGCAGCGACCTGATTGCGAAGATAATTTGGATGTGTATGAGCCTTCACTTCCTGAGGAGGAGAAGCCTGTTGACCAAGGTCCAGAGTCTTTGCCACCTGATGCGATTCCTAAGCCGAAGCCTGGAAGGACAATAGATGATTTGAGAACTCGAGGACTCCGACGACCACACCTTCGTTTGAGTGCAGAGCAGGTTGCAACGGGAGTGATGTCCATTGATCTTGCTGGTCCTTACCGTGAGGGCTATGATGGCGCAAGATACATGTTGGTTGCAGTGCTTCGTCTAGCTGATGGATGCAACTTGCAGTATACAAGGCCTCTCCGACACCGACATTGGCAGCTAGTGTACGAGCAGCTTCAAAGTATTCTTTCACAGATTGCAGCTACAAGTGGCGGCAAGCCAGAGGTAGTGAGAATACACTCAGATCGAGCGCGAGAGTTTATTGCAAAGCAGCTGGTGGAAGGCATCAACAAAATGGGCGTGTTCAAAACAACAACCTGCGGGTATGACCCTCAAGCAAACGGCTTAGCAGAAAGGTGCATTGGCATGCTCAAGGAGAAGGCCAGAGGTTTTCTGATCAAAGGACGGCTTCATGTGGCATATTGGCCGTTGATGATGCACGAAGCTGCGCGTAGGCATCGTGATGGAGTGCTGGGAGTCAGGACTCAAGGCCAACGTCCTGATCCAGGTCAGAAGGTGGCCATTCGGGTCATTAATCCTGGACCGTTTGATCCGAGAGCTGAGCCTGCAACTTTCTTGGCGCAGTGCGATGATGTATCACGCGGTGCATTAGTGCTGGTTGAAAGGAACGGGCAACAGAAAGTCGTGACAGCAAGGCTTCCAACAACTCTGGACACACAGAGCGCAACTTGGAGAACACATACCACACCGCTGGGTGATCTTGTTTGGATCTCTTCGAAGGGCGACGTGCGAGACGGTGAGTACATCAGAGATTTAGGTCACGATCTTGGTTTGCTAACCGTCGAGGAGCGCGAATGCGGCCCTGAAGAGGCGAAGGAAGCAGATTTCTTCCAGGCGGCGAAGTGTGAAGCAGCATGCAACAAGGCTGTGGAGAGTTCAGCTAAGGATGCTGAGGTCACCAAGTCCAGGGATAAGAATCTTGAGTGGCTTGAGGGAAAGACCTGCACCGTTTGTGGGAAATCTTCCAAGGCATGCTATCTTGAGAAGCTGGATAAGGTGACGCCAGAGCCATGTGGATATCAGGTTCCTGGATTTGATGAAGAAGCAGAGATGGTTGAGCAAGAGCGTCTAGCCCAGGAGCTCAAGAGCTTTAAGGCAAGCGCGGAACCATGTGGAAACGATGTTTTCTTCGGCCCACGTCGCGAGGATTGGATTGGAGCGGCACGTAAGGAGCTCGACAACATGACGGTGCATCAGAAGGTTTGGATTGAGGTTCGAAAGGGCCATATCCATGAGGATTTGGGTCTAGACAGAAGCGTGAAGCTTCCTAAGGCCCTACCGATGCAACTTGTCAACACCTTGAAGCCTTTGAATGAAAGCTCTGGACCAATCGACGAGCCGAAAGTGAGGATCGTAGCATGCGGAAATTTCCAACATGATTCCCAGGACAAAGAGGACTTGAGCACGCAGAATGTGGACATGTCTGTCTTGAGGACCATGGCTAAGGAAACTGCTCTAAGGCCATCGTGGATCATGGGAGCAGGTGACATCAGCGCAGCATTTTTAAACACCTTCTTGGGTGGTAAAGACTTGGTCATTCTTGAGCCGCCGGCAGTCCTTAAACGACTGGGTTTGATTGCGGAAGATGTTCAGTACGTCCCAATCAGAGCAATCTACGGGTTGCGACGGTCCCCTTTGGACTGGAGCCGGGATCGAGACGGCAAGATTTCCGGTAAGGTTTTGACCGATGATCAAGGAAGGCAGATCCACTGCGTGCCTATCGCGCACCAGGACGGTCTGTGGAAGCTGCTATGTGGTGACACTCTAGTGGGATTAGTAGCCATGTATGTAGATGATTGCTTGGTAACGGGCGAACGATCTGCAGTGGAAGCGTTCTTGCAGTTTGTGAGCGCAGAGTGGCGAACGAAAATCCAGGGTTTCATCGCGAGACAAACGGACGTGCAAGTGAAATGCAACGATGAACAAGTGGCACAGAAGCAAGCGCTGAACTTCTTGGGAGTAGAAATTTCCTTCGAGGGGGATAAGATCGTTATCCAGCAGCGCCGCTGGATTCTTCAAGAGCTGAATCGCAGAGGCTGGGTTCATATGAAGGGTTCGCAGTCACTTCCTCAGCTGGAGATGGCCGAGGATGAAGCACTTGACGAGCATCATGCCAAGAATCTGGCCAATGCACGGTCAGAAATTGGAGCTCTGATGTGGATTGGAATTCGGAGTAGACCCGATGTCCTTGCTGCTGTGTCAATGGGAGCGAGTGTTATGCATCGCCGACCAGAGGCGATCTGTAAGTTCTGTGTGGGTTTGTGGCGCTATGTGCGAGGGACCCTTGATGAGTGCTTGCAGTATGGACCGGATGGGAATCCGGGTGAGATGACTTTCATTTCAGATGCATCGTTCGCCCCTGAGGGCTCTCGAAGCCGGACAGGTGGCGTGTTGTGTTATGCAGGCAGTGTGATACATTGGTTCTCCTGTCGACAGACAGTCACTGCTTGGTCAGTTTGTGAAGCAGAAACGGATGCACTGGCTGAGACCTTGTCCCAGGGGATTCGTCTTACGTATGTGCTGCAGGATCTTCTTCATAAGCCTGTGACGAGGACGCTGACAGGAGATAACAGTGCTTAATCATTCTTGCAACTCAGGATCGCATGCATTTTGGCAAGTGGAGGACTAGAGCTTTCGCTTTGAGGTGCAGCTGGATGCGCGATCAGATCCATCTTGAAGATGTGCAGGTGTTGCACACTCCAGGAGAACATCTCATTGCAGACATGCTCACGAAGATACTTCCAAAAACACGCCTCATGCAGTTGAGACATCGTGTGGGCGTTGCGTCCATGCCAAAGATCACAGGATAAGCCAGCCGAGTGCTGGACATGAGTTTTGATTTTGCTTTCTGGAGTGGGGCCGAAGGAATAGTCCAGCCCGCTCAGATCTCCAGTTGCAGGGTCATGCTGCGGGGTCGCGACTTTTGTAGATTCTCTTCGCAAGTCGAGGAGGAGTGTGCGCATGACCCCTGCTCAGGATGACACGCACGACTAAGGAGTGTGCATGGCCCTTGCGAAGGATGACACGCACAAACCGAGGTGCGTGGGATGCCATGTATTGGCTCAAGCGCGATTGAAAAAGGCATTCGGCCTTTGAGTGTGAGACACTGCATCGTGCGGGAAGTGCGATAATCTTTGTGTCCTTTTTGGGAGATTGATGGGTTCGGGTTTGGTTTTGTGTGAGCCTTGGGGCCCATGTACAATCCTCTAGATGACCTACCGCATCAAATTAGACAGAGGCTCGCAGGCTCCCCAACTCCTACACACTACTCCATTGTTACTAATACCCCGAGTCCTGTAAATCCCCAACATCATCAACAGTATCCAATGGCTGCACACTGTTGCGTATGAGGTCACGCACGAGAGCAGGAAAGGTAGACTAGGATACCCAGTAACCTAAGAACAAAAAGGCTTCTCTTTTTGGTATTGGGTAACTTTATAAGGAACCTAGGACTACAAAAAAGGAATAAGGGTACTACTGGGCATCCTAGTAGAATTCACGCAGGCTTTAGACTCTAGACTCTCCCCAGGAAAACCGGCAGGGTTCTCACTTGCCACGGGCCCACGGAGATCCGCAGGGCCTCTCAGAGACAAGCGGCGAATAGCCCACGTGCAGCATCAATTTGGTCTGCAGGTCGCCGTCCAGGGCGTACTTGGGATCCCAGCTGCCGGTAATCGTCTGGTTCATGTCCTTAGCGATGCTTGGCTCTTGAAGGTCCCGACACATTGAGACAAGGATAGCAAGATCAAGCGACTGCTGAGAGCTACGGGCAGAATGGCTACGGTTCAGTGTCCCGAAGAGAAGGAGCTTACGGAAGCCTCGAGGAAGCCCAGCCGCATCTACCAGCGTTGCGCTCAGAACAGCGGGTCCTGACAGGCCCCACCAGGTTTCACCAGCTGAACCGACACCAGTTCCTTCTGTAAAGTGTTTTGATACAAGACAGCTCCCGACACTCAAAGCTTCGAGCAACACAGACGTGCTCCTCCGGGAGTTAAGTCAATCCGCTGATTTTTCGGATCGAAGAGTGCGAACCTGTGGCCGTCTCGTGGTGAGGCTTGAAGAGGTGAGATAGTCTTGGAAGGAGGCGGGAGCTGCACTACCAAGCAGGTTACACGAAAGTTACCTGGCTCCGACTGACGTCACGGCTCTTGGGAAGCTAGGGCAGAGCTGTTTATTGTGAACACCGAAGCACATCAGCCAAGAAGACGCCCACGGCTGAGACCCAGGCTCAGCAAGATCGCCGGTGAAGCCCTGTTCGCGTGTGGCGAGAAGAGTGAACCTCAGACCCGGTCTGAGGAGCTTGAGAAACAGTAGCGAGGTTTCAGCTTCAAAGACAGTGTGAGCTGACAACCTTCTTGTCCCCGAACACACATACCCCCCAAAACATACAATCTCCCTGACCCTCTTGAATCCTGATCACGACGATCTTGATTCTGACGGCTCTCGTTGCGACACTCGGACTACGATCACCTGCAACAGCTGCCTTCCGTCCGTCATAGCGGATGCGAGAACCCACCAGACACCCGAGTCGGCAAATCTGCCCGGGCACCTGTAATAAGGGAACGTGGCATTGACCTCGCTCTCTGCCAGATCTTCACCGCCGACATCCCCAAACACGTCCTCACCAAACGCTCGTGACAATCACCATTGAGCCTAGTTGTTGGACGATGCCATTCACGACGGTTAAGCCTAAAAGCGCTGCAAGCGACTTCGGTTAGGCTTTTTGGCTCGGTCTCTCTAGCGGCACTCGGGTCTTGGCGGTGCTGAATAGAGTTGAGAAGCGTTTGGGTACCAGTAGCATGCCAGGCTGAGGAAAATGAAGAGATAGTGTACCGCATTAGAGCGCACAGTCTAGGACCTAGTCACCTTCAGTCCTCCAGGGATGCATCCTCTTCCTCATCACCTTAGTGGTTCCGGAGCTGGAGGCACTGGAACTCTCACACCCCAGGAAGCCTGAACCTCGACCATTTGATGTCAGACGGGGTGCTGTGAATTTCGACATTGTCTTGGTCTTGGCCAGCATCCTCCAAGAGGTTGTCATTTGCCTGCTGAGTAGCGCAAGCATGAGAAACTCTAAACTTACGAAGCTTCGACTCGCGCCGTCCTCCCCTCTCTTGTCACATAGCGGCAAGGCAGTGTCTGAAACCACAGGTAGGGTAGGTTCTTTCAAGCAAGGCCCCCTGTCTGCGCAAGGCTGGGGAGTGATCCCATTCACAAGAAGGGCCACACATGTACAGCCCCAGCCCATGCCTCTCGTCGCATCATGCGAGAGCTTTCCTGAAAACAGGCAAGGCTCCCGAAGACTCAGAACCCAAGGACAGCTAGCTATGACGCTCAACTCGAAGACAGGTGCAGAAAGCGAGTCGATATGTCCTTCTGCATGTTTCCGTGTGCATCAATGCTCGCCTGCAGGGACACCTGACGAAGAACAGCAGAGGCGTTCGTAATTTGAGCTCTTGCCTGGCTCCACATCATGTGGCAGCCAGGCAATGGAAAGAAGATGTCTAGGATTTGAAGAAGCGACCATGACTGCTGCAGATCTGAAGGACTCGGTCGCTCCGGAGAGCTCCTTCGCTGCTTCGCTGCCTGGTGGTGCTCGGTAACAGCGTGTGCGATCCATACACAAGTGGCTGCAAGCAGCACTGGATTCCTCAGGTGGACGAGGCGGAGTCTTTGAGTAAAGAGATCTTCCATGAGCCTCGATTCAGAGCCAAGGGCAAGGAGAAGGCAGGATGTGCAGGCAGGCGATAGCACATACGTAACCTGGAATGTACGATACGTGACGTTGTGAAGCAGGATGAAGTAGGCCGTGCACTTCACCGTTGGGAACAATACTCGGTCCCCAAAAACATAGTGACAAGTGTGCACTCACCGCGAACCGTCCCATACGCCATACACCCTACTTCACCTCACGGTCACGCCGAAAGCAAAGTTTTAAGGACAGAAGGCCAGGAGGGCATCCCGCTGAGGCCGATGCATCGAGGATGTGTGAAGTTCACGGACATGAAAATGACATAATCGCTACCGCCCACAGCTTGAGCTGCGTGGCTGCACGGATTGGAGGCAGTCCAAGCTTGCCTAGGAGTCTTCTGAGAACCAGCGTATGCGGCTCCTTCTTGGAGTAGCGATCCTGCTGTTTTGAGGTCCCTGCAACCTACTAGCAGTTGCTGCTGCATGCGATGATGATGACACATCGAGGTGGCACACAATTGGGAAAGAGGCTTTGATAGGTTGTGCACATCTGTTCCGGACGCATCCAGAGAACTCTGTTGAGAAGTCAACACGCCTACCGCTTGCCAAAGCCATGCCGAAAATGAGAACACAAAATCTCGACCACAGTCATAAACCCCTTCTACGGAGGTAAAAAAATCCCGGCCCTCAGCCCAAAGACAGCAAAGACAAGAACGGCCCGGCTCTTTTTTCGATCGTGGCAGCGTCTTGTGTTGACGACTGCGACCTTGTCTGCTGCTATGGTTGAGGGATGGAACATTGACTGGCTACTGCCATGCAGCGCACCACGAAATCCCAAATATCCCAACCGAAGCACCGACAGTCACCCGGAGTCCGAATCCACATCGTTCGGTGGCGTTGATCGAGGTAAAGAATGGCTAGCAATTGACGGTCGACTGCGCTGCGAATAAGCATTGCTGCCAGGAGTCTTCTTGCAATCGTCATCTGAATCAGCTGGGGGCAGCCTCAGTGGCGTGATGGAGTCTCCCGCTGGACAAAGCAGAAGTCACACGTCGAGATGATGAAGCGCGCCTTGCTGTTCCTGTTACAATCTAGGTGTCGTGAGCTGGGCGTTTCTGATTCTGGTGTCGTCCTTCTCATATTTTCTTCTCGGACAGCGCCCAATGCACAGCACCCGCGACTCATCAAGATCTAACCGATGTACCGCCGCGTAGAACGGGCAGAATCGGCGAGGCTGGCACACGTTGCGTGCAAAGCCTGCTGCATCCCATGGGCCCCGGCATCCCCATGCGCAGCGGCTGGCGCCGCCCTTAGACGGATCAAGCTGATACTCAGCGCTGCGAAGGAGACACGAAGGTGGGTCAGTGTTGAAAGTTGGTCTTAGGTCTGCGTCCGTCTTGCTACTTGCCTTCGCTTCTCTGTTTGCTGTGAATCTTAACCATGTCCTCCCTTGCAGCACGTAGGTTTCAGCATTGAAGATACAGTTTGTGCCTTGGAATGGTCACCTGCAACCCCCGTCCTTACATCGACAAATATAAGGCATGGGCTTGCTGAAGCGCTCCATTCGCTTGCGGCGCTTGCGCGTCTCCTCGTCGTCTGCCTCGGGACTTTGGTTCTCCGCGGAGAGGCCGGAGCGGACCCACCAGCGGGCCTATATACCAGAAGCCTTCAACCTCGTTATCACCTCTGCGTCCCAAAAGTCCCAACTCCCCGAAAACTTGGGACTCTTACGGGCTTGAACGACGGCGCAGCAGCTGCAGCGCCTCAAAGCGAGAGGCTTGCAGGTTTCCCAACCAGAGCACGCATGGTGAGCCCAAGTTGCATTCGTGCGTGTCCTCACTACTCCAAACTACCCCCAATGTTACGACCACCACGAAGAACCACTGCCACTTATAGAGCTGCAGGCGCCTGTCTGCAGCTAAGAGGCTTCAGCCGGCAGGACACTTAAGTCGCTTGAAACAACTGCATCGAGCAAGCTAGGAAAAGCCTCACCAAACACCTTCGCTGTGAAAACGATGGTGAGATGCAGTGGAAAGACATCTAAACTCTCGAACTCTAGGAGTTTCTGAGACACTGTTCTGTGTGAACTTCAAGAGCAACCAGCAAGCGGACGAGGGAGGTCCGAGTCTCTGCAAGGACTCTGCAAGCCCCGGCATCCGACATCCCAGAACCTGGTACTCAACCCGAAGCCAACTTGGTGAACCAACCCAGGCCCCTTACATCTGGATGGAGCATTCTAGCGCCCGACCTCCGGCAGTCTCCGGACGAGCCTGCCAGTCCTGACACAAGACATGGCACAGGAGGGTTTCTGGGCAATCGACCACAAAGGCTGCGAGAGCACTGAAGCGCCCGGTAGGAAAGACATGATTCAACTATGTCGGCTAGTATCATATTCCAGCCACCACTATGGCAATGGTGATGGAAAAGATGACAGATGCTCGCGGTTTGATATCCTCCTATTGCCGTTCAACTGCAGTGCGGCGATTCTTGATGCGGCCACCAGCCTCTCCTATTGATCCTCTTGTTTTTGCCAATGCTAGGACTTTCCAGATAGCCGCGCAGTAGGCCTGGCCTGGCCCCGATCCCAGTCGTGGTCGTCGTAGCCTGCCAAGCACCGGCTAATGATGGCGGAACGCCAGAGGGGGTGGTCTCAGTTCTCCGCCCGAAAATTCCCGATGCTCTTCGCACCACACCCGCTCCGCCTCTTCCGCGCTTCCGTGGTGCCTGCGCAAGCTCTGGAGACTGCTGCGGGTAGCTGATGCTAGCGCCGATCCTTTGCTGCGGTGGTAGCGCCGAGGCCTCTCGGTCTCGGTCTCGGACATCCTGCCCACCCCAGGCTCCTGTAGACAAGCTGGAGGCAACAGCTACGAGTAGTTGCAAGGGACCTGGTGACCTCATAGCAGCTGTAGACTCTAGGCATAGCTCGGCTTCTCGAGGCCTCGGTCGTCGTGTCCCCAGCCAGCTCCTTAGAGCTTGGTGTTCGGAAGACTCACTGACCTCACCTCATGTCTCCGGAGGCAGAGCGTTTCTTTCCTCGAAAGTCTGTCACTTCTGAACCTAGGTAGGGCCTTGATCGGAAGCCCGCCCCCGGTCCTCCCGCGACGCGATACCAAGTCTAGAGGCATCACTCCTGTATGGATGTCAACAAACAAGATATTTATCTCTGTTGATGGCACCTCTGTTGAATGCCACAGAACCCGGCCCTTTCCCGCTTGCAAAACCCGGTGGCCCTGAACTCTGACCTGAGTCTCAAGCGGTTGTTTCGTGCTTGCCGCTCCCTTTCAGTGGCATAGTTGAAGAGGTCCTCGGCTCAGCTTCTCAGCACGATCCAAACACCGTTCACCTGAGCACTAGAATAGAAATGCGGAAACTGCGCGCACTCGGCGTCGAAACTGGCTCTTGCACTTTAAGCCAGCAGCATGTCTCCAGTCTCTATCTGCTGCACCTGTTGCTCACTCGTGTGCGGCTCACGGGAAGTGTGATTCGCGGTTCTTTTCGTTCACACTCGCACGGAAGACGTGCATTCCCCGCCAGTAAGACAAGGAGTAAGAACAAAACAACCAGAAAAAGTGGGCTGCAAGTCATCCTCAGCCCTGAACATGATGCCGAAATGCAAAACTCTCCAAACCTCGTCGGCGGCCCTCGCGGCGAGCACCGCCTGACCAGACGTATGCTCTGGTTTCTTCTCATAGGGAACGACTCGGAGCTCTTGGCGTTAGTCGCAGCCAAGGCCAGAAGTTTGAATTACTTCAAGAAAGTCATCTGTCCACGTCTGTACAGTGAGGGTTGACTTCCAACGAGATTACTGGACAAAAGTTCCCAGGACCTTTCTGCGACTGCTCATCCATGCCTTCCACAAGGCGACCTAGCGACTTCCATGACCTAAACTCGACTGCTCCATCGAAGGTCCCCACTTTTGGCTTATCGTAGGATATCCCTCAAACCTTTGAGCGACAAAGCCGCACATCCAATGGCCGAGCTCAAACTTGGCAGAGGGAGACGACAGCAAATGCGGGTTCTCACAATCTACACAGAGATGCCAAACGAGAATGCTGGGCCTTCCCGGTCGTCTCCTTAGCTGCACCGAAGCTAAAGCCTTCGCCCTTCTCGGAAGTCCCCTGGACTCTTCCTAGACTTCAGGTTGACAACAAAGCCAATGTTTCAAAGTCTGCACGGTTACCACAGCGCTACCAGAGCTACTACAATCTTCGAAGATGTAAACCAGGCGCACACAGAACCACAACGCATCCGACGTATCCCTCCCAATTGGCAACATCCCCTTGAGGGACCAGCGTGCGTCTTCTCGGGCTTCGAGGTCATCTGCCTGGCCATATGTGCAGCGGTACTGTTGGGCTTCTGAGACTTGCACAGTGGTCCGCCACTGCGTCCAATCGCTCTTGAAGCTCTGTGCCCTGTACCATTAACCCCAAACCCGAAACTCCGAACTGGGAGCTAAACCCTAAACTGCAAGCCCCAAAACAGGACCAAAACCCCAAACCCCAAACGGTGCCACAGCAGCGAAACAACGGGCACCTTGGCATGTCGGCCCCAGGGCTCTTCAGTGCCCTTTGAGCGGTTTCCGCCTCGGGGGGTGAAGTTCAGTTTCTTCTGTCTCTGCTCCTTGTGCCTGAGAGGGCTTCGGGCTATTGAAAGCTCGAGATCTTGAAACCGGCATCAACGAAAAAGACCCGCGCGGGAACGCGCCAAGTCTCAAGGCTTCACTTCTCATCCTCACCCGACCCGAAGCCAATTGGACCAGCGGCTGGTCTTGGCTTGTTGTGCAAACCAGCTGTCCTCCCACCTCTCCTGCGGGTGGGGCGGCGAGGGAGCGAGAGGTGCAGGCTTCGAGAACCCAAGTAGAAACTGCTATCCATGTTTGGACTGAGGGCACCGGTGGTTCCGGCAAAGCCTTTTTCTCTGCTCTCTGCAAGCCGGTCTCAGCGTCCGCTCACCTTTTCGTAAATCTGCCGCGGGATGGACAGCAGCGTGTTCGTGTCGTAGTTCTCGTCGTCCTGGACCGGGCAAACAGAGTTGAGGGATTCGCAGGCATGCTTTGCACGATGTGCGTGCGTGTGTTAGATCGCGCCGTCTTCATTTCGGGCAAGGAGCATGGCTCTTTTGCATGTCACATCACTCTTGTGAACTTATGAACTTGGGATATCCAAGCCCGGGTAGCCCGGCGTGGTCCTTGCGTGGGCCGTCGGACCTGGAGGAGATCCAGACGCCATCGTCGGACTCCAGGTGCAGCCCTGCATCTAAGGGAAGGGTCATGTCGTACTCGCGGAGGCCGCCGAAGGCCTGGTTGGAATCCGTGGGTTGACGGTCTGGGGTTTAAAGCTTCGGGCGCAAGAGTTAGGGCTTAGGTCTTAAATTTAGGGTCTTGTTACGTATGTTCGGCCCAACCCTGCCAAATGCAGGGTTTAGGCTCTAAGGTTTAGGGCAGAGAAATGATGAGGGATTTTCCCCTTTGAGCTTGCCTGCGGCTCGTTGGAGGATCGTTCACCTCCTTGGGGCTGCGGTGCCGGTGCCATCTGCACCGGCGCATTCATGGAGGGATAAGAGGGCTGCATGGGCATGGGCCCTGGCATCCCATAGTAACCTCGGCTGGTGCTGCACCGTGCTCTTTCTCCGAATCGGAACCCTTCCAGTCCCCCCAGACAAAAGCTCCCATTTCTCTCGATACATTAAAGACCTTTACGAAGTACTGCAGCTTCTATCAAAAACAGTCCCAGCCCCAAAAGATCTGCGCCAGTCGCCTGGCTGGGCTTCCTCGGTGAAGGCAACCTCCAGAGGGGCCTTGATCCCCCAGTGCAACGGCCGCCCTTCTGGGCTCACCTGCAAGGGGCTTTCGGAGCTTTCGGAGTCGGAGTGATCTGACCTAAACCCAGGCATCCCCCACCTCCATATTCATCGCAGCTCCCATGACAGCCGGCACCAACGCAAGGAATCGCCTTCTCATAGCATGCAGGTGTTTCGAAGACAAAAGGCAGTATAGACAGAGGCCCTGGCAAAGCCTAGTGGCTGGAGCCAAGAGCGGCGAGGCCCCCACACTTCAAGATGCCTGACTGGCCTACTCTTCCCCCACACGGCGTTGTCAGCTCTTCTTTTAATAACCAGCTCTGCAACAACTTGGCCTCTGCTGGCCGCTACCCTGCTAGAAAGCACCGTGCAAGCAAGGTCGGTCATCGCAGACTTCGTAAGTCGTAAGCACATGCGAACACGACACTGATATTGATATGGCTCTGGAATCCATTTTGGCGGCACCTCGCTCCACAGGCTTCCGACGATACATGGCCGCATCTAAGCTTCACTCTTCGTCTCAAGGTTTCGATTCGGGAGTAGGTCTCAAGGCGTCCCTGCTAGTCACTGCGCATCGAAATGTCTCTCAAACTCTCATCCCTACTGGATGCTGCTCGTTGTCCGGAGGGCGCATGTGGCACCAGGATCACTGCCAGCCGCCCAAAGGTCTGAGATCTTTCGCCTGGCGGCTGGGCCACTCGACAGTGCAGCTGGAAGCAGCTGCAGGAGTTGCAGTAGCCGTGGCAGTATCAGTAGCACTAAAAGGAATAGGCGTAGGCCTAGTAGAAGTCGTCGTCGTGGTCGTGCTAGCCCTAGCGGTAGCCGTAGCCGTCGGGGTCGTGTTCGTGCTCGTGGTCGTGGTGCTGGTGTTGCTGTTTTGCTGTGTTGCTGCATTACTGGTGTTACACTGCTGCCGCTGTGCTGGTACTGTGCTGGTGCTGCGGCTGCGGCTGCGGCTGGGGCTGGAGCTGGGGTGGTGCTGGGTGGTGCTGGGTGGTGCTGGGTGGTGCTGGGTGGTGCTGGGTGGTGCTGGGTGGTGCTGGGTGGTGCTGGGGGCTGGCAGGTGCTGGTGGGTGGCAGCAGGAGGGAGTAGCAAGTAGCAGGTAAGGCAGCAGGTGGCAGGTCGCAGGTCGCAGTTAGCAGCAGTCAGCAGCAGGCAGGAGGTAGCAGGTAGTAGGTATAGCAGGTGAAGTAGCAGCAGCAGCAGCCACAGGAGGAGGAGCGCCACTGTGGAGACATTGCGTCGCCGTTGTCGGAGGAAGAGTGTCAGCTTGGAAGTGCAGAGTATCGGTGCTTTGGATGTTGGGGCGCAGATTACTTTCCGAGCAGGATCACAACTTGCCAGGAAAACCAGGGCGTGAAACGATACCAAAGTTGGCAAGAGAGCTCAGCAAACCTTTGGGGACTTTGGGGGCTTCTTACCCCACCACCCGATGCTGCCCCCACCTGCGGCTTGTTCTGGTTGTTCAGGAAGACCGTGAACTCGCACTCGTTGCCCACCTACGAAAGGGTACAAGATCAGTTTCAACTCGCCCCTTCAGCAGTGATTCACGCAATTAAATGGTGCAAGACTTGGAAATAGAACAAGAAGAAGCGTTAAACCCTCAACTCTGAGCCCCTAAACCCTAAACCCTATAGACCCTAAGCCCCTCAAACCCAAACCCTATGGACCATATAAGCCTAAACCCTCTAAACCTTGCATAGACCATGGAGCCCTAATCCCTGCAGGCCCTAAACCCTAAACCCCGCAAACCGTGAACCCCTAAACCTGAAGCTCCTAAACTCTATGGACCTTGAACTTGAAACCCTATAGACCCTGTATAAACCCCGAATGTAGACCCCAAATCCGAGACCCTGAGCCCCTAAACCCTAAAGACCCTGCACCTTAAACCCTGTAAACCCTCTAACAACCCAAAAAATCCGATAACCCGTACTCTGTCGACCCTAAAACCGTCAAGCCCAAACTCTATAACCCTAAACCCCAAAACCCCAAACCCTGTAGGCCCAACAACCCTATAGATGCCTGTACAAACCCTAAACCCGAAGCCCTGAACACCATACATAGACCCAAAACCTAAACCCTGTAGGCCCTCAGCCCCTCTTCAAAAAAACCCAAAAACAAGGTTCCTAAACCATATGGACTGTAAACCCTGAACCCGACAAAGCTTAAACCTCAAAATCCTGAAGCCTAAACCCTATAGACCCTAAACCCCAAACACCCGAAAGACTCTGCCCTGAACCCGTAGCCCTAAACCCTAGGGAATTGAGACCGTAAGCGCGATGAACCTAAACCCTGAGCCCGATCAACTTTGAAACCTTAACCCAAAAAGATCACAAATCCTTCAATCCCTATACACCCCAAACTGCCAGACCCTTAAACCCTTAAACCCTATCAACCCTCTAAACCCTAAACCCCTAAACCCAAAAAAACCCTGAAACCCTAAACCCAAAAAAAACCTGAAACCCTAAACCCCTAACACCTAAACCCTAAAACCCGAAAACCCTAAAACCCGAAACCCTAACCTTTGAACCCTGGAGCCCAAGACCTGGAGGCCGGCAGCTTCGAACTGAGCCTGGCGCGTTGAAAGGAGAACTTGGGCACTGCCCGCCCCCCCCCCATACCCTAAACCCTAAAGCCTAACCCCCCCCCCCAATAATATAATATGGCTACTATTAAAAGCCCCATAGAGTAACAGTCTATTTGTAGGGCTACTACCAAGGGCCGAAAATAATATAATAGGGCTGCTATTCAAGGCCCCATAGAGCAACAGTCTGTTTGTAGGGCTACGAGTAAGGGGCTAAATATTTCAATAGGGCTGCTATTAATTTTAAAAGTCTAATGTATTGTAATAGTGCCAGGCCCAATACATTGCAACGGGGCTGCTATTAAGGGCCTAATATATCTATATTATGACTTCACTAGAATCCAAGTGTTTACTGAGTGCTGGCAGCAATCTACGAGGCCATACTTTAGTAGGGTGTAATATGATGCTCTAATCTATGCTATACTATACTATACTATACTGTACTGTACTGTACTACGCTAGAGTATGATACCATATACTATAATATGACATGGAGACTTGCTTTCTTGTGAGAGCTGGGGAAAAATCTGCTCTTGAAGGGCCGTGCTGTGATGACCCAAGCCTCTGTCTTGCAATCTACAGGTCGGCACTTCGCAGAAGGATGCCGGTGGGACGTGATGTAGGAAGACATCGTTCGTGTAGCCCTCTGCCTTCAGGTCCTCTTGCACCAGGGATTCTCCGCTTTCGGTTGCAACCCAATCTCTTCGATTCTGGCTGCCCGACCTGCCTCAATTGAACCAAGCACGGTCAAGCTGCAAGGGTAAAGCACAAGAACCTTCTGAATACACCGCGCAGTTTACCAAAGGCGTCTCCAGAAGACACGACATGCATACTCACAGTACGAATGCACACCGAGCTGAAGAAAATGTGGCACGGCATCATTTTGCCCGGTCTTGCGGAATCGCCGAAAGCTTTGTCACACAAACACAAGCAAACCTGGGTCCTGGCAGACTATGAAGCCGTAGCCGTTGCTTGGGTTGAAGCCTCTGCCGTGCGGAGCGTTTTGAAACTGATTCTCCCTAAATCCCCCAGCCTGAAAATACCTCGGACCCTTGAACTAGACTCTTGGACCTTCCCAGGCTGAGACCGTTGCTCGCAACCTCTTTCCTCACAGAGGGGAGCTTCCTTGGGGGGCCTTCCTCGGCTCTTTCAGGGCCCCGGCTCTTGATGAAGCCGGAGTAGTTTCCAATGACTGCCTCGGAAGGTGGCTCGAATGCCTCGTCGGACTTCCTGCGGCCCGCCGGTTGTTTCGGCTGTGGTATCAGAAGAAGAAGAAGACCAATACTAATACCAATGCCTGCCAATACCAAAAAGAGCAATAAAGAAATACTAAAATACTAGGACTAGCAATAGTAATAGTAATAACAAGAACAATATAAATATAATAGGAGTCATTAGTCATAATAATAACAGTAATCATCATAATCATAATATACTAATGAGGAACCCGGCCCTACAGAGTAGTGTTGCAAACTACTCAGGCTTCTCAGCAGACACCTTTCCCAATCGCGCATTCGAGCGCATCTGAGCTTTCAAGTCCGAGCGGTGGCTTTGGAGGTGTCCTATCTCCGCCCCCCGCGACCGTGCGGTCCTCTTCTTCCACGAAGGCTGCTGCTGGGGCTCGGCAGGCTTCCAGGCCTGCACGCTTGCAGACCAGAGACCAGAGCGTCTGCAGCCCGCAGAAATGAAATCAGATTGTGAGCTCCCTCTCTCTCTCTCTCTCTCTCTGTGTCTCTCTCCAGATCCAACCTGGTAGGTCGGCGCTTCCTGCACCTGGGACCTTGCCGGTGCAGCTAGCTACGGAAGGCATGGGATGGTACTGATGCAAGCAGTGCGGGGCAGCAATTACGCCTGTGACGATGTTGAGCAGCTCTTCACATGCACGACTCGTCTCGAGCGAAGACAAAGCGGAAGGAGGGGCTTCGACATGAAGGCCCACACACGCAAGCCATGCTTCTCTGCGGAAGAAGTCAGCACCGAGCAGGCTTTAATGGGCAGGGAGTTCCATGCGAGGCGACAGGACGATGTGTGGAGAGAGCTACTCGACTCAGGCTCGCGCGGGGCGGCTTTCGGCTGCCAGGAACCCTGCGCAGGGTCCAGGGTGGTTGGTGTGTGTGTGTGTGTGTGTGTGTGTGTGTGTGTGTGTGTGTGTGTGTGTGTGTGTGTGTGTGTGTGTGTGTGTGTGTGTGTGTGTGTGTGTGTGTGTGTGTGTGTGTGTGTGTGTGTGTGTGTGTGTGTGTGTGTGTGTGGGTTTGTGTGTGTGTGTGTGTGTGTGTGTGTGTGTGTGTGGGTGTGTGTGTGTGTGTGTGTGTGTGTGTGTGTGTGTGTGTGTGTGTGTGTGTGTGTGTGTGTGTGTGTGTGTGTGTGTGTGTGTGTGTGTGTGTGTGTGTGTGTGTGTGTGTGTGTGTGTGTGGTTGTGTGTGTGTGTGTGTGTGTGTGTGTGTGTGTGTGTGTGTGTGTGTGTGTGTGTGTGTGTGTGTGTGTGTGTGTGTGTGTGTGTGTGTGTGTGTGTGTGTGTGTGTGTGTGTGTGTGTGTGTGTGTGTGTGTGTGGCAAGTTGGACTGCAGCGGCTCTTCTTGAAGAAATGTCCTGCACCTGGGCTGTTTGTTCTGCATTCGTCTCATGTGACCTCCAGCACAGCGTTGGCAAGGCGCCTTGCCCCAAGAACCACCACCACTGCCTTTCGACCTCGGTAAGTCTGACGAAAACTGCAGTGCTATCCGGCAAGCTATGCAGATGGACTGTCCTTAACACATCAGGCGGAACCTCTTCCACTTCAGCTTCACCGTTTCCCTTTGCTGTTGGTTCTCAGATGGTCGTGGCAAGGACATCGTGCCTGGAATTCATGCCGATAAGACAGAGACCAGTTGCTGCTTACATTCTGCCTTGAGAGAGATGTCACAGAGAGTTCCTGCTCCTCCCAGAACAGGCACAGCCGCACCACAGGGTCGCAGCGAGAGCCCTGTACTTGATCAGGAACCACTTCACAAGTTTGGTAGCCATAGGCCGTAGGGTTTTGTGGGCAAACTATCGTAACAATGCAATAGGAGCCCTAAGTAACCGTCATTCTGCACCTTGGTGCCCCCATCAACCCTGCCGAGGCCTCGGCTTCCCGCCGCCCCACTGCTGCTGGTGCTGGTTCTGCTGAGGCGTTTGCCAAGCACCCTGTGCAGGGATTCGCAAGACAAGCATCAAAGAGGGCTCTCTGTCTTTCGGAGCGGGATCCGGCTTCGAGCTGAACTTCTGTCCGTTTGGTTGAGTCAACGCTTCAGTCAAACCCCCAAACCCTGCAATGCAAACAACGCCACAAGGTTCGACGGCTGCGGGGCCTTCGCGCCCCCCTTGCCGCTGGCCACCTCTGCGTTTATGCGGACGGGTTTCATGCTGCCGAACATCCGAATTCGAACCAAGATCAGAAGGGATCGAGCACCAGAAAATAACCTTCGTGATTGGCGCACCAGGGTATTGACAGTTGCAGAGAGGAAGTGATCATAATCAACATCTTTTCACTTGTCACTTTCAAACACAATGCTAGGTGCAGGGGTTATGCGTTGCTTGAAGCAATTACGATTCTTGGGCAAGAACTAACACAATCCATGCAGCAGCCACCCCCAGAGCCACTTCTGCCACCACACCTCTGGATGATTGAGATTCTACTTCCTGTAAATCCCTTAGCTCTTGGAGTCGCTAGGCTTGAATGCATGTTGTTGCCGGCCCACACGTATGCAAACAGATAGTGCATCTCCAAGCTTTATGTAATGGGGTCACGGCGTTTCGATGGTGCTGCCACCGAAGATCATAGGCCTGGGCGCAACACCCATGAAACTCGCTCACTGAATGCCGCGGGCCCCGCAACACTGAGTTCTACGGCTACTGTTTGCAAGCGAATGCCAGCATGTCCGGCAAACCGAAGCCTTCGACATTAAACTCGACAATTGCTGAATCCCACCTCCCTCTGCTCTTCAACACCGACACCTGAAGACATCAAGACATCTTTGAGTATCGCCTGCGGCTTGTTGTCCTTGTTCAGCGCCACTGCAAAACTGACCTGGCCAGCTGTACCAAGTACCAAGAAAGTCGGAGGCAAGGGCTTGAAGCCTAGTATCCTGCAGCGTGCGAAGTCACTAGAGAGGCTCCTCAGGGCCTTCGGGTTGAAGAAGTCTTCAAACTCCCAGTATTGTAGTGATCCGTGAATTTTAACCAAGCGATGCATCCATCTGTGTGACTGTCAAAAACAAAGCAGGCCAGAACGTGCCTCGTCGCCGACATTAAACGAGCCCATCTGCTGGCCGACAAGGAACACGTCGTTGCCAAAGACCTGGGTTTCTAAGAGCGTTGAATCGTCGGCTATGCAACTTGCGAAGAAGCAGTGATGACCTCTGCTTGCCCCTTCTTACAACTACGGGACGCACAGACGTGCACATACCCCTACTCTTCTACAAGCAGCTGTATAAGAATTCCCATAAACCTGCACATAATGCGCCCTTCTGTGTATATGCGTACACGAATTCACTGCAGAAGCCGCGCTACATTGTAGAGCTCCTCGCAGGCGATGAAGCCAAAGCCCTGCACCATGCAAACTTGGACAGGGAAGCAATTCTGTACTTTCACCGGGCAGGGATTCACAGGTTTTCAGGTCGTGCGGCACGGCTTATCGCCGCGTCTACGTGGAGGCGTCCTTTTCTACCAACGTTCTGGCCAAATATGGATTTGGAAATCGCCAAGTGCAGGGTGCTGACCAATTTTGAGGTCTGTAAACTTGCCCAGAATCTAATCTCAGCCTTCGACGGGAATTTCAAAATCCTGAAGCCCGAACCTACAGCGCACCTTCCCGTAAACCATTGAGCCTTTCGAACCCCGAAGCTTGGGTTTCCTTCTCCGTGTTGAAGGACTTGATGAAACCATCAGAGCGCCTCTCCACCAGAGCCTGCACGAGGCACAAGGGCTCTGCGGGAGGTCGAAAGTCAGCATGCCTTAGATCATAAGCCCAAAATCCTTGCCGCCTAATCCCTGCACACTTTATTACTTCCCCAACAGAAAAACAATTGAACTTCCCTGTTACGACTAAACTCTAAAACCCCAGAAAATTTAAAGGTTGGGTATTGGGGAACGAAGCTATTGACCTGAAACCCAGACCCTAAACCGTTCGCAGGCACTCCTTGATGGGCGGATATGTCAGGTCCGGAACGGAGAAGGAAACCACTGACGGCGCGAGCTCCGGCCTGACACCCCACGAGTTCCAGAGACTCAAAAAAGCGGGGTCTGGAGCACGCGAGCCCGTGTGCATGTATGCATATGTACATGCAGAGAGCGAGAGACAGGGATACATATACATATACACATACATACGTGTTTATTTGTATACACCAACGGGAACATGTACTCGACATGTACACACATACATACACATATTCATATACTAACACATATACACTACAGACATGTACACAAACAGACAGGGAAACATAGATAAATGAGTGGAAATACATGTCGTGCACCTGTACAGTGACACTTCGACAAGTAGTCATGATACATAAGCTGAGACCTGACTGGACATTGGCCTGAAACAGTTGGCATTCTGCAAATCTCAATCGTACAAGTCTAGCCAAGCAGAAATACCAAGCCCAGATGCACAAACGCCTGTTGTAAAAAAAACAGAGTCTATGCCCTAAACCCGAACCGACCCCCTTATAGCTCCAAAGCCTGAACTCTCTCTGGCCCAGCAACCGGGACTCCAGAACAGAGCAGATGACGCTGACAGCAGACTGCTCGTCCAATGCCCTTAGGAAGCGTTGTGTTGCATTTGTGCTTTGGGTTTGGACTTAAGGGGTGCAGCGTATGAAGATCAACTACAGGAACGTTCACAGCTTCCGTTCAGTTCAAGCCCACACTGTCAACAGAGTGTCATGCTTCGCCCATGATGCAATGGCTGCGGCAACGACAGCAGATGCGAAAAGCTGCAAAAAAAGCAGTTCGTCGAAGATCCTGGGTTACTCTGCCTGTACGGCCTCAGAGTATACACGAGTTTGCCTCCCATGCTGGTTCACACCTGCCTCGCTGGGAAGATAGGATCCGACCACTCAGGGTAGCAGGGTAAGCGGCTCTACTGGCTCTACTGATTCAAGCCTATGACACCAATGACCTCACTTCATCAATCGAAACACTGAGCCATGAGATCAACGCCAATCCGACAAGGACATGTTGCCAGCGCAACCATTGCTTGTCGCATAAGCTCACGGTATGATGCAGCCGACCGTCTCAACCGACGAAGTACAGGCCACGTGTAAAATGTATCTGAGTACGCATACCTGTACTTAAATTCTAGGGTCGGAGTGCACAGCGGCCGATGACACTGGCACGAACCTCACAACTGTGAAGCACGTGGCCCTCAATATTGATGCAAGGCCCAATCGCCCATGCAGCTTAAACACAGCTGCGAACATGGCATTTTCGATTCTGAGAGGCATTGAGAGGCTTTAAAGCTGCCCCTCCAATCCTTGCTTTGCTCGAAAGTGGGGGGCCCCCGAAAAATTGCCTGAAAAGCACGGCTGACAAGATTCAGAGCCACAGAGCTTGGGCATTTTCACTTCAGGCGACTTCGGCTCCTCCCTCGCCAAACTCATCAGACCCCAGCTTCCGAAATGCTCGATCGAAATGGCCAGGAAGGCAACCAAGCAGGTGGACATTTCAAAGAAACAGAATGAACGGTCCATGCGAATCAGGGTGCCTGTAAACTCCCACAAGTTGATGCCGAACATGCGGAGAAGCCAGATAGATCTGCACGCCTAGGAACACAACCACCTCGATAGCTACCGCGACGGTATTGCCCACTATTCCATCTTGAAGCTGTGCTAAGGCCGCCTCCCGGAATTGTAGGAAATAGATCCGGTTCCCATCCACATACCAAGAAGGGATGCCAGTATCATGTACAACACAGGAACCAAGAGCTCGCAAAGGTCCATCAAAGCTAAGTCGGCCCAGCAGTGTGTCAAGATCTTCACCAGCCGAGCATCTAATTACGGGGCAAATGTCGGCAGTATGCATCTCCTTTTCGGTTCCGGTCTCTGTTCGTCCTAGAACACCTCTCAGCCTGTGGCCCACTCTGGTTGCAACTCTGAGCTTGTGTTGAAGCTTCAGCCAATGCTTCCGCCATTTAGTGCACAGCCTTTGGCTGCAGCGTGCCTGTCCTGCGACCTCGTCGTCCCGGGCCTCTTGCCCTGATGTGGGCGCGGCTGCAGGGTCTTCTTCGGATGGACCGCAAAGGCCGTCCTCCTCTTCGAGGGCCTGAACAAGCTCCCATAGCAGCTGCGCCGTGATGGCCAGCGCTTTGTCTGCATCCAGTGCTGATGCTCTTCACTGATGACATCACCTCGCAGAGCAGAAGAGGCTAATGAAGAACATGCAGAGCTTGATATCGACGAGTAGGAACCTGGGGGACTCATGCGATCTCGGCGCCATCCAACCAAAGGCGGCGATAATTAGGCTGATTCCCATAGTGCTGAGCGCCTGGAGTTGCTCGGACATCGCAGGAAATGTCACGGTCCACACGGCAAATATGACGAACTGTGAGAGCCAGGAAGCCCAGTTGGCACAGTTGAACGTCACGAAACTCAGGACCTGCGGTGTGAGGATCTCCGTTGGCAGCAGTCGCCAGTACAGAGCCATGGTGATCCAACAACCGGGGATGTGAGCGAAGGCCGGCGAGACAGGAATGGGATACACGCCTGCGAAGGATGCGATCAGGTGGGCCAAGAGGCAAAAACTTACATCTGCCAGCGGTGTTAAGCGAACAATCCAGCGAAGTCATCATGGCCAAACGCATGAGCCATTACCTCGATCTGGCCTCTGGCGATGACATAGTTGAGATCAGGATGGACCAAGAGATTGAAGGTCCAATTGGACCAAAATCCTGCCTTGGGTGATTCTAGCGGGGTAAGCGCACAAACCAAGAGGCCGAGAACAGGAAGTAAAATGAGGAGGCTAAGTATGACTCTGGAAATCTCACCAAAGCGGCACAGTGCTGATTTCCCACCAATGCAACGATCCTGCAAGTACCGCCTCAACTGAAAACCGAGCACATCTGCGACTTTGGCATGCAGCCGCGCCGTTCGGCGCTATAGAAAAGAATGGCAAATGGTTGATGGATGGTGCTGACTTTCCGAGCTGCACGCGACGAGCGAGTGATCGAAAAGGATTGCAGCACGAAAACTTCCGAAGCCTCAAAGACAGGTTCGCGGGCTCGTGGCTGTCGTGGCTTTGTGGCGACTCGCAAAGGTCAGCAGGCTCCTTTTCATGACTCTTGGAGTCTGCCGCGCGGCCGCAGTCTTCTGCGGCTTTGTCTCTGCAGTCTCCGGGCAGTTCGGTCTGAGATACCACGGTCAAGGTGCAGATGGCATGCCCCTCATATGGGACAGAAGGAGCTCGCGCCCTGCTGAAGCGCCATCGGCACGCTCTGCTCCGTCTCAACTCCCCCCGAGCCTAGCTTGAGCCAAACTCGCCTCGGGATAAGTATAAGGGCTTCATTCACAAGTACTCACAAGTGCGCCACTGCTCAGCCGCCCACGCAACAGACTCCGCCAAGCTTTGAAGATCCTGTCGAGGGCGGCCGCCAGAGACAGAACGAATCACAGTAACTGCCATGACTCCTGCGATGATAATATTACTGTCTCATGAAGACAAAATGATGATACACATGACCCAAATGTGCCCGGCGCTCACCAGCGACCTAGGGCCTGTAACCCTCCTCACAGAATCCTAAGCTGCAAGTCTCCTCAAATCTCCCATGGAAGCAGAAAGCTGTTGGATCTCGGGAGAAGGATCCCCTCGCAGCCTACCAAAGCGCTTAGTGCAGGGCGAAAAAGGCTGCTATGCGACCGAATACCTATGGTCCGGCAGGCACGTAATCGTGTACCTCAACCCGTGAGCTAGGCCGTCTAAGGCCCCAGATATCCGACACCCTTATGTCCGCAAACCCCCTTTCAGACCCTCAGCCCAAAGCTCCCTAAATGCTCTGCAAACTGCAAACCCTCAGACCATTAAACCCCAATCCCTTAACCGCCAAACCCTGAACCCCACTAAACCCTTAAACCGCGAAAACGTAAACCCTGAAACGCTTATAAACCACTACGCCCTGAAAAAAACCCTCAAAACCTAAGCCGTAAACCCTAAACCCAAAAAAAAACAAAACCCCAAACCCTCCAAGCTTCAAAACCCCGAGCTCGAAACCCTAATCCGCTTTCCCTCTAAACCGCTCAACCAGCAAGCCCCCAACCCAAAAAAAAATCCCAACCCTGGAACGCCAGGAGCCCTCGTCCCAGGAGGCTCCTGCTCCATCGCTGCCAGCCCTACCCGACACGGCCCAGGAGCCCAAACGCTGCGGGTAGGCGGGTAGGAGGGTTTGTTGGAACCTCAAAAAACCTACGGGTTCCTTATAGTGGGGATCGTGTGGCTGCAGACTCTCTTTCTCTCTTTCTCTGTCTGACGGGACCTCCCTGCCTTTAGACCGCTGGTGTTGGGTGTGACACAGTCCCCATGCAGGAGTTCGACGGCCTCAAGATCTTGGGGAGAGCTTTCGGAGGGCATGTACCTGATCTCCAGCAGTGCCAACAAACCCAGCGATGAAAAGCACCCGACACCTGGGTCCCAAATTCCCTGCAGTGCTGCACATCCCCTCCTGGGGGACGACGTCACAAACAGCGGAGATGGCTTCGCCTTCCTCACATCGACGCTCGCTCAATGCTGCGGCGCGCACAGAGCTCTGGCGGGGAAGCTTCGCCGACCAGTGGGAATTCTCGTGAGAATACTTGGGGCTAGCAAGACCGATCCAGCTGCGAAATCTAAAGTCCCTCCGTGAGCACCATGTAATATCCGCTTTCATCTGCAAAGGCCTTCCGGAACAAGGGCCCACCACCATTCCCTAGACAAAAGGCGTAAAACCTGAAACCGTGAGCCGTAGTTCTGCTAGCTACAGGCCGAAGTGCCAACAGGCTGCAACAGGGCCTAGTCTCATCTTAACAACACAGCCCGTGCGTCGCACCACGAACTCTTGAAAAATGCACGCAACAAGACCTAGAGGAAGTAGAACTCCCACAAAAAGCTAGAAGGGATGACCAGCATGAAAGACACATGATTCCATCAACAAAGCATCTCCTGTAGCACAGGACCCAAAGGCAGTTCCCCCTTCGGGCCCCGGACTCCCGTGTCCGCAGCTGCTGGTGCGCTGGGTGGGGCTGCTGCTGGGGCTGCCGGCACCTTGGAGCTTCGAGGAATCCCAGGAAGTGCTCTCAGTGATAAATGCTGCCCTGTTGCGAGACCTGGGAGCAACAGGTTACAGTATGCAGTATGATGCCTTTCTGTTTCTGCTGTAGATCTTGCTTCCTCGACAGGCAGCCTTGACCATTATTCTGGAGCGTCCCAACACCTGCTAAACTCTGCAAGACTTCTCCAGGGCCAGTAGTAACTTCAGAAGCTTCAGCATTGAGGTACAAAAGCGACGGTAGGTGAACCCGGCTCTGGAAACGTGAAGCCGAAGCCCGGAAATGATTCCGTGATCGGTGCCTGGAGTGCTCAGAACATAGCGTTATACATGCCTACAGCACACCATCCGCACCTTCTGCAGATCCTGCTTGATTCTCCTACTCTGACGGAGTAATCCAAGCAGTCCAGGCACCGCGGTCTCCGCTTCCGCTGCTTCAGGTTGACGCACCTCTGTACCAGGGCCATCGGCACCCTCCATAGGGGTGTCCTCCGGCTGCACCTGCTCCAAACAATTCTCAAATTGTTCCTCTGAATACGACCCTAGACCCAGCCGACTGGCGGAAGTGCCTACGGGATGGCGAGCCGAAGCTGCCTCTGGGGTACTTTTGCAGAGTTCTGAAGGTGTGAGAAGCTGCATGTTTCAATTGAAGACTCTTGTTACATCTTTTGGTCATGCTCAAGCTCTTGGACTTCATTTCATCAGAGGCTCCTAAAACAACCTTGCGTTTTCGAATTACCAAAACTCCGCCTCCTCCTTGAGCGCCATGAGCTCTCTGTCCTGCCATCGGCGAGGCTGACTGGGTGGGGGCGGCTGCATGGGGGGCATTTTTTCTCTGAATAATGCTGCCTTCTGCGCCATCTGCTGGAGAAGGTCGGGGGCCTCTTCTTCCTCGACAGGGCCTTATTGCCACCGAGTCAAGCGGAGAGAACCCACACAAAGGTGCAGCGGTCTAGAAATCCCAAACCCAGATGCAGGGACATGTGATCGCGAAGCTTGCATAATAGTTACAATACTGAAGGTGCAGGCCTGAACACGCTCTTCATGATCAAGATAATGCATAGTTCGAGGTCGAGATGGGTCGAGCTTTGCGCTGATGAAGAGATGCTCTCCAACTTGATCAAGGTGCCTTTGTTCTTTCGCCGCTTCTTGCGGGGGGCCTCACAGTCAGGCAGACAATCAATTCCTAGCGCGGAAGCTTTTCCACGCATCAGAACGCACGTCTGCCGACTGCTAACTTTGCTTTCCAGACACGACACACTCGAGATACCCCCAATCTCGAAAGCTTTACACTAACTCGATGCAGCCTCATAGTGATACTATGGACATCTACTAGTCAAAAGAACAAGAATACCAAAGAAGACAGCCATGATTGCAAGAAGAACAGCACCCCTAAGATTGACAATAATATCACAACCGACAGTACCTGCATCGTACTGACAATGACAATGAGAAGAAGGTGAAGAGCAGTCATGGTACAAAAAAATTCAGCCATCCGACTCAGGATAAGAACACAAAGCTTATTCGTAGGACCTGAAAACTCTAACCGTAAATCCCTAAGAATTACTGTACCCCCCGAGTGGAGTGGAAATAGGACTCCGAAGCACCCAAGAGCCTCTCCGAGTTCATTTGCGTACACGGCGGCGGCGATGGCATCTTCGCCCGTGGGCGCATCGCGCTTGGTACCCTGTGAACATGCAGGGTTCAGCATCTTAGGTTTTGGGGTTTGGGATTTCGGGTGTAGGGTTCAGGGCTCAGGATCTAAGGGTTTAAGGTGTAGTTTAGGGTTTGGCGGTTTCAAGACTTGGGTTTGGGGTCTGCCCTCCGACGTGGACCCTAAGCTCCAAACTCTGAGCCCCCGGAGCCACAACATTTCCAAAACCCAACGACTTCAAACAGCCCCCGAACCCTGAACCCTAAACCAACCCTGACTCTAAAACCCCCAACTCCAAAGCAGATCCGCCCCAAATATTCCAGCGTTGCTGCTACCAACCCACCAAGGGACCAAGGCCTCAATACATGACCTGGAAGCCCTGAATGCCAGACCAAGCTCCAAACATCGTGCCCTTCAATTACGCAAACCGAGCCCCTCACAGAATCTCACCTACCTAAGAACCAAGTTTCCGAGCCGCTTTTTGCTGTTTTTTTTGCGAAGGCTTTTAAGGTTTATTGTCATTCTGGGCTAGACGAAATGTGTCAAGAAACTCTTCTTCCCCAAGTCGCCTAATTCATGACAATCAGTATCCAAAATGGGGTTGGACGGGGAGCAGAGAGCAAGCACAATTTCACCTAGGTTAAGGTTGTATTGATCAACTGCGTACGCTACACTTATGCATGCATTGTGCGATACAGTGTAGAAACAAGTTCTTTTGAGATGGTGAATGTCTGCACATCTACGCATGTAACAACAACCTTGTATAAACTGCTGCATCGCATGTAACCGACACGCCGCATCAAGTTTCGTATCAACAGCACGATTCCGCAACTCTCCTAGTCAGTCAAACTCCTTTCTTAATGTGTGCTTCATTTGCTCCTTCTTGATCATCCCTCAAACCCTTCTGAGTGCGAAGTACCCGGATGCGCACGTCTTGTACAGATGTAAGAAGTTGTTGGAGTACCAAACACGTCTTGTTTCTGTGAATGAAAATGATCCTACGCAGACATACCTGAATAGAACAAAGTGCACGAGATGATGCCGAATCTCCCTGCAAAGCGTGTTATGTGTGTACAGTTCAACACCAGTGGATGCAAAACACTGTATGACATGTGTCCACAGGCAGTGAACAATGCAACGTACTCCGGTTTCGTAAATAGACGACAAAGCCTGCATCTCAATAACATGTTCTCCGGTTTGATTAGCAACGCTTTGACACTGATAACGAAAAGTTTATTAAAAGACATGGTGGCTTTACTGCTCTATCACCGAATCCCAGGAGCATAATTGACTAGTCAAAGACTCTTGCCGATGCGAAGGTATGCAAGATACAGGCAAACGACTGCTATGTTCCACACGCGTGTTTGAAACAGCTGTCATAGACGCGCTTGCAACAAGCCAAACTGTTCCAACCACAACTTACCAATATCTAAGTTAACAAGAATCCTAAACTCTAAACCTACACCTATATCATGTACATCATGTCAAAATATACATATATATATACATATATACATATATATATATACAGAAAAAAAACATATGTATATGTATATGTATACAACTTGTGTATGTATACAAATGTATGTATACTTGTTTTGTGTATTTGCACAAGCTTAGAAAAGTACACACCGAGGCTCAACGCCGAAGACCCATTTAACCATCCAGCCCTCGGCCTTCTGTTCCAGAGAGTCGAGGATGTTGCCATCGATTTCCTTTCGGCTATGATGTGTAGGGTTTAGGGTGCTGGTCAGCATCGGCCGCAAGACTCTTCCTTTAGCCTCTGTTGGCCTTCTCTTGAGATCTCGGAAGTGCTTTGTGTTCTGGGCTTGTCAGTGAAAGTCTGTGAAAGCATTTTCTCACCACAAAGCTCGAGTTGAGATTTTCTAGCGAGCTGAGGCGCCTTGGCGGCTTCCCAGAAGCGGTAGTCCCTGACCTGGCTCGAAGCTTCGAACCAACTACGATCCGGCGGCTTCGTCCCACGCAAAGGCTGCGCAAAGAGTTATCTCAGGTGGCTGTCGTGGAAGGTGCCGGGTTGCCAGTCATGCTCTACCTGGTTCTGTTACGACGTTCCACGACATTGCGGCAACGACCTACCAGCAATGGTTGGATTTTCCTCCCTGCCCCGTACAACCTGTCGACCCGCGCGGTGCCACTTTTTGAAGTTTGGCCCGGGGATGTCCGTGGCCGCGGCCTGTGCACAACGAAGCTCGACGACAGAGCCACAAATTGCATCAGAAGCTGGACAGCCGGAGCTTCATCCCACGCGCTCCACATCGCACGGCCTGTCGGAAGTCCAACATGCCCCGAACGGCACGCCAGAGCCCAGGACCGGGACGATCACTGCCCTGGACAACGGATTTCTGGTTTTGGGCCCTTCCCGGATCTCCCACATGGCTTGAGAAACATGGTGCATCTACAAGCCTTAACGGTCCCACTCACCACACTGCCTCTTCGAATCCTCGGAGGCAGCCCGCTAGCGCGATCGTGGCCGCCTGGTGTTGGAAACTTGCGACCGAAACGCTCCGGAAACGAAGCCAACCGTCTTCCTGTCATCGCCATCATCGCCGCTCTAGTACTGGTAAGGGTAGCTGTGGCATCGGTGGTGCTTGGAGGTTCATGGCTAAGTAGGGTTGTAAGTCCCCTAATATGAGTTATAAGTATAGTTACCCTACTTCTAACCCCACTTACAACTACCCATGAACCTCCAAGTAGTGGTTCTGATCCACGGGGTCCGAAACGACAGGGCGCTGCGAATAGCGGTGTCTTCTGGGGCCCAACTACCCCAAAACACCGTTCTGGCTTAAGGCCCCTATGACGCCTTTGTTTGCCCTTTCATGATGATGATAATGATAGCAAAATTAGTACTAAGAATCCAAACCCAAAAACCAACCACAATAATAACAACAACAACAACAACAACAAGGAACAGTTTAATTATCATCATCAGAAGATCAATAACACTTGTAGTACAAACACAATACCAAGAAGAAGAGGAAGAACAACAATGAGAGCAATACTAATGATAGCTGTAGTAGTAATAGGAACAATACTGACAGTCATCGCCACCATCACCATCATAATACTCACAACACTCATAAACATGAGTCGAATAATAACAGTTATAATGATGATGACGACGATGATCATGATGACAACCAGACAGTGAATCATACAAACAATAGCAGTAGATCCATGTTTAGTAACCGGAGCCACCAGCTGCATGCCGCCATGCCTGCGCATCTTTGAAGACGCACACAACCTTCTCATCCGAGATCCAGTCAACGCCTTACTGTTTCTCGTTGCGGCTGTGATCCTCTCGCGCTCTGAACAATCGAATCCGAAAACTTCTGCCGCCCTTGAGGAAAACAAGCATCCTGCGAGACATTTGGAGCTCTTGCACCCAGGCCCAAAGACCATCTGCCCAGACACTTATTGCGAACAGATCCTCGCAGACTTTCCCGCCTCTCGCCTAGGGCTCCGTGCGATCGAATCTGGGAAGCTTCTTCGATTCCAACACCTGGAAGGCCGAAGGAGTGGAAAGACTTCGACAGGCACGATGTCTTGACTTTAAGCCGCCCGTCGATATGTCTAGGTCTACTCAGACTTCGTGAGTTGGAACCGGTGCCCTCAAACCATGCCCTTCACCATGATAACTTGCTCTGAGACTCTAAACGCCCGCTTGATTTAGGTTCTGTCGTTCCACCGTTGCACCATAGCAAAAACTCGGCTGACACAGAATACTGAACACCTCGGCATGCGCGGCTCTCCACATGAGCATCAACTGCTCGCACATCCTGGTTCTTGAAGCAGACGTGCAAGTCGCAACATTGAATATGAAATAAGAAGGACAGCGTCGCGCAGCAGCACGAAGTCGACACTCCGGCCTCCGCAATGTGAGTACGAGTTAGCCGCTGCACACCTGGCATCACGAACGGGATCCTGCCACCCCCATCCCCATCACAATTTCTGTTCCATTACCTTGCTTCCTCTCTTCTTCAGCACAGCGAGAAGGCGGGGCGCTCGCCCCGCGAGCCCGCGAACTGGAGTCTGAGTTCGGGATGAGTCGCACTATTAGGAAGGCGGCTCGGCATTCGCTCGCTCTCTCTATCTCTCTCGCTCTCTCCGTCTGTCTTCTTCCACACAACCAAGAGAAGGCAGTGCCCTAACCCCCCCACCCCGGCGCGCGTGCTCTGGGCAGAAGGTTGGTTCGTTTTCAAACTACACGATGGTCCCCAGGTTCCAACTCTGGTATCCCCTTTACCGAACACTATACTGCCGCCACCAGATCCTCATGTGCGGGCCGTCTCACCCTTTCGTGGCCTAATGACTCTCACCACAACTTTCAGTGGGTCCGGGCTGCTACGGGTTTAAGTAAACACTAGACGGCCTGACAGTGCATGACAGTGCATGACGGTAGAGGAAAGTCTCTCCCTCCCTCCCTCCCTCCCACCCTCCCTTTCTCTCCCTTTCTCTCCCTTTCTCTCTCTCTCTCTCTCTCTCTCTCTCTCTCTCTCTCTCTCTCTCTTTCTCTCGACATGCGGCTCACATCCACTTCTGTGCGTCAATTCGAGAGCCCACAAGTTGGAAACCCTACGAGGCGGCCAAAGGACTGCTTGTCTGTATTGCCCGAGAGAACATGACGAGTTGACATGTTGTAAGATTCTGAAGGCGGCAGCAGCTGCGGCTGCTGCTGCGGCTGCTGCTGCTGTCGCTGTCACTGTTGCTGCTGCTGGTGCATTCACTGCACAAAGAAACACCGACCACCGTTAACGAGAATCCTGAATCCTACGTCCGCAGACTCCCGACAGCTTAGCTCTTTTCCGTCACATCTGCAACACGGCCGGGGGGCCGGGGCTTGGCTGCCGGAGGCTCGACCGAAACGCGGAACCACAAAGAAACGTTGGAGAGGGATCTCGGGTGTGGGGGTTTGGGTTTGAGGGCTCATCGGGGAGACTCGGCAAGTCAAAGGCATTTCAGGGAATAGGACGGGGAGTGTAGAGGGATTAAGCCTATTGCTTTTCTCATGCAAATTCTCGCCCCCCGAAAGGCATGGTGGGACACTGCTGCTTCTTGCTTCTTCGGGTCTTCATTGCTCCGTTCTTGCAGAGAAACTCAACGAAGGCAGTTCAGGAAAGGTCTCGAAAGTCGCCTCCTCCGACCGCTGAAGCTTGAAAATCTCGTTTTCACGATCAGGGCCACGGCCGATCTTCAGCCTCGCCCTTTTGTCGGCTCAGGCGAGGATTGGAGAATTTCTGTGGGTTCAAACTCATGCGCGTAGAGCTTGGGACATGCTTCCCGGCACTCTCGAAGTCAAAAAAATGACACTTCAATCCTCAGACGTGGAGCTGACTAGATCCTTAACCCCGGCATCTTGCCGGCAACGAGGAGGACCCTTGAAGAGATTCAGGCACGGGGAAAGCTTCAGAAGCAATCTCTTCGCCGGGATCTCCTCATGAAACTCGACTACTGCCCTGGTTCCGCCGCAGGAGTGCACCCACACGGCGGAGCTCTGCAGGCACAGCAAAGACAGAGAACTCCAGCGGCACATGCGAAATCACTTCTAGAGCTCCTGATCTCTGCGTGAACGATAGCTCCAATCTCTGCCTCTCGAGTTCCAGAGCTTTGCCAGGGATCTCTCGGTCGAGATCGTGGAAGGCGTATACTGTCGCTATGCCTAAAACAAACCCAAGTCCGATCATGTGCCAACGAAGTGTATCAACTTCTTGGGCTCCTTGGCGGCCTAAACCCGAAACCCCTACGACCACAACCGAACCGCTTGGATCTGAAACCCGCCAACAAAACCCTCAAGACCCTGAAAGACTCCCTACAAACAAACCAACACAACCCCTGCTATAGCCTAAACCCTAAACCCCCTGCTATCGCCTTCTCCCTCAAAAGACTTTCATTCGGGCTTGGGCGACCTGCTTCTGCAACTCCGCCTGCGCAAGAGAAGGAGATTCCGGAGTATTCGGGCTCTGAAAGTTAGATTTAGGCTTGGGAGGGTTTAGGGTTTAGGGAGGCTCTGAAAGTTGGATTTATATAGGTTTGGGGGCTTAAGGGGTTAAGGGGTTTAGGGTCAAGGCAGCGTTTTCAAAGTCTTTGTTTAGCGAGCTTGGAAAGTCTGCAGAGGTTCTGGGGTTTGTGGGGTTTGCAGGGTCAGGAGGTCACAGCTTTTAGGTTGGCGATTTGGGGGGTTCGGGGTCAAGGGGTTTACAGGCCATTCCATGTATTTTACATGCGGTTTCAAGGGTGTAGGCAATGCACTTGCCATGGCACAAACTGGAGACGACCAAGAAAGAAGTTCGAATTCGAGTAAACCAAATTCATGCATGACAGTCCGGAACAACATCTCGCAGGGCTTTGAGGTGCTGTGGGCCTAAGTACTGAGGGCTTCTCAAGACTTTAGGGGTTTACGAGTCCGAGGGGTGCAAGTCTTCGGCGTCCTCCCAGACTGAGTCGAAACCCTTCCTCCTGACACTCCCAAAGATCCACTGAAGACGCCGATGTCTCAACGTGCCTTCTGGAAGATGCGCTCACGATCCGCAGCTCTGTCGTGCATCGCCTCCGCCCTTACCTCAGGGCGGCGGGTGCCTCTTCAACTCATCATGCCACGACTGCACGGCGCGGCCGTTCCCGTTGACACCCCTCAACCCTGAATCCCAAAGTACGACTGCGAAGCCCAGTCACATCGGCTTCCCGCGCGGTCAGCCGCTCCCTGGTAAGTCCTCCGCTGCGCAGAGCCAGGGACTAGCCGGGTGGAAATACGTCTGTGCTGAGGTCTGAAGGGGGCGACGGGCGACCTTCGTCAGCAAGCACAAGGGCATCAGGGCATCCAAGGGCATCGCAGGAAGGCAGTCTGCCACGCAAGCTTTCACGCGACAAAAAGAGAGCCGAGTGAATAGCGAAGCAACATGTCGTACAACGAAGCAGTGGAGATGCTCGGGTGCCGGACGACCCTTGAGCTGCCGCCAAGTGGGGTCCGAGCTACAGCGCAGCCGCATGGGCTGGTTTATCATATTGCGCAACCTGAAGGTTTGGAGTCTGATCTAGCAGTCCTGGTTCCTGCGATAAACGAGGTCGTGATGTGGGTCTGAACAGCGACAGACAGCTTTCCACCGTGTCCTCGACCGCAGTCGAAAAGCCGGTGCTGGATCTGGTCAACCTGCAGACTCCACTGGCTCCCCATTGGGGTCCTTGAGGCCTTAAGGGCCCGTCGCGGCCTTCTCGATGAGCCGATGCACTCGATCCACCGATCGGGAAGCCCGGAGGCACTGCCTCAGATTGGGCTCGGATCACACGG